GCCATCGCTATTAGGTTGGAGGCCATCTTTATTGGGTTGGAGGCCATCGCTATTAGGTTGGAGGCCATCGCTATTAGGTTGGAGGCCATTGCTATTAGGTTGGAGGCCATCGCTATTAGGTTGGAGGCCATCGCTATTAGGTTGGAGGCCATCTTTATTAGGTTGGAGGCAATCTTTATTAGGTTGGAGGCAATTTTTAAGTGTCTCAAATTCTAAAGCGTCCAAGAGACTTGAGGCACTGGGGATCGGATACACAGCTCTAAGCTGAGCCAAAGGCAATGAGTTGTTGCTGCGTAACAAAGACTGTCAAGAACTGACTCAGTGCGCAGAAAGTCTCTAAAGTGCCAGGACCTGATGAAAGTCATCGGATACTGCTGTCCAGGCTGTCTGGAAGTTGTGCCCACACTCGATGCCACGGGTTCTTTAATGTATTGGAATCACAGTCATAGTCGAGGAAGCAAGTCTTTTGGATTGCAAGGTTGCCCTCGAAGAGAACAAAAGAACTCAGCTCATCTCTTCTTGTTCCAACCAAATCAGTAGGGCGCGGGCCTTCCACCCCACCCGCTTCCCAGACAAAGAACATCATAAAATGTCATAAACATATATATCTTTTCACTCGCTACCGCAGGGTTGTCAAGCGGAAGAAGCGAGGCAAAAAGGCTGCTGCTACTCTGAGTTCGTTGGCCTCCCCAAAACGAGCAAGTAATTAAACAGTTTAAATGCAGAAAACATTGGCTGAGCAAGTGTAATCTACACGTGATACCCCGATGTTTCCACGAAAAGTCTTACCCCGCCTGAGCCGCACTGACCACGCTGCATTTGCTCTGCTGCGTGGATCTAAACGTTCTCGAAGTGAAAGGTCTGCTTCAGACTGCTCCACCTTTGCGTCTAGGTCCCTGATGACATATATGTTTACGCCCGAGGGGAGGCCGCTAAGAGGTAGCTAATAGCTAGTATCTTAAGTAAGCTACTAGACATGGACGGAGGATAGCTCACGCTTCTTCGAGGAAGCTCCCCCGGCCTAAGGGGGGAGGGGAGCTTCCTTGAAGAAGCATGAGCAATGATTTGGCTCCTAGAATTTTACGGATCTTTGATTCGTCCCAATGTGGCAAGAAGAAGCGGATGCGGTGCCTTTCTTTGCGCACGAGCTTCTCTGAAGTCCTTTACGCTGAACACCGTGAGCAGTGATGCATGGTTGGCACGAAACAGCAGGTCTTGGCTAGCATTTACTGCACATTACTGTAGTACTAACGTACTACTGTGCAAAGAAAAAGACATCTTCTTTAGAACATATCTTTTAGCACCATGCTGTAACCTTAAGTGGCTGTAACATGCTGTAACCATAAGCTACTAGCAAGATCTAACAAGGACGCAAGATCTAGCAAAACACCTTTTGCATGATCGAAACATGATCGCATGATGTTCAGTGAAATTAAGTAGCGACAATAACACTACTTTTTTCAAAGAGGGTGGGCCGCAAGTAGGCTTATGTAGCTAGTAGTCAGGCTACTGCTGCTTGTACGCTACTAGTAACTGGACGCAGGAAAGCTCACCCTTCTTCCTTGAAGAAGCACTCGCACTATTCATTTGGTTCCAAGATTCTTGGGGAAACTTGAAAGAACAAATGAACGAACAAGCAAGAACTCTGTTGGCACACTTGATTTCAATTCCCAACGCTCTCCTCGTACTCTGCTGCGCGAAGGGCTGAGATTCGACCCTGTCCATGCACCAAGACAGCTGACGACAACGTCAAAGGAATATTTTTTGGTTCCCTGCCTGAGAGCCACTGCCTTACCCATGCATAATTCTACCTGATTAAATACCTCTAAGTTACCATTTTCTGCACATCAAGTACCCAATGAGCTCATGTTCAGCAAAGTTTCGTTCAGGGCTCGTGGTAGGTATGTCGGGGCCTCAGAGAAAGGCAGCATCCCACCAAATCGGTATGAGTGCAGTGAATCGTATGTGCATAAAACATGGCCAACATACATTCAATCCGGGTGAAACATGATGAAAAGGGGAAGCCGCCTCAGCTCTGGTAGGTAGGAGAGCCCCCAAAACACCGAGCAAAGAACACCTACCAAAATGCAGAGTTGAAGCAAAGTATGTGGGGACGGCCCCAAAAGCCTAACCTGTGACCCAAGGATCCAACCTACGACTGGTCCTGATGGCCTCCAACATGCACAGCCGAGACGCAAATTTCAGGCCGATCTTCATGCCTGTCAGAGGAACGAACGCCGCGCACAGCAACAATGCTCAATATGCAAAGTTGCGGTTGCTCTCGTAGATCAAACCCGAGACCCAAGGCCAGCATAGACGTAAGTTCCAATGTAGTACGTAGTATAAGTAGTAGAAAGAAGTCAAAATAAGTATGCATCAATGCAGGCAAATGTGGCAATCATGACCACCACAGCTCTTTCTTCTGTTCAGGTTGTCTGTGCATGTCTGTTTATATGCTGGATTGGGCTTGTCAAATCAAAGAGTCAATTGAGACGGGAAAGAAAGAATTCTGTATTGAATCTGAAAACACAATTGCAGGCTCAGTCGCCTCTCCCTCAATCTCGCTGGAAGTTCCTTCCAAGGCACACAGTAGGAACTATGTTTGCATCTCGATATCATGATTTTTCAAGCTCACATCTGTACACATCTCTACACACATTGCAGATTGACGCGTTGCAACTATTTCGCCATACGGTTTGCACTTATTTCTCATGCTGAGCCTGCAGTGCTCGAAGTTGATCTTCACCTTGCAAAGCGAGTACACGGTGAAGCTCTTGGACATCTGTTTCCAGTTGGCTGACACCTGGCCAGAAGTTCCCCACCAGTGGTAGTGTTGGACATTTCTGGAAATTTAACACTGCTTTGGAGGCTCTTCCGACGCAGTGGATCCTTTCGCTGTTTGGAGCCTTTGATGGCCTTTGATCCACTTGATTTAAATTGAATTGTCCACCCACACCGCACCTTCGATCTCTCTTGCCAACTCTGCATTTACGCGAGACAATGCCTGGCACCAATCAGTCAAGTTGTTTCAAAGCAACAGTCTTCATAGACAAGCACAAGCCAAGAATGATATGGTTCAACAAGCTTTCTTCTCCATGCCTTCTGGCGCCTACTGGCCTCTGCTTGGTGCTCAGTTCAAATGATTTCAATTCGGTGCCTCCTGTGACTCTGCAAGTTGCCTCTCCAATTGTGAACGCTCTCGAGAGCGCACTTGACGCGCCAGCGCCAGCCTGAAGCTCAGCACTGGCATGGCGGGACATTGGCTCGATATAGCTGCCGAGACTACACCAATACACCAATGAAGAACACTGAAACAGGCAACTGATGAATCTTCTCAGAATCCGAAATAAACCGTAGGTTGGAGGCCGTCGCTCTTAGGTTGGAGGCCATGGGGGGGCTCCCTTCAGCAAGTAAAATGCCATCGCTAGTAGGTTGGAGGCCATTCCTACGGTAGGTTGGAGACCAAAATGATTCGATCTACTTCCTTTTTGGTCCACCAAACGTCGAGGTCTTGTTGTTGCTGAGGATTGGACGCATCTGTCTGTTGGTCCAACTGCTGCTTCACGGCTTTGGCGGCCGTTGCCGAAGCTTGACCTTCTTGTTCCTTAGGAAGCTGCAAAAAACTAGACGTTGCAAAGGCCAATGAACATCTGTAAAACATTAAAAAATTGAACATCTTGCCATGCATGCGTTCATTAAACATCATTGAAACGTTTGCTTACAGCCTTGAGCACAACGGTTCGATGACCAAAATGCTCTGCCAAATTGCTAATTGCTTTTTGGCCCGCTGCAGCCCACGGCCTGTCGTAGCTCTCCACCACCAACGTTGGAGGATGATGATCAAGAGCCAGTCCAATTGCCGGGCAATGCACTGACCTTTCAATTCAAGCCAGGACAAGCTGTGCCAGGACAACCATATATATATAATAACATTAACTGTCCCGGATGGAATGCTGATCCTACAAAAACAAACATGTGGACTGGATGGAATCTAAATATGGGCTGCACTGTATGTTTCACTGGAGGCTAGTAGCTTCTAGTTCACATAGTTGTTCAATCTTCGTCACATCATCTACTCTTGTAGCTTCTATAGACTTGTTGTCCTTTGATTCCATTTAAAGCAACGTAAGAACTACGCTGTGCTGCTTGTGCCATTCTGCCAGACTCGACTGGCCTGCGACTCGATGGGTCCGTTCATCCTGAGCATGCTTGGCTGCCTTTGGTTCCTGGGCACAGGCTGCAGCCACTTGCGACAGCACCTGGAAACATGGTTGATTCCGTTGAGGAAAAACATGTTCAAGAAGGCACGTCAAACTGATGTGTGTTTGAAGAAAACACATAGTTAATCAGAAGTCTGCACGTTTCTGTACACTAAAGCCATGGCACATGCGCATCCCACCAGGCTGCCCAAGCACGTGCCAGCAGTGCTTCCACGTCTGGCCCATGTGTGTGTAAGGTGGAGCGACGGCTGCACCGAAGAGACACTGAAGCATGGAGCCGCCAAGAACGCAGCAGAAAATGCAAGCTGAGCCTGCCCAACAACAAGTGCAAGTTCAAGTGATCCTGATGCTAAACTTGAGAAGCACTGAAAAAGAGTGAAACATGCCAAAAATGAGACTCAAAGGAAAGAAGAAAGAAAGGTTGTTCTTTCGAAGGGCTTCTTTAAGAACAATCACAAATCCTACCCATTCAATGGCTGGAACCCGCTCCTTTGCGCTTTCTTTGAGTCGCAAGTTGTCAGCCAAACCATGTATTTGCGAAGTCGAAGGCTGAAGTTATTCTTCTGCCACTTTGGCAAAGATGCTTCTTTCTCTTCGAGCTTTGACCTGCCAAAAGCAAGATCTCACTATCTCAACCTCCCTGACACGAAAACCTTCATCTATCCTGCTGAGTTCTTCACTCATAAGTGTCTTTGCTCAGCTTCATATTTGTTTGCAAGACCAAAGATCTACGTTCTTTGTATCCTTTGTTTTCCTCTTCTCGAACCCTTCCCTGTCTTCCGATCCTCTTGTGGTCACGGCTGCTGCGAAGTGCGAAGGAACGCCAAGCACAAAGGCAAAGCAGCAAGTGGTTCTTCCTTGAAGCGAGCAGCTGCCGCAGCTGTCGCAGCTGCCACTCGTCCTGGTTCTTAATGCGAACGATCATGAAGAACCTGCCAAGCGGCTGCAACGAAAATCAATAAAGCGTTACAGCCAAGCGGTCTCTGCCTCCCAAACCATGCCAAACTGCAAAATGCTCTAAAGCATTCTAAATTCTGCATTGGCAAATGCGGCCAAGTCACCAAGCACGGAAAATTGTATCTTTCTTCCAGTGATGCTTTTCAGCACATAGCCAATAGCCACAACGCAGCGCTACTTCGTGATGCCGGTGAGAAAGGTCATCCAACCGCTTCTCCTTTTCAACTTTCCATGCCGAGATCTCGGCCTGCAAGGGAAACAGTTGATCCGGAGCCAATGTAGCTCAAGCATACTGCAGCCTGCACCTCACTGAGCCTCTGACATAGCTTTCAGTCTCTCGGTCAAAACAGGCTTTGATGGGATGCAGTCAAAACATCTCAAGACCATGTTGAGACACTCGAAGAATGGATCATTTTTAGTAGATCCCGCCAACATGGAATTGCGGGTCCGGTGATTATGCCTCAAGAGTAACTTGCACTGTGGCGGGCACCTGTTTTGTGGCAATGGTTTTCATCTCGTCATTGTGTCTCTCCTGCGAATGCAACAGCTGCAGCTGGACTTGTGCTTTGCAAGGTCTCTGTCAAGAGCTTCCAAATCTATTACTCAAGCATAATTAGAACTAGGTCCAACATGCTTTTCTGTGCATCTCTTCCCTGTAGAAGCCTCATACTGGGCAATCTCCGGCAGAACCGGAAGTGTCAAAAGGAAACCACTTACAGGAAAATGTTGGGGCGATGTGCAACACATTGATTTCCGGCGTGAAGCGTGATGCAGAAATGTGGTGTGGTCATTTGTGATGTGGTGAAGCGGAACCGTTCTCCAAAAGAAATTATATTCCATCCTTTGACAGCTCGACATTCTATACTTTTCTCTGATGTTCCATATTGCTCCTTAAACATCCAAACGTATTGTATTACTTACCTTTGTTCTCTATAAAGCCTCTTGATTTATGACTTTGGTAATTTCTACTTGTCCGCTTCTTCTGAGATTCAAGATCGCCTATTATCTTTGGAAATCGGGAAATCTTGACTTTTCTCTAACTAGTCTTCTCTGGGCATCTGTATTTATGGAGACCTCGTATTACACGCAGTCTGTTGCAGTTTGGGGCAGCTATGACAACTGGGCCACAAACTGGCCAAACGACATGGCAACTCTAGTTTCACAAAACACAACATAAGCTTCGCATCTAACTTTCAAATGCGTTGAATTCCTCCCAAAGCGATAATTGCATGCATTCTCTTTAGGGGCATCCTACTCGCATGCAGCGAAGTATCGGCTTCTGCAACTCGATTGTGCATTGTCATTGCAATCCATTCTTTGCACACTTGACCTTTTATGACCTTTTCATGAATGCTTTGCCTCCAACCAACGGCGCGTTTGGTTCACAAGTTTGGCAGCCTCCCCCTTTATGCTTCAGTGCCAAAATGACTCCGAAGACATCCTTCGGGCCGAAGTCTGAGCATCTCCAAATCCGAAGTCTGACCGGGGACTTCCGTCAGACTTGCACATCTGCACACCAATAAAGTGGCCAATATCCGAATAGCGATGGCCTCCCACCTAAGAACAATGGCCTCCAACCTAACAGCAAAAGGAACCTTATAGGAATGGCCTCCAACCTGTGACTACGTTCTTTCAATTTCTTCAAAAACCTTCAAATAAGAGGAATACTCGGAGCAAAGTGCATCGCTACTAGGAGCGATCGAACGCTACTAGGGGCTCCTGGCCGTACTACTATAGGAACTTTGGTTCACTACTAGGAGCATCCTCTTCGATCTTTTCCGTCAACGAAACATGTCTCTCCTCCTCGATGCGAAGCTCTTCTGAAAGCTGGTCAAATTGATGCCCAGCCTCAAACGGCGATCAACAGCACTCTGACCCAGCTTTGGGGCTATCCTTGCTCGATACAATAGCCGTACAATAGCTGCTTTGCTCAAGGAACTGTTTCACTGATTCCTGCCTTCTCCGCAGCGAGCCACAAGCGCCATGCTGCGAAGCTCCGATATTTCATCCATGCCTCCTGCACCAAATGTGAGACACATGAAAGTGGGGTCATGTGATACATGTCACCTATTGGAGCATGTCCTATACCTTTTGAAGCCTTATGTCTTCAAACAAAATGAGCATCAATTCAGGACTTTTCTGAACGGTTGAGCTGGTTCAGCGCTCAGGTCAGGCCTTGGATCTCGCCAAGGGCCCTTGACATCCCAGGCTGCGTGCGAAGGCACCTTCGCAACGCTGGAATGAAATCTCCGCCTTCGATTTCTTCGCGATGAAAGAGGACTCACAAAGCTCCTCCGATGTGACAGCTCACGAAGGGTCTTCGAAAACGACAACCAGTGCCACTGCAGTGCGTTGAAACAGGATTCCAACAAGGAAGGGAAAATATAGGAACAAGGAGCTACTAGGGGCTCCTGGCATCGCTACTAGGAGCGATCGGACGCTACTAGGGGCTCCTGGCCTTACTACTAGGAACAAGAAGGCAGAAAAGGAGGGGGACATGAAATGACATGAAGGATCCGTCGGCCTGTCTCGACTGCTCGGTCGCCCACCTTGGCTGCCAACTTCGCCGGAGGAGCTTCTCTCCGATTTTTTCCAGCATTTCCATGCTGAAAAAGTGAATATTTGTCTTTTTTTGTGAATGCAAATTTGGGGATAAGCTTCCTTGAAGGGTCCTTTGTATGAAATTTAGTTCCTTAGATTTGATAGTTGCTTTCCCCAGGCTGGGTTTGCCTCATGCTGCGATGGCAGTTGCCAAGCGGCTGGTTTTGCCAGTGGACAAATAGCTCCTCGCTGGTTCCCACTCTGAGAGTCTTCGCCATGTGCCGAATGACATTCTGAGGATGTGCTGAGTCTCTGCAAAAGAACTGATTGTACATACACTAGGAACTCTACAAACATACCTCTACCATCCTCTAGCTAATGCCAAACACTGGCCAACAAAAAAACTCTTGCCTATAGAACTGAGAGTCTTGTCTTTTGCTTCGCGTTCTTCAGCAATGTTTTTTGGGATGATCCAAAGGTCTCCCTATTCTGATACACCTCATTCATGCAAACAAAGGCGTCCGATCTCTGAGTGTAGTGGCCCAATCTTCGTGAGGTCAAGACATCATTGTCACACAACTCGCCCTCTTCTGCTGCACACAGTCTGAGCCCGAATCTGGGGCATCCTGTCTTGAACCAACAAACAACGAAGGCTGTTGCTCGAAAAAACATTGATGTCCGTTCAACCCCACGAAGGCTGTTTGTACTGTGCTCTTGCTGATTGGGATGTGATATAATGTTATATATATAATAAGCCATTCCAAGTGCAAACATGCACAACAGAAAAGATAGCTAGTGTTTCTGCCCGAAATCGATTAGAATCCTTCATTCATGCTAGAACTCCCTTCACAGGTGAACTCGACTCTCTTTGCAAAGAATCAAGTCATCGAACAAAACACCTTCTCTCCTGTCTCCTCTTCTGGTGGTGCATGCACGCAAATCAAACATAACGACTCGGTGCTGGAACCCTCGGCAGAACAAAAACCGATCAAGAACCACAAAACCCATGCCTCAATCGTTAAGTTGGGATGACTTGCATGGAGGGAATAATGTTTTCAGCGAACAATTCCGCTCGATGGAATCCGAAGCTGAGAGGTCTTATTGACGCATCCAACATCTCGACCCTTGTGGGTGGAGGCTGGGTTTGCACCTGAAACACTGGTCTTTTTCGGAGAAGTATAGTATATAGATATCTGCTGATATATCTGCATCTTCTGCAAAACACAATTTCACACACAGTACTTTCGATGTGTTTGTGGAACATGTTCTGCAAAAAAATGCAAATAGCCATTGGACAGTGTCTCGATGTAGCCCAAAAGTTTCGTTCGGGTTTCTATTGTGCACCCCGATCCAAAAGAGAGGTCTCTGCTCAAAAGCTCAAAAGCCGTCGAAACATTACAAACAAACCTCCGTGCCAAATTCAAAAAACTCATCGCCACAGCCCCTGACCTTTCCACTGAAAAAACCTAAAGACCGGTCTATGTTGGGTTTGTCAGTATATCCCATTAACAGCAACAGTGGATGATGGTCGATTAGGTTGCAGGCCTTTCAGAAAAATAGTGATAATCTTTTAGCAACTGTTACTGGTAATGGGATACACCCTAGGTCTAGGGTCTGTTTGCCCTCTTTATTCCCACCGCCTCGCCATGCTCATCGTTCTCCGACTAAAGATCACTCCTGAGTTTCCAGGGTGCTTTTTGTGTGAATGGAATGCAGGTTTTCTGGGTTCAGACCCAGGTTGGCAAATCTATATATATATATATATACGAGTCACGAATCTAAAAACATTGCACCATCTAATCCAACCAGTGAAACGATGTGAAACCAACAAAACGCTTCGACGTAAGCATGACGCCACCATGTTCAGCAAATGTGAGGGTTCCGAGTGTTGCGAGTGGCTCATTGCTCCCCCAAGCGAGAGCAAAAAGGCAGCTGAAAGGGGCAAATGTGTTGCAACCCTCAGGTTCATCATGCTCATGCCCCTATTATGGTCACAACACCGATTTGCTGCAGCTAGAGTTCTTTTTTTTCCGATCGCTTCCCTGCTCGCTGATCTCTTCAACAGCATCTTCAGCACTGACCGTGACCCTGCCCTCCAAATAAAACTCGCAAGCAACACACAAGTCTTAGAAACATGTAGTTTTCAAGGGTTAAGTTAGGTTCAAGGAAAATAACAATATTTCTTGGGGCAGGGCACTTTGTTCAGAGATGGTGCCTCCCAAGGTGCTCCCACAGAAATAATGGAGCCACGGAAATAATCTTGAGTTGTCGAAATCATAACTCGGCCTTGGGAATAGGAAGGCACGCCATGCTTCGTGAAGCCACAGGCTTGGACGCTCGCCCCAAACAGCTTACAATCAATACTGCAAAGCTCAAAGTGTACGATATGATGCCAAGTCATGTAGACTGAGCACCCTGCTACACCCACTATATGTGTATTATATATATATATTTATGTTATATGTATATATAGAGAGGGAGAGAGAGAGAGAGAGAGAGAGAAAGTGAGAGTGAGAGAGGAGGTGTTCTGGATGTATTGAACCGTCCCCAACCAGCTATACAAGATTGGCCGCTTGAAGCACAGTCGGAATGTTCGCTCTCCCATCTACCTCTTTTTGGACCGTTAAAGTTGTCCTGACTCGGGCTACACCCACCATTGGACTACACCTGGGACGAGGACCACATGGACATCCAGGCAAAAAAAAGCACCAAAAAAAACAAAACGGTGCCAACATCGTCCCCACCTAAGGTCGGTGCTGAACCCTGCGACGTTGAACCCCCCAACTAAACGAGACCACATGACTCTCCAAGAGACAGAAAACTACAACAAACAGATTGATTACAGTAAACTGATTAAACACACATTTATCATACAAATCAAATCATATAGTTGTTTACATTGAATATCATTGAATCATTCATCCTCAACAAGTTCACTGAAGCTTCACCGTTGGGCGAGCGAGCTCCAAAGCTCTGGGAACAATGTGTAGGTAAATTCCATTGGCTTATTCAGCGATGATCCACTGATCTCTCTTCTCGGCCAAAAGGATCATCACAGCCACATGTGCATGCAGGTGACAGCGCTCACATATCTGTGCTACGCTCCTCAGGAAGAGCCAAGATTGGGGCCCTCTGATGTTAATATTGCATTTTGGGCTGACCCCCAAAATTTGTTCGCTGAATTGGATGGCACAGAGCGCACTTGCCCTGGCAATCTTGGAGATCCAACTTAGACTCCTGTTTGATTGGATTCTCTACTTCCTCTCTAGTCAGCATGTTCCGTGTAAATTCTTGCGAAACGTTTTCCACGGTACACGGCGCACCCCGGTCCTCCTGAAGCCCTCTGCCAACGCGTGCCTAGCGTCGCGCGGGGCTCCGTGCCTTTCACTGAGTCCACCGTTCGGAACAAGGAAGGACATCCAAACAAAACAACCACACCCTGAGCTTAGTATTATGGAATTGGGCCATCTGTAGATTCCCATTTCAACATCAAAGCGACCACTGCTCTATTTCTGAATAGACACCTGCAGCTGTGACATATATGTCACAGGCATCTCTACACGCACACAGGTATGTTGTTTGAATGAGCTAAATGCGTGTGGTGGTATTTGTGATGTGGAGGTGATGTGATGAACATGTGGTGAAATTGTTATTACGTTGGACGCCATCGCTATTAGGTTGGAGGCCATGGCAACTGTGTTGGAGGATATTGCTTCTAGGTTGGAGGCCAATGCTGTCGGTAAGTGTAAAAATAATGCGTTTATTTTTTTGGGTGGGTGGGTGTGCCTCTAATTTAATGAGTTTGGATGTCTGTTTGCTTTTACCAGCGCTGTGGAGAAGATGCGGTCGTAGCGCTATGATTTTAGATGTGGCGTGATGCGGTGTATGGCGGTGATGTGGTGGAATGTCATGCGGGTGATTTGGCGCCCAACCTAAAAGCAATGGCCTCCAAGTACCATGATGTGTGAGTCCGGATGGTACCATGGTAGTCTCCATGGTACTGTTGGTAGCGCTCTCTGTGATGCTCTTGGTGTGTTCTTGCGTTCACCGATGCGCCTCCAATGCCTTCACTGACTCGAAGAGCTCTTCGACATCTTCGACATTCCTTGGACCATTCCATTTCACAAAACCCGGCGCAAATGACCTGTTTAGGTTATTGGGACAAGTGCGAAAGAAGCATGTCATTGGCACTGTTCCCACAAGACAAGACCTTCACACCAAGCTCTGAGCCCTGTCATTGCATCGATCTGGTTTTGCAAGCCAGTCGCCTGCGGTCTTGCACCGTGAGTGTGACACGTTATGGGTTTTTGTACCGTGCATGCTGCTGCGTCCATTCAAACGGCGTGTTTCATCGGGCCTCTTGAAGAGCTGACTGCCGTAGTGACCATGCTTCTTTAGCACGTTCATCATCACCCTCCTCGACCTGGGAGTTTCTTAGCTTGCAAAACTCAGACGTTGGGATTGCTAGTAGGTTGGAGGCCAACGCTATTAAGGGGAACGCCATTGCTATTAGTAACTGGAAACGTTCAGACGAACGCGGCCACCTCGCGCTTTTCCTGTGCGTGGGTGGTCTGAGCCTATATGGCCCGGGTGTCATCCTGTGTGGACTCATGTTAACAACCTGCCTTTTTCGTGGCTAGGGCAAAAGTCTCATGAGCCCCTTGCCATGAAAACCTCTTCGGTGTTCATTCTTACGAATGCACCTACTCGGTAACTTCAGGCGGGTTCATCTAGAATTGCCTCATCGTCATGATGACGATCATGCAGCTCCAATGCTGCTGCTGCGTCCTGCTCTTCAGAGCTACTGCTTTCATTTCTTAGTCTTCCTTGTCTTCTTGGTGGCATCCTGAATTCTCTCAGCATCCTTGGTGGCCCCCAATTTGCAGCCATCCAGCCGTCCGGCCATTCACTTTCTTCCAATGGGCAGTTCACATCTTCATGCCCGTTCTTCACATGGTAAGTGTACTGCCTCAGGCTTCTGATGTAGTCAATCACCTCTTTCCTTGTTTGTGCTCCAGTGATCATCAGCATCCTCTGCAGTTCTCTGAACATCGCGTATCCCGTTGGGATGTCCTCACCAGATGGATCTTCTTCCATCAGCTGGCAAAACTGCCTCACCTTCATGATGATGTATACCTCAATGCCCACATCATTCTCGATCTGCTCGAGTCTATGCCTGGAAGGCATCACCCTCCAGATGCTCATATTCGGCCTCTGGCTCGATGTGCCCTTCCAGACTTCTGACTCTTCATCCTCATATCTCTCTCTCTCTCTCCCTCCTCTCTTCTTCTGTTTCTGTCCTCACCATTCTCACATGCACCTGCGTCTCGTGCACATAGCCTTCCTCGTCAATGTATGAGCTCACTCTCACTTCACCATCTTGTTCTGCTGCTTCTTCTTCCATGTCCTCACCCCAAGGTGGGCCGACCACATCTCTGAAACTTAATCCAGAGTCTCCTGCCCATTGAACCCAATTTCTTCCTTCGGGCCCTTCGTCCCTCATCATACTCATGCCTCCGGCCACCTCCTTGGAGCGTTCCACATGCTCAGATCGATTCTCTCTTGCTCTTCATCTGAGGTGTAGGTCTCCTCACCTCCAACTGTGCTCCTCAGTGCTTCCCAAGAAGTCACATGTCTCCTCAACTCTCTTGCTGTGTTCTTCAATGCCCTCAGCAAGATCAGGATTGCAATGCTCAGGATCACAATGGCGATTGTCAATCACATCACAACTTGTTCTAGCATCTCACCTCCTGTTGCTTTTGTCCCAAGCAATCCCTCTGATTGCTGTCGCGGCTCATCCTCCGGAAAACATTGCTCACCCTTCTCTGCCGTGGCCAGGCCCAAGGCTGAATCTGCTAGCAATGCTGTCATCGTGAGCCTCAACAACCTCTTTGCCAACTGGTTTGTCTGTGTGCTCTTCTCTGGTGTCCCTTCCTCTGCAAACACCAGCCTTCTCACCTCTTGTAACCTCCTCTTCTGCTCAGCCTTTGCTCGCTCAGCTTCGAACTCTGTCTTGCCAAGTTGCTGCGAAGAGTCTGTGAAACCCATGATGTACATCAACATGTTGATACGCTTACCTCCAAGCGTCTTGGTGCCTATGTCAGATGGATTTGTTGCCGTATCCAACTTCTGCAAATCTAAATCTTTGCTCTGTCTCTGCTGGAGCCAAAGTAGTCGCCCGCTGAGGTGCTTCAACTTTCCAACACCTTCCTTCTGAGCAATTGCCAAGCTCGAGCTGTTGACTCCGTAGACGACCAACTTCACCTGTTCACCTGTCAGGTGTTCGACTGCAGCTTTCAGCAACAACCCTTCTGAAGCTCCTGACACCAATGCAACATACTCAGCTTTTGTGCTCGACAATGTGACGTTCTTCTGGGTCCTGGCATAGGAATGAGTCCAGTTGCCTGCAAGGAAAATGCATCCTGCCAATGTTGAACTTCTTGTCAACTTGTTTCCTGACCAGTCTGAATCGCAGGTCACCTCTAAAAGCCACATCTCCTCAGCTTCCTCAAACATGGGTGCTGTCGTCAAACCTCTTGACCTGTTCCTGAACGAATTGCTCTTTGTCTGACTCCTCAACACCAAGTGCACATTCATGGTCGTTGCCAAGTAGCCGACCAGCTTCTCAAGAGCCTTCTGTTGGATTTTGGAGTCTTCCGGCCAATTCTTTCACATGGAGCTGGATGTCTGGCCTGTCACCTGCCATGCACAGCAAAGTCCGAACTGCTGATCTGTACATAGGTCTCCTGTCATCCTCCTCCATAGTCTTTCCATCTTCTATTCCTGCACCAGGTGTCTTCGACCTCTTCACCGGACTCATCAACTTCACAAGGTTGTGGACGTACTTCTCGTTCACCCTCAGCTTTGTCTCAGAGGCATCCACCATCAGAGTCCTCTTCAAGAAGCTCAGCACCTGGTCATCCTCCACCGACACTTTGTAGCGTTTCATCAGGTGGTCCGTGACTCTTGCCACCTCTTTCTCTTCTCCTCCAACAATCATGTCATCGACATGAACCAGCAAGATCACATCCTGGCCTCCGTGAGCCCTGCCTCAATCAGGCTCCTCCTCAGCTCCTGGAACCATTGCGCTGCACCTTCTCGTTGCCCTGGGAGGATCCGGCCAAGAATCCACTCCTGCTGAAGTCCAAGTCTCTCAGCCAATGCCTTGTCCAGGCTTACCTTCACCTTCTTCGGCTGTGCACACATCAAGTATGCATCCTTGACATCCATCATGATCCCCTTCCATCTCTTCACCTGGCAGATCGCTGGGATCAACCTCAGGAGGGAGTGTCTTCCTGGCGCGCAAAGACATCTGTCCTCTTGGGATCACACCACGAAAAATCGCTTCCACTTGCTTTCTCGCCACCGCCAATCCATCACCAACTTTGTTGTTAGCAATGGGATGTCCTCCAAGTCATCATGCTTTCCAGGTGGCATCAAAACTGTGATGCCAATCAGTCTCTGAATCTCCTCCACCGTGGCTTCATCTTCAACCTCTGCAAGCTCAGCCTCCGGGCCTCCGACAAGTCTGGAGGTTGATCCGGGAACTCTAGACTTTCGTCCCCATCATGCAACAGCTCCCCAGCAACCACCATGCGAATTGTCGAAGCTGACGCTGGTTCAGGTTCGCCCTTCTCTGAACTTGCTTTGGTCTTCAACATCTTCCTTGGTGCAGACTTTGCCATCTTCTTTGGCATCTCGTCTTGTACGTCTCCTTCTCCTCCTGACCTCTTTGGACTATCCATAGGGTTTCTTCGTGGACTTGCTGGCGCCTTGTCAACCTCACTCTCAACCGTAGGCTCCTCCAGGCTATCAGGCAGGTCCTGCAGCAATGTATCATCCGTGATCACCAGACCTCCATCATCCTTCTCGTCTGGTTGTGTAGGGGTGTAATCACTCATGTCTGGACCATCACCACCTTTCCTGCCTTCGTCATTTGGTCATGCCTGTCTTTTCTCTCCTCTTGCTTCATCGCCTCTGTCTTTCGCCTCATCCTCCTTCTTTTTTGCTTTCTCTTCCTTTGCCATCTTCTTCTCTTCTGTTCTAATCCCTGGGGCGAGTGCTGGAGGCAATGGAGCTGTAGGAAACTTGCCTACCAACGACGAAGCTTTGGCACCAATCTGCCCAAACCCAATGGCCAGAACTTCATGTGCGTCACGGCCTCCGGGTCAAAAGGAGTTGGCAGCCGTGTAATAGTTCTTGTCCACTTCAAACCTTCAAAACATTTCAAAACATAATTTGTGCAATTGACGTCCTAAACCTTTCTAGCAACATTAATCTTGTTGTTCAGGTTACGACCTAAGGTCTTCGAGAATGATCACGCTTTCAAAGAAGAGGTCATAGAAGTCTGACTTTAAATCCGACAAAAACAATTTGAAACAAGGTGCTGACAGGACTAAACAAACTAACTAGGTATCCTGCTACTAGCGAACGGACGCAAGGAAGCTCCTTATGCCTGAGGGCGGGAGCTTCCTTGAAGAGGCACTCGCACTATTCATTTGGTTCCTATTCATTCACTCACTCATCAATTTCTTTTAAAAAAGGAGTTCTTCCTTCTCTTTGTCTCTTCTTTCTCTCTTGCCTGTGGGGCCGCCGTTGACTTCTCGCGGGTGTCATGCGCGCTCCTGGTGCAAATCTCGGCCCGAAGCAACTTCCCAAAGAAGCGAAGAACACTGGGAAAAAAACAAAGGTGGATCCAACGTCCTGGTTACCGGGCGCTTCCTCTACCAAACGACAGGTTGGTTTTGCGCCCTTTTTCAAGGGGTTGTGGTGCGGGCAGCTAAGGAGCATCCTACCATCCTGCGACGCATGCAGGTAGTTACTGCGTGGAAACATCAGGGTGCTGCTGGTACATTTAATCGGAAAGGCAACTTATTATATAACGGTATTACCCCCGAGCTCCCTCCTCACCCCCAACTCATCAGCGTCACAAACTCTGTGTGTCTGCGTGTGCACCAACCAGCACCAAGATCCATCGTTAACCCGACCACCCGTGCGAAATCCCGCAGTTTTCGTTTCCAAGTTCCCGGACTTTGAAAGCAGATGCGGAAGGCCCAGCTGCAACAGGTGACGGTCAAGCCCGGCGTGTGACGATATATACCGCGCAGCCGAGGGTGCTGAAAATTCCAAGTTTCACCTCCAAACCAAGGAACTTCTGAGCTTGGTCGACTCATTTTGTTTTGGTCTGACCCTACGACATGCTTTCCTTCTTTCCTTCTTTCTCCTTCATCTCTTTCAAAGTCTTGACAGCTTCTTGAGCCATCGCTGCCGACTGCTGGGATGCAGCCACCAAGGCCTTAGCCACCTGCTCGTCCATCTTTTCTTCACTTTTCCTTCTTCACTTTCTTTCTTCTTTCTTCCTTCCCTGGATCTTTGCTCTTCTCCCGGGGTATATTTATTGAGCCCCCCGGGTCGGCTCCGCTACCATGAAAACGTTCAGACGAACGCGGCCACCTCGCGCTTTTCCTGTGCGTGGGTGGTCTGAGCCTATATGGCCCGGGCGTCATCCTGTGTGGACTCATGTTAACAGTAACTCAAGATTCAAAAGCGCAAGTAGCTGGGGATGCACACAGCCATCTCCGCGGTACGATACCAATCTTCTGCCCGCTTGAGAGATCGCTCCTTCAGAGTAGCCCGAATAGGGCAGTAGGGATGCAGAAAAGGAAAGAAACGCATCCAAAGCAGCTTTCGATCGCGCCCAGCAATTGACAGGTTGGAACCTCAGCCTGGATAGGGTATTGATGTGTGAACAGCTTTCCATAAAGCCCATATCTTGCCTGTGTTTCGATTGGATGCATACGTACTTGTCAAGTGGCATTTGGAATCACGAGACTGGCCTCTTGCTGTCACGATTGAGTGAGAGTTGCAACTACAACCAATCGAACCTCCATGAAGACCTTCAACCATTTAAGTTTCCCTCAGCTTTGTCAAGCCGGTCTGTGACTGGTCAAAAGGTGTTCAAAAAGAAGCAAGAGTCTGCCGAGGTAAAGTGCACTGCTAGTGAAGGTCTGAGCCTGTATTCGGTCTTGAGATTCCTGTTTGTGCAGAAGGCGCATGAGTTTGGTGCGTGCCGATTGGAGATTAAAAGTTATCTTAGGCTTGCCAGGGTCATTGACCTACTTCAGGGCATTAAAAAGGGGAGCACGCATTCCAGCGTTCTTCACAACGCAATATTAGATCACCTTCGCGGCTACTTGAATGCATATACCGGGGAAAAAATTCTTCCCAAACACCATTACAGTTCCCACTTGGGCAAAAAGCACTCCTTTCACGAAGGTCTCGTATCGTGTTGGACCCACGAGCGCAAACACAAAGATGTAAACAAGTTTGCTAATTTGGCAACAAACACCTGGGCTGGTTGGGAGAAAAGCGTCATGTCTGATGCTCTTTGCTTGCAACTCCGAGAGCACAAAGGCGAAGTTGGTCCATTGAGGGTTGGACTGTTGAACCCAGATCACCCAAGTGAGAAACTGACATCACTTCTGATAACGCGGCTTTGCTCCTTCTGATTTACCAATCTCGCCTGCGTTGCAAGAACCTCAACGATTGAGTGCAAAGTTGCGAAATCATGACTGCCACTCACATCTCTATCACAAAGTCTTACGTCTGAAATCAGAAAACATAAAAGATAAGAGCCCCTTCAACACGGCCCCTTTACAGGCAGCCTTACCTTTGCTTGTGCATCTGTTTTTCTTGATTTCAGACCTGAGGCTTTGTAGTAACAACAAGAACTTACTGCATAAGACTGCCTGACCTTGGCGAGGTCGCCCTGGCCCAGAATGAACTGTGCAAAAACTTGCATTGCAAGGACAACACTGGCAAACAAGAATTGTTCCCTAGCTCTTGTTTCAAGACCAGGTGTGTACGATGCATAGGTCTTGGCATGCTGTGAAATACTATATACATGTTATGTTTCCATCTTGTGCAGGGTGTGTCAAGTGAAAGTGTGTGCCTGCGTCGCCTTACAGTACGCTGCCAGGATGGAGAATCACCCGTGGTGTAGAATTACAAAAAATATCTGTCTGCTAGCTTTTGCAAGCAACATACTCAGCTCACAGTAGCTTTGTCACGATTACGAGAAGGGAATGAGTATCATGCCAAATGTGAAAGACTGAAGATGCGGCCTGAACAACTCCAGCGGGAACAGGGTGGACGCACAACTCCAACTTTCCTGCCTGCACTTCATCCAAGGACGGGTCAAGAACCAGTTCACGATCCTCCATGCCCTGCAAGACCTGCAGCGGAAACGCTCTGGTTCAAACTGAAGGAAAACACAAACAGTGAAGGCCAGGACCAAAGGTCTTGAGAAACCTAATTAATTCTATATAACGCCTTCAAAACATTTCAAAACATAATTTGTGTAATTGACGTCCTAAACCTTTCTAGCAACATTAATCTTGTTGTTCAGGTTACGACCTAAGGTCTTCGAGAATGATCACGCTTTCAAAGAAGAGGTCATAGAAGTCTGACTTTAAATCCGACAAAAACAATTTGAAACAAGGCGCTGACAGGACTAAACAAACTAACTAGGTATCCTGCTACTAGCGAACGGACGCAAGGAAGCTCCTTATGCCTGAGGGCGGGAGCTTCCTTGAAGAGGCACTCGCACTATTCATTTGGTTCCTATTCATTCACTCATTCATCAATTTCTTTTAAAAAAGGAGTTCTTCCTTCTCTTTGTCTCTTCTTTCTCTCTTGCCTGTGGGGCCGCCGTTGACTTCTCGCGGGTGTCATGCGCGCTCCTGGTGCAAATCTCGGCCCGAAGCAACTTCCCAAAGAAGCGAAGAACACTGGGAAAAAAAACAAAGGTGGATCCAACGTCCTGGTTACCGGGCGCTTCCTCTACCAAACGACAGGTTGGTTTTGTGCCCTTTTTCAAGGGGTTGTGGTGCGGGCAGCTAAGGAGCATCCTACCATCCTGCGACGCATGCAGGTAGTTACTGCGTGGAAACATCAGGGTGCTGCTGGTACATTTAATCGGAAAGGCAACTTATTATATAACGGTATCACCCCCGAGCTCCCTCCTCACCCCCAACTCATCAGCGTCACAAACTCTGTGTGTCTGCGTGTGCACCAACCAGCACCAAGATCCGTCGTTAACCCGACCACCCGTGCGAAATCCCGCAGTTTTCGTTTCCAAGTTCCCGGACTTTGGAAGCAGATGCGGAAGGCCCAGCTGCAACAGGTGACGGTCAAGCCCGGCATGTGACGATATGCAACAGGGCCCGGCCCACATGGCTGCCTACCAAGTGACACCCGCCCAAGAAATCCCTACCAGTGCCCTTCCCCCAGCTAAAGGAAGAAGGAACAAGAAGGAAACGGTAAGATTCAAGTAATGGTAAAGATCTCAAGGACGGAAGAGAAAGGCAAGAGAACCACCTCCCCAACTGTCTCTCACTTCCATGCCTCACCAGGCTCTGAAACCGGAGTGACGGGGCAGGAGAACGCCTGGTTTCAAGACAGAAGGCGAGTGTTGGTGCTTGAGGGGTCCCCGCGTGTGCCCGCCTGCCGCTCATGAAAGCCTTCCAGTGAGACAGGAAAATGGATAAACGTATTTTGGGTCGGCAATGGGCCAGGATAGAGATGCCTCGACAGCGTTTTCATCATTCTTGCTCTGCAACCGTTGACTTGAAAGAACCTCAGGCCCCGAACGAGTGCTGCCATGAGGCTGAGGATGCCATCAGCCTGGCGACACACGGGTTTGGTTCAAAAATGTGATGCCGGCTCTCAGAATCTTGGAACTGGGAAGCTCCGAAGAGCGCGGAGCCGTGACAAAGACATACACTTTCCTTAACCACCGTGGGATCTGGTGATTTACGAGGCCAAACCAACATGGAAACCTGCAAGGAGCCTATTACCGGGGAACACCGCGTAAGTTGGTTTGAACCACAAGGTCCTCAAAAGACACTAACGTGGAAACATTTTTGGGGGGGGGTCATGAACCTGTATTTCTCTAGGAAAACCTAAGGTAGCTGGAAGAATTGGTCAATGCACTGGTTTCTAGGTTAGCGTCTTCAAGCTATTTTCAATAAAAAAGGCGCATCCTGAGAGTTGCCAGGTCAGCTTCCACGGGTGTCCAGTGACAGAAACAAGTCCAGAGCTCACTAACATGGAAATAATCTAAAATGGAGCTCTCAGCTTCTACCGTGACAAAAACAAGTCCAGGGCTCACTAACATGGAAACTCGACAAACAACAACTAGCAAAGAAACTGACAGCCCGTGCAACGACAATTCGGGACAGGTCCACTAACGTGAAAAAAATAATCCATTTGCTGTTTCTACGGTGGTTAAGGGGAGAGTAACAACAAATAGTTTTGGGGGACTCCCAATTGAGATGGCATCCGATGTCAAACCACCTCAAAGAAACCACATGGGCATGGTGAAACCACATTGCACGCAGCACCGCCGTCTCCCCCGTGTCGGCGCGTTAGCACAAAAGCCGTCTAATCTCGAGCCAAGTTCGGCAAATCGCCAAACTAAATCCTGCCCGCTTTGTGATGAAAGTACCCCCATGGCAAACCTAGCATTCTGTACATCATAACGGTGCTCATAACTTGTTAAGTCTCAGTTGCTGCTTCCGAACATGATGCAATCTATTCAAGACACATCTTATCTCACCTTGGATCACCTTCCACCACCTGCGCCCCCTCACCAAGGCTCTGTTTTGATTCCGCGGAAAGAAGAAGGACGTCCACCTGCGTGAGGGAAAACATGCAAAAAAATCAAAGAATTCTGTGCTACGGCCGATTCATCAAAACCGTTTGATTCCAAGAACTGGGTAGCCGATTCAATATGTTTTGCGTTTGAAGGAATGACTGCGTCAAAGACCTGAAGGATTCCCAAGATGGGGACCTTGGGAGCCCTGATGAGACCTGCTAAGATGACTGAGAGAAACGGTCTCGTCCAAGAAGCTTGTTTCTCCCATTGGTTGAAGATATCTCCAAGCACGGATCTAGAAGAAATGAATGACAAATTAGAGACGTCCTGTTCTCGTTTGAAAAACCGTTCTTGGCACTATGAGTTGCTTCCTTCATCCATCTTCCCCCACTACACTCTTCGCACTGGGGAAGTGGTTGCGCAGCGCCACCTGCGTCCGTCGCTTGGCGCCGACTTATGTCGCCCACCGAGGTCCTGACACAAAGAGCTTAGGATGGAAAGATCAGACAAGAAAAAACATGTCTTCCTATGAAAAGTGAGACGCTGCTAGGAGCAAAGAGCGGTGCTGTGCTACACAGAGCCTATGCACTTTTCCAAGAGATCGTCTGCTGTACAAGGCAGCCAGTTTTATCAACCACAAACCTGGCAAAAAAGCAGTCTGTGGTGGCCATGATTCTCTTTAAATCCGTGGGCTCTTGAGAAAGAGTGACCAGTTCCCTTACAATCATCTCTCAAGATAATTTGACAAATGTTCAAAATCCATTTTCACACCACGGTGACTTGACGGACCGCCTGAGGGACCTCCTGTGAACGAGACGTCCTTCAGGAGACCCTCTGAACCGCATGGAGACGTCCCTCCATCCCTACGCTCCGTTGCTCTCCGTCCGTACCTCCGTACCTCTCCGTCGCTTCCGTCCTTCTCGTCCTTCGTGCTTCGCTTCTCCTTCGCGGTCGAAGTCGTTTTAACGCAACGAGTAGCAAGAAGCTACGTAACAAGGGACATCGCCACTAGGAGCAAGAAGCTACTAGTAGCTCCTAGCCATACTACTCGTAGCAACCTCTCTTATCTACGCTTTGACTTTGTGGACTGATTGGCTGTGCGCTAGGCAGATTATGCCGCCCGGTAAAGACTTTCTCATGTTGTACCCAGGACTCAGGACTATTCTTTTGGAACGCGGGAAGCACTAGGAGTTGCAGCATAAACATGTGCCCAAGCCAACAAACACTCAGAATATTGGAAACCTGCCACTGCCTGGGCGCAGAGACTTCCTCACATCAAGATCTTGACCCTTGCCTCTGTATCGTTTCTATCACACCAAGGAAGTACAGGGTTGTTCAACACATGTCTGTCTGGCCTTTTCACAAGCGGCGCAGCGTTCCCGCATTTGGAAACATACCGCAGCAAACTGGCGTTCCTGGGCCCACTTTGAAGAAATACCAAACCGATTTTAGAAGAAAGCTGCTACTTCCAAGTGAAGACCATTCTTTCTATTCATCGCAACTGGTACTTTGAACAAGTACGACGGGCAGCTTGCTCATCCCTTGCTATATACCTCTTGCTGCTACTTGCTTCAGAGGCGAAATGACCGAATCACACATCACAAAGTGGGATCTCTCTGCTCTACAAGAACATTACGGCCTCAGCGTGTTCATCAGCGATTTCACCTTGAAACGTCAGAAATTGGTTCATCCCCTTTCACAAGTTCCACACACCAACACAGTTGAGATAAACATGAAAGGACATCAAACTTAGCAACTACAAGGCCAACAGAAACATCGACAAGTGAGCCATTCATCCTTGTATCAAACAACTTAGTGTGTTGATAGTTTTCTGTATCCGTTTCTAAGAAAATATCCAATGACATAATGATGTCCATCTCATCCTCACCACTCCGTTCGCAAACGAGCCGCTGATGAGGCCGGAGGCCGGTGACAAGCTCTGCGAGATTCTGCTCCTGGAGTTCCGAGTCGAACGGAGGCCATTGCTACTAGGGTGGAGACCATCGCTGCTAGGGCTATCGCTATAGTAGGTTATATAAAAACAATAGGTTTGAAGCAAACAGTACCACGTACTATCTTACTATATATTTGTGTGCTGAGATAATGCCTCGAATATCATGAATAAAATGTAATGTATAAAGTAAGTTGTTCGTAGTATGTATATCATTGTTGCGTGGGGGTAGGCCATGCAAGACTTTAGGCAGCAAATTAGCAAGCTAAGTAAGTAGCTAGTGCAACCAGATCTAGTTAGCACGATGAGATTCTTGAGAAAGAGTTCAAGAAGGAGCGACCATTTAGCAATGACCGTGACTCTCGGAATCCGAGAAAGCCTCAAACCGAAACAAATTCCAATTTGTTGTAGCTTCGCAGGCAGATATCCACATACTCTTGTTATCATATTAACATGGACAATGGTAAATGCTGTGCCATAAAGACCGTCTTTGCCTTGAAATTGATGGCAGGGCAATGAGGATCTTGCACTTGAACACTGCAGAACAAATGTAACAATGCAGGCCCTTGATATTTACGTATGTTTACCTAAAGCACCATGAAACACATTCTTTAAGTTGAACCGCTGCATAAAGGTACGTACTTTGAGGAACAAAAAATGACACGTAAACCTGCGATAACTGTGAATGAAGAGTAGGTGTTCGACTCTCTCGAACTCCTCGACGCTGTTCGACATCTATTGCACCCCCCTGGTATTCATAGTGGTGGTAACTTTGCTAACAAAAACGGTTCATATCACAGTTCAAAAACATTGTCCATATTGGGCTCGCATTTGTTGACACACCTCGTTCCCAGCAATGCTGCTGGATGACTTTACCCAAGGCACATCGTCTTGGTAATCTGCTTCCCAAGTTTGGCTACACGATTAAAGAGTGGGTCCATTAGTGATCTTGCTTCCAAGTTGCTCCTAAGGATTGAAGTTGGGAAAGGTGTGAGAAGGATCATGCAACTAAACGCTTTGTTGCCGCTTTGCCGACATGTGCAAGATGTCGGGAAACCTCTAGAGGCTAAAGATCTGCCACCAAGACCCAAATCTGCAAGGGACAGGGACCGGCAAGTGCAGGCAGCAAAGGGCCACAAGAATAAAGGGAGACCGTTCCAGTGCCAAGAACCAAAGTAAAGTGACCTAAGATACAACACTTGGCGGACCTTGCCGCTGCGATAAAGGCACCTATTGTCCGAGAGAGGAACCGATGTTACTCCGTAAGCGCCAAAACAACAAAACAAATTGCCACTGCGTTTGAGCTCCTGTTTCAGGTGCAGCAGCTCAGCAGCACTCAATATCGGGCCTTGGGTAGTCTTCTTGTTTGTTGCACAGTTCACTATACAGAATCAAATATCTGTCAATTCAAAGGACATGCAAAGTTGAGCCAGTGGCAATGTGATAACTGGAACACCCAGTCCCACAGACTTTTCAAGTGGCACAGTAATTGCGGGTTCACAGACATTCAAGCACACAAACTAGCAAATAACCCTTGGCAAATGCACATTGTCGACTAAAGTGTCACCCACAGTGTCGATGAGGAGGACCTTTTTGGATCCCACGAACTGCGGGTCTGTCGCTGCGTCTCTGTCGCAGGTGGAACTCTGGGCACGGTCGACCCAACTTTCGCACATCATGAACAACCAGAATTGGGTTAGAGTGTTCGTTGAAATCTGTTTGTTCCGTTTCTCTAGATTTCATGGGATATGGCATTTATGGAACGGTTGACTTTGGACTGGTCTTATGACTTATGACTCATGACCCAAAACAGCTTACACTTGGATTAAATTTTGCTTGGATTGCAACAAACCTTCTTTGCCAAGAGTTCAGTGTCCTTCGTTTCGAAGCTGCTTGCACACCAATTCTGGTACAGTAAAATACAGGAGTCAAGTAGAATCTATATTATATACAATTGTCCTGGTTTGTGGACTTCAAACAAGATCCTGCCCATGGCAGATTCGGTCACCACCGTCGAGGCTTCCATATCATCAGAATCGTTCCTCAAGAGCGCAGCTGACCTGGGCTGACTGATCACAACACAAATGCAAACTTGACCTGTCTGATCCTGTCTGTCAACATCCCTCTTTTGGGTTCTGGGATGCCCCTCGAGGCATCTGAAGTCTCCTGACAAGAATTTTTGGTGCACACCCCTGGAGCGCTCCACATCAATAATCTCATGCTGAATGTAAAAGACCTTGACAAGTTACCACCTCTGGATGATATGAGCGGGGAATGCGACTCTGTCTCCAAGTGCCCTCTCCTGGCTGCTGACCTGTCGGCCTTAATTGTAATGTTGCCAGCGCAGTCTGACCTAAAGCTCCATGAACATCATGATGAGACCAGTATAACGTGCACCTGAACCCTTCCAGGGCCTGCACCTGCTTTTGCCTTGCCCTTCTTTGACTGAAAGCGCCAAAGGACAAATCACACAAGGTGCATGACATATTCATCCGCGCCGACTGGTTTCATCCAACCACAAAACATCGTGCGATCATTGCGGACCCATTTTGCCAGCCTGCCCTGTGGTGTTGGCACCCAGCGCTCGTGCCTGGATCTGCGTGAAGGAGTTTCGGGTGATGCGTCTGGCATCTCCACGCATCTTCCATCAAGCATCATCTTTCAAGCTGGGCTATTGGCCAGTCTTCCCAGTCCTGGCCATAGCCCCACCAGTCCTTGCTTGGCACCCCCGGTTTTAGGCGCCTGTTTGACCTCTCCGGCTGAAAAAGACACCTTCCAATTCCATCTGAGTTGCTCCGTTCCACCCGGTCTTCCCCTTCTTGCCAGCCTGCGGAAGGGGGATGTCCAGACGCTTGCGGGTAATAAGGAGTGTTGCAGCAGCTTTAGGACATGAGTGCTACAGCTGAAAGAAAGCTCTGGAGCCCACCTTCCCGTGACCCCATTCATCCCAAGACCACCAGCGGCTGTCACCTGTGAATGACACACCTGTTTGCCTAGAATGCCTAGAACATTGACATCTGTCTGAGGCAGCTGGCCATCGTACGCCCATGCATCGTTCTTTGGAGGTGCACCTAGGCCTGGGCCGGGTCGTCGCACTATGCCCCGTACGCAGTAGCATCACAGAAGTCGCTTCGGACTCCTCCCTGCACATCAATGTGCTGCTTCAAATTTCACATGATCCCAACTGATGTTCCGGTTGCAGTTCACGTTGCTGTGGCTCTCTGAGGCTCAAGCTGCCTGCCTTGACCTGTTGCAATAGGGCTAGGCCGGCGCCAGCGTCAGGGCGCCCTATGCACAATGTGTCAGTTTTCGGCCGTTTGGGCATCACTGAGGACAGTACTTGTTGGGCGTATGGCAGTGTATCGTAGTGTCGCAATATGTCGCAATGAGTGGCTCGGTGAAGTAAGGGGAAAGTGGTTGATTTTGCAAGTTTTCTGTTTCCGTCACGTCATTCGGCTTCAAACTTTTGGCCAGTACCGGGCCTGACTCCACCTTGCGTGTGCCGCCGCCCTTTAACAGTTGCAAAAGGACTGCACCCGCTTGTTGCGGTGGGCGTTCCTGCCAAACGTTAGCAAAAACTTTCACTGCACTGTGCTTGTGTCAATGAGACACGTAGTGAGCGCTGGATTAGTTTTGGACAATACATACGCACACATATATATATATATACAGCACTTACAAGCCAATTTAATTCAAAACGACACGTGCTGGTGTGTCAGTTTGGAGATCTCTAGTCCTCCTTGTTGTTGACCAGATTAAGCAGGATTTTTCCTGCTTTTGCGCCAGCATCATTCGTGCCTGTGCTTGTGGGCACTGGAGCCTAGCGGGGAAAGCATGTCTCGACGGCGTGATCCAGTAGCAAGGGGTGCACAAATCGGAACGTCTGCTTCTGGTCTTTCCGATACTTCCCGATGCAAAGCAAGAACATTGGCCTTCGGCGTTGGTTTGTCTCCTCGGTGATTCAAGAACTAGTGACCTGCCTTTTTCGTACTTGATCCAACCAACGAGCGTTCAGCTGCATTCACATTCTCTCAGCTTGCTGCCATGCACGGCGACACTGCTTCCAGCCTGGTCAATCTATCTCCCTCTCTCTCTATATATATATGAGGTCATGAAGGTCATGGGTTCACAACTAGACGACGGTTGGCCCGAGAGCGAGACATGTCATTGTCCGGCACTGTCGAAAAGATATATAGAAAGAGAGAAAGAGAGGGTGGACGTGAAGGAGTGACAGTGTGGATGTGCAGGAGCAAGCAAGACTTCAAGCACTTCCACTCTACCAACAGCACTTGAAGCAAGCAAGACTTCAAGCACTTCAGCAGCAACAGAGGGAGGCAGCGCAGACTGAAGCGCTTCGCCAACGGCAGGAGGAGCTAGCAAGGGCTGAAGCCTTTGAGCAACAGAAGGCGGAGACAGCACAGGCTCGAGCGCTCAAAAGAACAACAGGCCCAAAAACAGAGAGAGGAGCAAGCAATGGCTGAAGCAAGTGAGCACCAGCAGGCAGAGGAAGCACAGGCTCGAGCGGCACAGCAGGCGGAGGAAGCACAGGCTCGAGCGCTCCAGCAACAGCAGCTTCGCCAGCCACAGGATGCAGCAAGGGCAGTTCATCAACCAGAACCCCTTACGACAATAGACTCTGCAATTCGGGGTGCGCCTTGGCACCGACAGGGGGCGTATGTCAGCCCTTGGCAGCAGCAGGCACAGCAACAAGCGCATGCATTTGAGCAGCAGGCAGCAACTGCGGCTGCTTTGCAAAGTGTGTACAAGCAACGTGAGGGAGAAGCGCACCTGCAGCACCTCTTGCACCAGAAGCAGCAGCCTCAACCTGTGACTCAGCAGCAGCAAATGATGCAAGCAAGTGCACAAAGCCTAGATGAAGCAGCTTTGCGAGAAGAGTTGCTGCACAAGAAACAATCACAAGAAGAGACACCAATACAGAAAATGTCTCCAGCCCAAGAAGCAGTGATGCAAGCAAAGGAGCAGCTATGTTTGGCAGATATGCAAGCTGAGCAAGAGCATGAGCAAACTCCAAACCAAAAGAAACAAAGGCTCTTTTCGCCAAATACGAGAATGTCGGATGTAAACGACCAGTTCGACAGGCAGTACGAACTCGCAAACGCAGCTGTGCAGCAGGGGATTGCTGAAGTGGAAGGTCAAAAACAAGCTGCAATACAAAGGTATGAAGAAATGAAAGCAGCATTCGCCAGGGAGGAAGAGGCTCTGCGACAAAAGAATGAAGAGTTGCAGCGGAAACAGATGGAACTCGAGCGGCAGCAGCAGGAGTTGAAGCAGCACGCTGAAAATTCAAGAGCAGCTCTTCAACCCAATGTTCCCTTGCATCTACAACACTTTGGACTTCTCTTGCCAAAGTCAATGCCCCCAGCTCCGAAGGAGGCTTTTTTGCCTCCCACATGCAAAGCAGCAGCAATGGCAAGTGCAGCGAGGCTTCCACCGCCGCCGCCACCACCCTCCACAACTTCTCCAGCCCCAACGGCAGAGGCGGCTTCCCCAACAAGCGCTACTCCACCAATGGAACCACCAGCAACACCGAAGCATCAGCCATACATGACGCCTCCCCCACAGTTTATCCAACCCGGACCCATTGTTGGCTCATCTGGCTTGTTCCCATCATTCCCCGTCCCTCCTGGGCCTGTGCCTTCTCCTGCTCACCCACAAACTTCGTGACTTGACCGAAAACATAATTGTGGGAATTGTAAGGTTTGTTGAACATAATAATATATATATATACATACGTCTGCGCAATCACAGTACACACATAATCGATTTACCTAGAACCCAACAGGCCCCTGTTTTGATAGAAAAAACATATTTTGGGTGGTTGGCGGTCAAAACAAAAGGCCACCCAGGTTCTAGGTAGATACAGATATAGACAGCACAAACAGTTTGAAAGGGCACCCCAAATAATTTTGATTGATGGGTATTATAGACACAGGATGACATGTTCTATAGACACAGGATGACATGTTCAGGGTTACATCAAACCTTTTCTATAAAGTGTGTTTGATACAGAAACTCAAGAACAAGAACAAGGCCAAGTGGGTTAGAGGCAGTTGTACGTACAGATGAGCTCAACCCGGCAGTGGCGGAGTCAATGGCGTTCAACAAGAAAATGCCTCCGGCCGTTCTGAACTCCTCCACTTGTCCAGAGGCTTGGTCTTTCCTCTATCGGCTGTGCCGAGATGGAGAGAAGAAGGGTGTGCCGGAGGACATCCTGCAAGCCTGGAGGTCGCCAGGCCCGGCTCGCAACAAGTTGTTGCACGACTTTGTGCAGAAGTGCTTCAACAAGGAGGTGGACGCTTCGACGAACCGAGCCCGGCTTGAGGCCTTTGTGAAGATCCGCCAGGCGTCGAAGGACTGGAAACGGGACTTGAAAGGCTATGAATGGCTAACGGAAGAAGAGATGAAAGAGAAAGGTTGGAGCGAGCCACTAGAAATAAGCACAGCAATCTTTTAGAGCAAGAGAAACAGCAAAGCTTTTTGGTTTATCTTCAAACAGATCATCTTAAGACCCCCCAAATCCCAATGTTAAGTCTTGCTGAACTTGGCTCATGTATGTCCCAGCCCCTCTAACAATGGAGTGTCCCTTCGCTAAGAAGTCTTGTTTACGAATTGTTACTGGAGCTGGGACATACCAAAGGCAAGTTCGCAAGCAATATATTTTGGGAATTTGACTTGAAAGCTTCGCAAACCATCACAGCAATCTTGGGCCAAGGACAAAGATCAAAGGCGCTATCGAGTACTGCAAAGCCAAGAGGTTGACCAAAGACTGCCTGTACGAAAAAGTGAAGAAGTACCTGGTCTTGGTGAGCGACAAAGTCGAGTATCGTGGCTGAATCACGCAAACAAATCAAAAGCCGCGCAAAGCTAAAGTGTAATGTTTCATCTGGGAAATGCGATTCTAAGGCAAGGCTCGGAGAAGCTTCGTGAGTTGGAAGAACTTATGGCCGGCACTGGGCTTTTCACAGAGAACATGTCGCTTGGATTGGGAGATGTCCTGGACGTCTCCGATAACGAAGAGACAGAGGTTCCTGAGAGTGGGCCTTTCCGAGCTTGGAAGCGAAAGAGACAACCCAGGAATTTGTCACGAAGTACAAGCGTGCACTTCTCAACCGGAGGCAGGTCTTTCGCGATAACAAAGAGAAGTGGAACGAAGAAAAGCCTCCAACCGGAAAGATTCTTGCTCAGAGGTTGTATTTTTCCAACTTGTGTTGTATTTGTTGTAGGGCTTTATTTTCTGGTCAGGCAAACCTTACAGTCTCAACTTTGTCGCCTGCGCGCGTTGACACTGAGGGACGATTTCACCGTGCTGGAGCAAACTTCGAGACGCTCACAAGAATTGAGTTTTCCAACGCGAAGATGACTAGTAATTTGTTTCTGGATATCTCTTCATCTTATATATATATATATATTAGTTTCTTTCAAGCATGCATGTGCCAAGACTGTAGTCTTGCGCGCGCAAGCAAGCAAGGCGAGATCACGCAGATGGAAGTGCAGCAAAACAAAGTCAACGCGAATGACAAGTCCGCCTACAAGGATCTGACTGAGAAAGTGAAAGAACTGTGCACGAGGTTTGGAAATGAACTGTCCGCTGTAAAGACTCATTTTAAAGGCAAAGCCAAAAGCCACACCTGCAGAGCCTGTCAAGCCTGAACTGGAGTAGAGAGACCCCAGGGAGCAGTGAGATGTAGAAAGCTTTATGCCTTCAGTCAGAAAGCTTTATGTCTTTCAGTCATGGCTGCACGGAAAATGTTCTTGAGAGTTTGCTGGGGTCCCGGAATCTTGGGGTCGTTTTGGCCTATTCCTCCGCCGAAGTGCATGGAATGGCCATGGGCTTTTGCCACTCTCAGTTCAAGCTGTGAGTGAACATCAGTTTGAAAGAGAGCCGCTGAGATCAGCGCTGGTGGAAAAAAGGCAAACTTTCTATTTTGCTCCCCCTGCAAGTTGACACTAACACGTTTCAAAAGAATATCAAAAGCAATAGTGGTTTCCAACCAGGGATTGAAACTTGTAGGCGTCAAACTTCCGGGGAGCAAACAAAGGGCAAATGAGCAAGGGATTTGCATGTTGCTCCCCTGCAAGTTGACACTAACAAGTTTCAATCAAATTTCTATAACAGGATTGAAACTTGCAGGTGTCAAACTTGGGGGGAGCAAAAAAGGGCAAATGAGCAAAGGATGGGAAGCGCTGTGGCAGCTGTTTAACCAGAAGTTCTTCAAGAGAGTGTTTTGGACGTGTTTCTGCTGTGGAGGTGCTGCATCAATTGGACACGTCTTGGACGAGTATGTTGCAACTTGGCAAGTTATTATATCAAGATACATAAAATTTACCTCCTCGGTCTGGAATACACAGCTAACGGTTTCACTTTGACGACTTTAACTCTGTATGGTTCCTGTGAAACCACTGGCTGTGTATTCGATTCCAACGTTGCGCTCATGCTTCCAATTAATGGTATGTATGTCCAACTGCATGTTGATTGCTTCTATCAGGGTATCCGCTATGGACAGGCACAATCAGCCCGGTTGGAATTGTCCCCGCATTGGTTATGCACAATGAAACGGTCCCCCCAAAACATTCAACCAGGCATTGATTGTTCCTGTGGACTACCATCATTGACAAGCAATCAAAGCAGTTGGATTCCAATTTCGCGTTGATCAATCGTTTGATTCTTGGACGCTGGTTTGGGCAATTTGTTCGTCAAGATTTATCTATGGACGTGGGCCGCGCTGCCAAGAACACAGTTTGAAACACAATGTGTGTATCTGAGGCTCACTCAGCCGCGAAAGCAGCAGAGACTGCACTCTTGCAGGCGCAAACAATTATTCCAGGGATTCAAGGACAAGTTGAGCTGATGCAACTGGGGTATGCGCATCAAGCAAAAGCAGACAAGGAAAGTATGTTTTCGCAACAAGTGATCAACATTGGTGTCTGCTTACAGGTAACTCCAAGTGTGATAGATCTCCCTTCACTGGGCTATAAGCGCTTGGACATCAGAACGGTTGCGGAATATTTATTGCAACACTGGCCTGGGAAACTCCTAGCTGGGCAAGAGGTGACAAAGTTTCAGGATCAGTTGCGTTGCTTTTGGTCTGCGATTGAAAACCTGTATCCATCCCACGATGTGTTTAGCAGCCACAGCAGGCACTTGCACCAATGCATTCCTGCGAAGATTCACAGCGACGAGGGTACAGGTTTGAGGAAGAGTCCTGTCTATCAATTCTCCTGGGGTCCAATTTTGGCATCCAGCGGGGCTAGTTGGGACCGGTACTTTTTCTGGAGCTGCATCACGCACGAAGCCTACAAAGAATGTCATGGCGGTTTGAAAAAGGGAACAAAGTACTCGATGAGTTGGCACAGCATTTTGCAAATCAAGCAAGGTCTGTGTTTGACCATCCAGTTGCGTGTGAGAGTTCTGGCCAGGAATTCTATATTGTGTTTGTCGGATACGAGGGCGATTTGCCGGCGCAGGCCCGCACATACCATCTTAAGCGCAACTTTGGGTGCTCCCAAACCCAATGTGCCCACCTAGGTATATCAGACCGCAGAAAGACAAGGCTCAACTCTCACAGCATAGGACTAAGGTGTTCTGTTGAAGGTGTTTCTGTTGAAGGTGTTTCAAACAACGTATTTTTTTAAAGAGGTCTGACATCAAGTTCCTGCAGCTCTATTGTTCAAATACAGTACAATGAGGTCGGTCCACCGATATCCGTGTTGAGGGTCTAACATACTCAAGCTTGAGGGTCTACAATGATCATGAAACCATCTTAGACCTTTCAGTCCCAGCACCTAGGGGTGCACTGATTCCAGACCCTAAGTAGTTGAGGGTATCATATCTGCACTCTGCACATCTACATCTCCCTCATCTTCACATCCTCACATCTACATCTCACATCTTCACCTCTCGCTCTTCTTAACTTTCTCTCTTAAGGCCGGGGGCAATGCCGCCAGAGCGCCACGAAACGCAACCCTCTGCGCAGATCGTGCGTGTCGAGGGAGCGAAATGCAGGCGAGAGTGCGATTTGACCCGGTCCGGTGCAACCCTCTGCCCAGATCGTGCGTGTCGAGGGCGCGAAATGCAGGCGAGAGTGCGATTTGACCCGGTCCGGCGCAACCCTCTGCGGAGATCGTGCGTGTCGAGGGCGCGAAACGCAGGCGAGAGTGCATTTTGACCCAGTCGCGGGCAACCCTCTGCGGAGATCGTGCGCGTCGCGGGCGCGAAATGCAGGCGAGAGCGCGATTTGGTTTTGTCCGGCGCAACCCTCTGCGGAGATCGTGCGTGTCGAGTGCGCGAAATGCAGGCGAGAGTGCGTTTTGACCCGGTCCGGCGCAACCCTCTGCGGAGATCGTGCGTGTCAAGTGCGCGAAATGCAGGCGAGAGCGCGATTTGTCCTGCTCGCGGGCAACCCTCTGCGAAGATCGTGCGTGTCGCGCGCGCGAAACGCAGACGACAGGCGATGAGTCCCATGCGCGCGCGTATCTGGGGAGCTGGAAGATGAGAACTGGCGACTTGCTAGTACAACTGTAGTACGCGGACTGGCTGGGGAGCTGGAAGCTGAGAACTGGCGACTTTGTAGTAAAACTTTAGTGCGCGGAGTATCTGGGGAGCTGGAAGATGAGAACTGGTGAGCTGCTAGTACAACTGTAGTACGCGGAGTAGCTGGGGAGCTGGAAGATGAGAACTGGCGACTCTGTAGTAAAACTTTAGTGCGAGGAGTATCTGGGGAGCTGGAAGATGAGAACCGTAGTAAAACTTTAGTACGAGGAGTATCTGGGGAGCTGGAAGATGAGAACTGGCGACTTTGTAGTACAACTTTAGTACGCGGAGTATCTGGGGAGCTGGAAGATGAGAACTGGCGACTTTGTAGTACAACTGTAGTATGCGGAGTATCTGGGGAGCTGGAAGATGAGAACTGGCGACTTTGTAGTACAACTGTAGTACGCGGAGTAGCTGGGGAGCTGGAAGATGAGAACTGGCGACTTTGTAGTAAAACTTTAGTACGCGGAGTGTCTGGGGACCTGGAAGATGAGAACTGGGGACTTGGTAGTACAACTTTAGTACGAACCTACGACACCATCGCTCAAACGACGCATAATCCGCGGCTGCCACAAAAAGAGCCATCGTGACGTTAGTATGTGTGTACTTCACCTTCATGACAAACGATGTTCGCTTGGAACACACGAGTCGCTTGTCATGATCGTGAAGTCGTTTACTCTCAGATCGCCATGTTCGTGGCAACTTCAGTGTGAAATGTACGTTCTTCAGTTCTATTTGAACCTCTTGACGTTGCGCTGCCGTTGCATCGACGCATCTACGTCTACACCCCCTCACCTCTCTACATTTACATCTTGACACGCTCACATCCGCAGATCTACCTCTCCACCTCACCACACCCACACATCTGCACATCTATATCACATCTGTACATCCACACTGTCGCTCCTTGACATCTGTCCTGTCATTCTTTCTTTCTTTCTTTCTTTCTACATATCTTTTCTCTCGCCTTTGTGCATTTACATCTTCGCGCGCTCACATCCACAAATCTACCTCTCCACCTCCATACATCTACAGATCTATATCGCACCTGCACATCCACATTGTCACTCCTTCACATCCACTCTCTCTTTCTCTCTTTCTATATATCTTTTCGACAGTGCTGGACAATCACATGTCTCGCTCTCGGGCCAACCGTCGTCTAGTTTGGTTTGGCCTCCCAGGCAAAGCACCTATCAAGAAACACATCCGAACACTGACATGAAAAGAAAAGATCGATTCGCCGTACAATCCCACATGAACCCCGATGAACCCACAGTCAGTTGTCGGACTGTCGGACGCAGCCATCCATCAAACTCCAACCACGCCTCCTCTTTCTGGGGCTCCTCTTCCTTTTCCTGCAAATACGGCTAGGTGAAACAACAACACATTTGGTCAATTATGCTCGATGTCTAAGCCCGAGGCTGTGGCACACGGATGGGGACGAACAACTATCTGGACCGTCGAGAATCAGCTCAAAGCACTGCTCATGGATTAAATGCAGTGGCTTAGAAACCTTATACGCAAGCCACTCGAGCTGTTTGTTGTGTGAGGGGGCGACATGGTGGCGTTTGGTAGCTGTGCTCGACCAAAACTTTAGGCAGGTTGCGCCACAGAGACATGACAAAAAGTGAGAAAGACGCTTGCGGTGAACACTTCTGGGCAAGACATGTCTAACTTAATCGCACTTATAGCCATAATCTATAGCATATAAACTAAAATCAATTATAATCACTTTTCACTTTTCTTCGAGAATTATTGCGCAGCTTGAGGTCCTGAGAGTGCACATGTTCCTCTTCCTCTTCGGCTTCCAGCTCCATTAGATGTGCCGTCTCGTTAAATTCGTGGAGCTCTCCATCTTCGTGTTCCAAATGATGTTCGTGTTCCTTCTTTGGCTCCGCAGTCGTCTCCTGCACGACTCTGACTAAGAAGTGAAGGAGACAGTGGTGTTGAAGCTTCGAACACCTAGGGTATCCTAGGGTACTTCCTTGACTCAAATGAACTATCCAGCTCTGTGCGGTTGTGGCTTGCAGCAAGGACAGCACACTTAGAGTGATGGTGGGACGAATTCATGCAAAGTCAACGGACAATTGTTTAACTTGAAGCAACATGACAGGAACCGGTTGCAAATGATTGGCAGCATTAAATATACTTGCTCAAGATTTGACCAAACTGTGTCTACTTGAGCAGTACCCTCAAGCGTGACCTGCAGTGATCCTTATACCACAAAGTTGAGTGAGTTCACACTCAATAAGTTGTTCCAACTTCCCTTTGTGGCTTCAAATCAATCCGTTGAGTTCGCACGCCAGGCGTTCTGCCTTGTCCGTTTCGCTCACAGTTGTGGCCTGAGCCCGGAGAGCACACGGTGTCGACCCGCTGAAAGAACATGTAAACCGTGTAAACCTATTTACATCATGTTTACATGTAGTTTTGGAGGTGAGTGGCCAAAGTTGTTCAATAATGCGAAGATGAATTCTTTATGATCTGGGAAACACATGTTTGGGTAAACTGACACACAAACAGCCCACATCCAATCCTTTGGACTGTGGCAAAGAGTTGGGTAGGGAGAGAAACTGGCAACAAACAACTCAAATCCTTTTGGTTATATATATATATATGGCCTGTGTAGAACAAGGAGACTTGACTTCATTTGCGTGCCCCCTTCCTGCAGACCGTGCCAAATGTAGCAACCAAAGTGCTGTTCCTCAACCATCTCTGGATTGTCGAAAAGTACTTAAAACATCAAGAACCACATCAAAACACATCAAACATCCGTGGGTTGCTGTGGTTGTTTAGACCTCTTCCGATCTTTGCCTCTGAAAAGGAAGAAATCGAACGATTCCCTGCGCCAAGTATCGGTGGGAGATGGGGCCACGTCTGACTTCTCAACTTCCTTGGCGGAAGAGTTGGCATGCCCTTACCCCCAAAAAGGCGGGCTGCTGTGCCTAGACCCCTTCACTCCCTGGTTTCCAGTCATTGAACCCGTCCAAAGAGTTTCACTGTGCAAAAACGCCGTCCTGGCTGCTCCGGTGTGACCAAAGAGGCTTCCTATCGGTACCATCTCTGCCAGTCTCTGAGAGAAGACTATACGAAGCAACGCTGCCGATGTTTGATCTTATGAGAGCCCGCTGCAGCAAATGCTGATCTGAAACAGACTACGACTACGACTAAGAGTTAGAAAGATATAGGAAAATTACAAAAAGTCTATCGGCGAGTTGTTCAAAACAGGGAAATCATGGGAGCGTTGGAACATGTAGAACTTTCTGCTTAAGCTTTGATGAAGGTGTTCCAAAACAAGTCTTCAACATTCCGTGATATTGACTCATTGACTTTACAGACCTCTCCATGTTGATGAGATATAAACAATCTGGGAAATGTCAAGATGAAACAACAGTTCGAACCCATCAGTTGCCCTGCTCAACCCGGAAAATAGAATCCACTCTAAGACATGCAAGCTTCCTTCTCTTGCGGTTTGCTTGCGATTGGTGATTCGGACCCTTCGCCGTTCTCTTCCGTCTTTTCCTGGAGATCAAAATGCGACAGCTCACAAACAAACTCACGGCACAAGTAAACTGTTCATTCCACGAGCAAACTATGATTAGTACGATACATGTGCTTCACCCTTGATACGTTGCCATCTTGCCACAAGTGCCGGGATCTGGTATCAAGACGCATCAAAATAGCATGTAGCACACTTAGGCGTGCAAGTGTCTTCCTCTTGTGGCTTGCTTGGGTTTGGCGATTCGGCCCCTTTGTCTTCAGTCTTTCCCTGACTGCTAAGATTGGGACATGAATGCCAAGGAACACTCACAAGCAAACACACACAGCCGGCCACAAGCTACACCTGTCATTGAAGGCTATTGAAGGGTCAGTATTGGACGGACAATAGTTGTAATACGTTATATATACTGTTATATATGTATAATTGTCAGTCCCTTTATATAAGATTCTGCTTGCACTATCTCTGCTCTACTGAGAAAGTAGGAAAGTAGAGTCTAGTAACTCTAGTACAGTCAATCGTGCAAGGTCTTTCTCCTCTGACTTGCTTGGGCTTGGTGATTCTGGCCCTTCAACTCCGTCTTGGGTCTTCTCCGATAGCGGGGACAAATCCGTAAATGGTGTGAGTAAAACACAAAGAAGCAACAGAAGCAAACACCTCACAAGAAAAAACACACCCTTTTTGGCCAGGATCAATCCGAGCTGTCAGCTTATGCACATTCATTCTCAAAACTGGTTCTGTTGCAACCGTTTGCAGTTCCAAGTTACCTCGTTACGTCCAGTCACCACGAATCACCACTAAGATGAAAGTCTCCTACGGTCAGGCAACCCAGTCAAAAAACAAGATGGAGCCCACGAACCCGAATGCAAGCACGATCGAAAAGCTGCATATGTCCAAATGACACTCTTGTAGGACACTCTTGTGGGACACTCTTGTGGGTCACTCTTGTAGGAAACTCTTGTGGGTCACTCTTGTGGGACACTCTCACGCAACAATCTTGTGGGACACTCTTCTAGGGCACTCTTCTGGGACACTCTTCAGGGACACTCTTGTAGGACACTCTTATGGGTCACTCTTGTGGGACACTCTTGTGGGACACTCTTGTCGGACACTCTTCTGGGACGCTCATGTGGGACACTCTTGCGAGACACTCTTGTAGGACACTCTTGTGGGTCACTCTTACAGGACACTGTTCTGGGTCACTCTTACGGGACACTCTTGTAAGTAGGACACTCTTGTAGGACACTCTTGTGGGACACTCTGGTGGGACACTCTTGGCGCTCACACGTGGCGCGTCGTTTAACCCGGCTGCACCTTCGCCTTTTCCAGCATTTGGATGGCCTGGTCGCGGAGAGAGAAAGGTGGCGGAGACAGTTCTAGACTTCTCAGACAGCCTATGACCGAGCCTCTTTGAGACGGTTCAGCCTTCTGTGGTTTCTTTCTGCCTCCTGAGACTGAGATCTGGGACATCAACTGAACTATAGACATTGGCGCTTTGTATGCAGAAATTTATCTGCTAAGGGCAACGCCTACCCCCCCATTTCTGGGCATTTAAGGGTATGTTTGAGGAGAGTGTGAAGAAAAGGTAGCGCAATAAGCAGCTGCACAGAAGGTTGTGCTGTGCATGTTTAAATATGTCGTTTCTCCAAAACACACATATATATAATTCCCAGCTACTAAATATGACTGATCCAAAACGAGTGCCCTCCATGATTGCATGGGAGAGATAGAATTTGCGGCGCAGTACAGAGCCTGGATGGAAACAGCGCCGAACAGAGATGGACACGGCAATGGGGAAAAAAGCTTCGCAGTTCCTGCGCTCTAATTTTGTGGGATACTTGCACTTGCACCAAACAGATGCTCAATCTGCTTACCAGGGCTCCCACATCATCGTATTTTACCCCTTCCCCTCCCTTCATCGTGTGGCTTTAGCAACTCTCAACCTATCCTTCTGCTTCCGGAAGAATTTGAAGCCCCTGCCCTTTGAAACGGCCCTTTCTTTTCCCTTCACCTTCTTGGTTCACACTTCCAGTGTCCATTCCTTGCCATTTCATGCACCTTCCTTCACTTTTCTAATTGTTCTTTGCTTTCTACAACACCACCTATCTATCTCCATCTATCTCCGGAACTATCTCTCCTTCAGCATGTTCACACTTGAGATATCAGCGCGCTTAGCAGACTTTATATGTTGGCAATCAATGGGAAAAAAGGCAGTGGTAAGCAGACCGTGATTGAAAAATGTACCCCCTAAAAATGATCTGCTTGATTTCTACTGTGGGACCATTTCTTCTTACTGCCTAACAGCCACGGCCGCCGCCTCTGCTCGCAGAGCCTTATACTCACACCAGGTCATCTGCACACCTTGGACCAAACGCTCAGGGCCTTCTCCGCAGCAGCGGGACCCGAGGTCCCCACCTCGCACTTCCACCAGCCAGTTTAACGCCATGGCCCTTCGGAGTGATGGAGTCTGTTCGCGGTTTGTTGTGATCTCGGTGAGGTGATGGAGTTTGCAGTTCACGTGATGTTTCGGCTTGCGACGCGTATACACTTTCATTCTCACCTTCCTTCAGCCTGCTTGCTACATTTCATTCACAAAACAACAAAACAACAAAACGATGAGCACTCAATGAAGGAGCAAACAGGCCATACGCAACTTTTTGCTGCGACGCATCATAAAGAAAAGTTTGAGCCAAGCTTGTCAATCAAGGCCTTGGTGTATTCTGCCAAATCTGGATTATTGCTATCCCGGAAATCTCTGAGCTTTGCCTTGGCTTCTGGTCCAAGGGCTTTAGCCACACTTGCTGCTTGTGTGTCAGCGAGCGATGCCAAAGCCAGAACCACGAGACTCATGCTGTTTGCAGTGACCTTTGGCAGCAAAGCTGCAATGGACGTGGCAGCACCATGCTCAATGGCGGTTTTCTGCGTGGCCTCAGCCGATCTTGTGATGTTGGCTAAAGCACCAGCTGCCCATTCGGCGGCCTGCACGGCTTTTGCTTTCAACAACTCCGTCAAGTCCTTCACCGCTGGTGCAGCTTTCTCAGCATTGTCCGGAGATCCAGCCGTCAGGTTCATCAAAGCACCTGCTGCATATTCTTTCGCTGAATCATCACCAAGCCGCAGCATGTCCATCAAGTACTCCAGAGTGCCACACTTGACGAGCTCTGCTTTCACTTCTGTCCACCTCCAAGAGAGATTCATGATGCCAAGTGCTGCCTCACCAACCATATCCTTCAGCAGAGCCAGAAGGGGCTGACCTGCACCAGCTTGCCAAACTGCATCACAAGGGCCGTCTTCTGCGGCCAACATTGCTAAAGCATGAGCACCCTGACGCTTTGCATCTTCAGACAGCCCAGTTTCTTGAATCAAAGCTACCAAAGATCCAATCATCTCAGGAGCCTGCTGATATCCTGCGTGAACATTGCTGGCATGGTCATTGAAAAGGTTTGCCAACGCACCTGCTGCGCGCTCCTTCAGGATTTCATCACTATCTTTCAATGCTTTAGCCAAGGGTTTGAGAGCACCTGCTTCGACAATTCTTTCTTTGATTTTTGGATGTGGACCCAGGTTCATCAACAAAGCCGCTGCAGACCTTCTCACATCAATGTCTTGATCACTGAGTAGTGACACGGTCTTCCGTGTGACTTGTGCCTTGTAGATTTGAATCTGCCGTTCTGAGCTACCGCTTGCCAAGTTCGCCAAGGCTCCAAGAGACTCCGAGTGTCCCGAAGGCTTGGAAAGTAGTGCAGCCAAAGCAGGAATAGCTCCAAGCTTTGAGGCTGCGGTGGCCACCTCCATGTCGCCTCGTGTCAAATTCATCAGTGCTCCAGCAGAATATTCTCGAGCCAAATCAGGGCCTTCCTTTACCAAGTTCACCAAGTGAGTCACTGCTCCATTGGCTACAATCATCTTGGCATATTCGGACGAATCACTGGCCAAGTTAAGCAAAGCACCAGCCGCTTGGGTGCTTACTTCAGGCTCATAGCTTGCTTGTAGAAGGTCACAGAGCTTTGGGATGGCACTGCCGATCGCAGAACGTGCCACTGGGGAGATGGTGATGTGCATGAGGGCTCCAGCGGCATTTTCTTGGGCAATGTCGGATGTGCATTTCAGAAGCTCGGCCAACTTTGGAACTGCTCCCAGGCGAGCGATGGCATCACTGTTCTCTTCATGACCCACGGTCAAATTCCATATTGCATATGCTGCCTCTTGAGCAGGTCCTCCTGCTGTGGATAGCAAATCCACAAGCTTTTGAAACATGCCAGCATCTGCTAACTTGTCTTGATTTGGAGGGCTCTCGTGGCAAAGGTTGCCCAGGACAGCTGCGGCCATTTCTTGCGTGAAGGAGTCTGTTGCACTAAGGAGCTGGGTCAGTTTCGGCACAGCGCCACCTGCAATCATCTCGGTCCCAATGTCCGCATTCTGTGAGACACCAGCATCCGTCAGAAGAAGCATCAACTTCAAAGCGGACTCCTGGCAGAGCAAAGCAGTGTGACAATGCTCAAGTGGCTGCGGGTCAAAACCTCGGCACAACTCATTTGATTTTGCCCAAATCATAGACTGGAGTGTTCACTTACTCAGGAGTGTTCACCTTTCATATCATGTAGCTACTCCTAGAGTGGGTGCGCCCTACCCAACTCTTTCTTGTAAATAAACACGAAAACTAAAGCCAGTTAGTGAAACAAATTGTTGAGGTCTGTTTGTCATAAAATGCTTTAAGGTAAAGTCTTCGCGACTGTTTTTGATGTTTTGCGTCCTGATGTTTGGATTCCCCAAGCATTTTGGAAAGCGGTGTAGCCAAGCCTTCACTGGCAATTTGCACACAAAGTTCATCGTCTCCACGTACCTTTTCATCCAGCTGCCTCACGGCATCCAATTCACCAGCCTGTACACGACGACAGAGTTCCTGCAACGACTTCGGCGCAAGGTGCGACGATGGGATTGGCGTCTTCGTCTTGGAAGGCACTTTCGAGGTGACCTTCGCTGTCACAGCTGCTGAGGCAGGAGAGGTCACCTTCGGTGGGGGAGGACTGGATGCATTGGAGTCATTTGAGCTTGGAAATCGCTGTGAAAGCAAACGCTGCATGAGAGTTTGCTGGCGGCTTGTCAAAGGTTCCTTGCTCTTTGGAGCGCCATCAACAGCCTCTGCTAAGAGCATCTCCTGGAACCTTGCCGGCCTTGGTGTAAAATCCACCCATGTCCCATCAGACAGGGCATTCCACCAAAAGCGTTCTGCTAGAAATGCTTCACTGGTACCTTTGTCAAGGTGCTCGTAAACTGCCCATCCACGAACCACTTCAATTCCAGCAACTTTGGCAGCTTTTTCAGCATTTGAGAAGCTCTGAAGGGGATAAAACTGCAGACCATTCACCAATGATAGCTGCGATGCTTCCGGTAGAGGCACAACACCCACTTTCTTTCCAGCGCACTTTCCTCTCTTCCCGACCAACTGTTTCAAAGATTTGCTAGTTCCGTAAACATTTGGCCAATCTCTGGGGAAACCGATTTCTCCAATGTGTTCTGCATCAAGGTCTGCGGTTGAAACAAAATCGCCGAAGTCAAGCCAATAGCCCTGGCTGCCAACAACCGCTTCTTCACCTTGATCGTCCATCAACTTCACCATGGGGCAAAAACCTTGACGCTGCCTTGATTGTTTTGTTTGAGTGTTCCCGAAAATCTTGCATAATTACTCGGCTGCTAGCCATAGTATCATTGGGCAATGTCATGCCTGGGTGTTCCATGCCAAGTAGTCACAGGTCTCAATAGTTAGTTAGAACATGTTGCTTCAGTTTCTAGTGCAAAGGTCGGAGCCAAATTTCAGACAGGGTGAGGAAAGCGTCAGCTACCACTTCAAGGAACACTCGGTAGAAAATAGACCACGGGTGGCCCGAGAGCGAAGGGATTTTGATAGGCAGATGGCTTGAAAAGAAGGATGTGTGTGGAAAAAAAATAGCTTTGGCCTCCACCCTACTGGCGATGGCCTCCACCCTAGTAGCGATGGCCTCCAATCGAATAGTGAGGAGAGCGGGCGATGGAATGAAGGCGGTAAAGTGCAGGTGAAAGTGAGAGATAAAGAAACAAATGAAAAGTGAGAGAAAAAAACAAACAAACAACTTTTGCAGGAAACTCATAACCTCCCCAATGGGTGCGAATGCCACATCATCGATGTCTTCATCCACACTAGCAATCAACTCATCACTATTATTATTGTCTATTAGTACCTGTTATAGGAAAAATACCTCGATAGATCTTTGTAACAGTCACAAGAAACTCAAAATACAGCAGTATTGAAATGTGAGCAGCTCATTCTCAAAGTGCCCCTTCACAGTGCAACTCCGCTCTCAACCATACCTGCAGGAACATACACCTCACTATCACACGTCTATTGTCCACAGCCACCTATAGTTCACCTGTCATGTGCAAGTGCCTCACCCTGCAATAGTCACAAGACAGTCGAATTTACAATGTAAACGCCTTCACGTTTCATGTCAGGGTGCCCCGCCCCGGAAGACCATTGCAACATCCATCAAACGCTTCAAGTGCCCTTTCACAGTGCCACCCTGCTTTCAACCAAAACTGGAGAAACGCGCGCCACAGCATCACACTCCAAGTGTGTACGGCCACCTGCAAATCACCTTTCTGCCCAAGTGCCACAGAACACCCTTGCAATGTATAGATACGTTGCAAGCTTCAATGAACATGAAACCAAGCCTTGTTAACGCCAGCGGCTATCCCGCTCACTTCAGCCTGACACCGCGTTTACACACACGCACGCACACATGCGTTTCCAGTTTCCCAACAGCACGGAGCCGCGCAAGAGCAGACTTTCCAGCCGCGACAAACCGCATGGCGCCAAAAAAAAGGGCCATCACACAGGACATTTTACTACTAGTAGCTCCTGGCATTAGTACTAGCAGCAAGAAGCTACTAGCTAAGAGCCTTACTACTAGTAGCTTGTTACCACATGTTACTACTAGTAAGGCACCTTGCTACTACTAGCAGCTTCTTGCTGGTAACAAGGCCATCACACAATTCCGCATGCTGCCCACACGCGACTTCGGCCACAAAACCGGCTCAACTTTGCCTGCTCCACCCCTAGTAGCTTCTTGCTCCTAGTAGCGATGCCAGGAGCCCCTAGTAGCGATGGCTACTACCTTACCCAACCTACCAGCGATGGCCTCTGTCACCGCTTCGGACACTCCACACAGGCGATTCACTTTCGCGGCTCACCGGCCACACGAACGCCCAAAAGCAGATGTGAAGGCAATGCGAAGATGTGAAGAAGGTGTGAGATGTGAGAATCTGAGATGTTTAAGTTTCTCAGACGCTTTCTCTGAAGAACCCTTGGCCTCAGGCGCTCTCAGGACAACAAATCTCTAACCCTCTGCGATCTTTTGATCTCGTCCAAATCACTGAGCAACAATCAGCTCAGGATTCAAGTGAAACAAACTGTCCGCTCCGCACTAGCTCTTTTGGTTGGGACCATCAACAAAGCAACAACTTGAACCTCAAATCTGCTACAGGAGCACAGGCCTATCTATGTGGAGACAACTCGCGCTAATTGAGAGGCGTCTGTGACAAGCTAGCTTGGGGGACTGGGCGCAATAAGTAAAATCTTGGGAAAAAGTAAGTAGTAAGAAGAAGCTATTAGCTTATTGTTTCTAATAGCTTCTTGTTACTGGTAGTAAGGCACTTGTTACTAGAAGCGATGCACTTGTTCCTACTAGCTTCTTAAGTGTAAGAGTTTGATAACTCACACATGTTTGGCTTTATGTAAAGTTGCAAGCCTGTAAAATTGCAAGCCTCCCACTCCCACCACCAAGTCTTGTCTGTGATTGTTGCAATTGTGATTTTACAGGTACAGGTACACTCTTGACGTGGGATGCTTGCCGACCTTGCATTTCTGTATCGCATGAGTCCTCATATAGGACCCACTGCATGTAATTTGCAAGAAGCTTGTTGAAGGAACCAACACAATTGAATAGTTGGTTGGAGGCCTTCGTTCTTAGGTTGGATGCCATTACTACTAGTAACAAAGGGCATCACTACTAGGAGCAAGGACGCTACTAGGTTGGAAGCCATCATTCTGAGAAGCAAAGCTTCGAATTTCAAGCTTCCATCGTCGGCTTCTTGGCCCAGAGCCCGAGGTCGAAAATGGCTAGCGCTGTCTGTCAGCCTGTGTTGAGAGCATGAACACATGGTTCCAAATCCAAAAAGGCTGCACTAATACTTGGAAAGGCCAAAACACAAGGACTTTCTCTTCCATACTGTAAGATTGAATCTATATACAAGTTGGAGTGGGCCAGCCTCTTTGTATCTCCTCGAGTCGTCTCGTGGTCAGCTCAGTTTGCATCCTCCTGCGAGTAGGAGAATCACGAAAGGAAGAGACAGTAAACCAAAATAATGGTCTTTAAAAAAAAACAAGAAAAAGAAAAGGGAACCAAAGATAGACAGAGAAAAAGCTATTCAGAGTTGTTCGGGCGCGCTGTCAGGTGTTCGTGATGATCTCTTCATTGTTGGGTTTGTCTCTCATAATGCAACCTTTTTAGGGAGCAAATGAGTAGCGGTCACACTATTCATTTTGTTCCTAAACTTTGGGGGAAACTTAACTTAAGCAGAGGTGCCAGTCTTTGTGTGGCTTTTCTTGTGTTCGCTTTATGCCTTTGGACCCATAGAGCTTTCCTTTTGCTTCTTTCTTTGTTCACTTGACAAACATGGAAAGCATGTTCAAAGCCTTCAACTTTTTCCGCATCGCTTCCAACTCGTTGTCGATGTCGCTGGAAGCTCCGCTGGAACTGCCGCTGCCAGCACCTCCTGCAGGCAAAGCCTGACGACATGCGAACCATTATGCTTGGAATCCAGGAGCCTGTTCGACCATACGCGAAGGTTGATTGTGCCCGCTTGAACCCAAGCCCTTCCAAGATCTAAGTCTTGCCACTTAACATGTAAACTACTAGCTATACTACTAGCTATCTTGTCTTTACCGAATTAAGAACTCCTTTTGTGTATATCTGAGAGTCTGAGAGTTCTTACTTACTAAATTATTGTAACTACTACCTAAATATATAGCTTACTAAATATATGTTAAAACAGCAACAACACTACTCACTATCGTACTGCTATTTATTAGAGCTTGTTGCCAATATCTGAGCAGAGAGCGCCTCCTAGCGTCTAGCCGACCTATGGAACTACTTCTCGGGCTTACATGGCCCGGCCTGTTTTTATCTCAAAGGAACAAAGAACGAAAGAGAAAGGTCTTAAAAAAGAATAGTAACAATAAATAGAATAAACAAACATAAAAACAACAACCTACTACAGTCGCGCTAGTAGCTACCTCCTTACCCCCTTTTACTTTAGCATTTGTTTAAACTCACCTCCACTCGCGTGGTAGCTGTACATCACCAGGCCTTCTTGCCCTTCAGCTTGGCTAGTTCGTCGTCGACCGCGCTGCCGGCTTCCAACCTGAACAGCAAATGTTTGAAGACGTCCAGCTGTGCCAAACACAAAAAGGTGCTTTGGCGCAAGCTCAACAAGTGTTTGTTCTCTTTTTGCCTACCCGTTACAAACACCCTTACCTAATTAAGCAGGTGCCTAGTTAAGTAAGGGCAGTGGACACAAGAGAGCTCATGCTTCTTCAACTGAGGCTGGGAGGAGCTTCCTTGCGGAAGCGCTCGCACTACTCATTTGGTTCCACGGTGGTGCGCTCCCAGCTGAGACTGTTGCTGCTTGAAGCGGTCCTTCGAGATCCACAAATTCACCAGCTGATGCAGATCCAAACTGTGTGAAATCATCTACGCATCAAAACAAAGGATATTTAAGTAGCAGTGTGTTTTTTTCCGGGGGAACTAGGCCGCGAAGAGGGAGTAGTAAGAAAGTAAAGTAAGAAGATGCAAGACGCTAGTAGACAACATGTAAGCCAACGAAAGGACGCAGAAGGGCTCGGTTTTGGCTTACGCCTGAGGGGGGAGAAGCGTCAAAGAAAGAACTCTTTAACGTTGTCGAAACAATTCTTATGTAGATGTTCTTAGATACAACAACCTGCTGTGCCATTGTGAAAACTCTACAACCCTTGACTGGTCCTCCAAGCTTCCTGATGACTGAGCTTCTGGAAGCAAACCCTGTGAGACCTGAGGTAGAAGTATCATCTGCTTCTACAGTCGAGCAGGGCTGATGTAGCTACACTAGCCAACTATTTATTGTGTCCCCTGATTCAATGGCGTTCATTCAAGCTCAGGTTGTACTTTGGCGCTTCCACCTTCAAGTTGATTTGCTCAACTAAGCCAACTAGGCTTATTGAGTTCAATAAATGACATCCTTGCAAAGAAACATCCCCATTACGCCTCCGCCCGCGTTTCCAGCATTTCTACCTGCGTGTGCAAGGCTGCAAGAAAGCCAGCACAGCTTCCCAAGATGACGCTTCATTCTTGGAGATTAACATCTCGTCAAGAACGTTTCTGCCAGTTCTTACATCTGGAATAGCCAGTTCCCTTGCAGTTTGGGAGAACAATCTCTTGACCTCTAAAACCTCAAAAAAAGAAACTGAGGTTCCATTCTCGGAGATGAGATGCCCGTCCAAAGAAACTGCTGAAGTCTAGCCTTCTCCTTCATGCGATCAAATGCCCCGCTGGCACCAGTGCTAGTCACATCGGACAACATCTCGTTGACCTCAAGGATACATTTTGGTCCAACCAAAAAGGCACGTGAATCACTTGTGTTGGATATTGATTGAGCTATAACGTGGAACACAGCGTTCCCAATAAGCTATGACTGAGGCGTATCCGAAAAGGTCTAACAAAGAAGATAAAAATAACAAAAAAACAAGTTAAAAGGAAGAAAGGTCTAAAGAAGGAACAAGTAAGAAAACAAGAGATCCTATAAGTGTCCTTTACTGATTCCTGCTGGCAGCAAGAGAACGCCGCCAAGAAGAACACAAATCCTGCCAATTTCCTGAGGCCAATGACTTGCGACGTGGTCTTTGCTGTTCTTGCCCGCGCAATCAGCTGCTCCTTCTCCTGCATCACTGCACAAGTGAGGCACTAATGCTATGCCTGAACTAGTTCTCCTAAGCACAATGATTGGACAAGGCACCTCCTTTGCTTGGGTGATCTTCTCCTTGCAGAAAAGGAAACTCATTGGTTGTATACTCTCTGTGATGCTCTTGGCGTGTTCTTGTGTTCGCCGGTGCACCTCCAATGCCTTCACTGACTCAAAGAGTTTTTCGACATTCCTTGGACCATTCCATGTTGCAAAGCCCGGCGCAAATGCCCTTCTTCACACCAAGCTCTCAGCCCTGTCATTGCATCAATCTGGTCCTGCAAGCCAGTCGCCTGCGGTCTTGCACACTGGTAGTGGAGTCGAACATCTCCATAGAATTAGAATTGAGTGTGACAATTCTTTCCATGTTGCTGCATCAGGAGAAGCAATGACACTCTTTCCTGCGTCCATTCAAACGGCGTGTTTCATCGGGCCTTTTGGACAGATGACTGCCGTCGTGACAATGCTTCTTTAGCAAGTTCATCGTCACCCTTCTCGACCTGGGAGTTTCTTAGCTTGCAAAACTCAGACTTTGGGATTGCTAGTAGGTTGGAGGCCATTGCTATGAAGGGGGACGCCATTGCTATTAGTAACTCAAGATTCGAAAGCGCAAGTAGCTGGGGCTGCACACAGCCATCTCGGCTCTACGATACCAATCTTCTGCCAACTTGTCTGATTGCTCCTTCAGAGGGATGGAAGATTCAGAACCTGTTCATTGACCAAGGTGTTCAATGAGTTAAGGTGATAATGCGGCTTTGCTCCTTCTGATTTACCAATCTCCTCTGCGTTGCAAGAACCTCAGCGATTGAGCGCAAAGCTGTGAAATCATGACTGCCACTCACATCTCTACCACAAAGCCTTACGTTTGAAATCAGGAAAAGGAAAGATAAGAGCCTCTTCAACAAGGCCCCTTTACAGGCACCCTTACCTTTGCTTGTGCATCTGTTTTTCTTTATTTCAGACCTGGAGTTTTGTAGTAGCAAGAAAGCGGATCGGCAATGCCCAGGTGTGACCGTGACCTCCAAGCGGCCTCTGCATAAGACTGCCTGACCTTGATGAGGTCGCCCTGACCCAGAATGAGCTGCGCAGAAACTTACATTGCAAGGACAACACTCGCAAAACAAAATTGTTCCGTAGCTCTTGTTCAAGATCATATGTGTACGATGTATATGTCTTGGCATGCTGTGACATACTAAATGATATGTTTCCACTGCGCAGGGTGTGTCAATTGAAAGTGTGTGTGTGTGTGTCCACACCTGTTTCAAAGGAATTTCAACAAGGCAGGGGGACACGGCACCAGATTGCAGACCGTGTCTAACAAAGCTATGCAATCTGGTGGGATGTCCAGCTTGGCCAGCTGGACGTACCTGCAAAATTTTAATCGCTTCATCAAGTTTCACCCATGTTAAAACATTCAGTTATTTGGACCCAGCACTTCTTGCAGTCGAATCAAGTCAAGGTCTACAATGCAGCGGGTGATGTAATCGTCTAAAGTGGGACTTCACTCCGATCCTAGCTCTTGCGAGCAACTATCTAAGTGTGTATCGCCACAGAGTCCCGGTCAGGATTCTCGCATGCTGCTAAGTATTCACATGTCCACGTCACGCTGCTAAGTATTCACAGGCCGGAAGAGAGCGAGAAGCGAGAGTGGGGTTTGCATGCGCTTGTCATGTTTTTGAGTTCCTTCTCTCTTGCTGTTGCTTTTCGTTTCTTGAGGCCTTTCTTTAGGTTCCAGGTGCTTTTCAGACACGGGTCCGCCGGCCCCAAAATCGGCTTGAATGTCAATGATGACAATGCCTTCGGGCCACCCTAACCCACCCTTCCCCGCCTACCTCCCTGCCCCTGGCCTCCGTTGCTATCCCACCCGCTATCTAGGGTTATAGAAGGAAATCGCACTCAACACGCTTGTGTGTTGGTGCCTTTCCTTCTATTTCTCCTGTCCTACTTCTAGCTACCCGGGCGGTTTAAGACTAAAGTCCTGCTCGCTAACTTCTGCACGTATTGTAACTAACAGACCTCGTCACTAGTGGGTCTCGTAACTACACCTATCTTTCTCTCCTGCCTTCTTCTGTTTCTCTTTCTGTCTTTTCTTGTCTTTTCTTGCTAAGGCTTGTTAGGTGACTGACTACTAAATTTTCTGAGTGCCGAAATCGGCCTGGTGTGTGCGTAAGTCCACACCTGTTTCCAAGAAGTGTTTAAACAGGCGGGAGCGGCTAAGTAATCAGTAACTACCATGCAGGTTTCGTAACTAAGGGGGTTCGTAACTACGCCTATCTTTCTCTCCTGCCCTCTTCGGTTTTCTTTTTGTCTTGCTTTTCTTTTTCTTGCTAAGGCTTGTTAGGTGACTACTAAACTTCCTGAGCGCCGATAGCGGCCTGGTGTGTGCGTGTGTGCCCACACCTGTTTCAAAGGAATTTCAACAAGGCAGGGGGACACGGCACCAGATCGCAGACCGTGTCTAACAAAGCTATGCAATCTGGTGGGATCTCCAGCTTGGCCAGCTGGACGTACCTGCAAAATTTTAATCGCTTCATCAAGTTTCATCCATGTTAAAACATTCAGTTATTTGGACCCAGCACTTCTTGCAGTCGAATCAAGTCAAGGTCTACAATGCAGCGGGTGATGTAATCGTCTAAAGTGGGACTTCACTCCGATCCTAGCTCTTGCGAGCAACTATCTAAGTGTGTGCGTGCATGTGTGTCCTGTGTTGCCTTACAGCATCTGAGCAATGACGCAAGCTGTAATTTTCACTGCTTGGATACATTTATATAAGTACGCCGTGCCCTTGTTGCTTTACGTGGCTGGCCGCTAGCTGAAAGACAAAGACCCGAAGACCATGTTAGAATGCCCTTCAAAAGCGGGTTTGCAGCCCTAAGAGCATCGGTGGAAGGAGCCATCTTTTGAAGCAAGATCCGGTGTCTAGGCCCGGGGTCCCTGCTACTAACTTCTCACCGGCATCACGTCCAGAATGACAGAAGCTCCGCTGGACAATGGTGGCAAAAGACTCTTGGAAAGAAGTAGTTTAGTCAAGAGACTTTGTACCCTGAGCATGCAAGTCCAATACCAATGCTATCATGCAGCTTCAGTCTGAATAACATGCTCTCCAGCATCTTCAAGCGAACCTTGTGGGCTCAATATTGCTCCAACCTGCCAATAGCCAGAGCCAACGCCGAAGCCGTCAGGATCTGCAAACCAACTCCACAACAGCAGCAGCAACAGCACAACCAAATCACTTCAAAAATACGGTGGCAGGCGAATTTTTGCAGGGGCAAGCCACGCGCCAAACTCCAAACAAGCACATGTGTGTTGTGTGTACGCGTAATGGGATGTTCACAGGACGCAAGAATCAGGAATGTCATTTAAGCTTCATTGCGTTCATTGCAAAGTTCGGCGTACGCTGTCAAAATGGAGAATCACCCTTGGTGTAGAATTGGCAGAAAATGAATGATATCAGTCTGCTAGCTTTTGCAAGTAGCATAGCCAGCTCACAGTGGCTTTGTCACGATTACAAGAAGGGAGTATCATACCAAATGTGAAAGACTGACGATGCGGCCTGAACAACTCCAGCGGGAACAGAGTGGACGCGCACAAATCCAACTTTCCTGCCTGCATTTCGTCCAAGGCCTGATCAAGAACCTTTTCAGGATCCTCCATGCCCTGCAAGACCTGCAGCGAAAGCGCTCTCCCCAGTAAAATTCACACGACAACCCCAAGGGGTGCATTTTGTACCTACAAATGCGGCACTCCAGGTCCAAACCAACCAATCCATCTATAAAATCAGGCCCCCCAAGATAGAAACCTTAAGTCTATAATATTGGGTTGGAGGGTTGGTTGGCCATAGTGGGCTCACAGAAATTTGTCAGAAAAGTGCGCTCCAACAAATGCCATGCGTCATCCCGATGCATTTCCCGATGTGGCAAAGATCACAAACTGGTTTGATTTCCAAAACGGTTTGGTGCTGGAGTTAAATGTCAAAACAGTTTGGCACCCAAGATCATGAGCGTCCGGCAGGATAGGAACCTTTGTGGAGTCAAATCTTTGGTGACAAAATGTTTTGGCAGCACCGAACCTTTGCTTTTTTCAAGAATACGGGTTTAGACATGTTTCAACTCCAGCACCAAACCGTTTTGGAAGTCAAACCATCTTGGAAGTCAAAACTTGGGTGTCAATCCGCTTTGGACTTTGTAACTCCATCAGCAAACTGGTTTGGAGTCAAGGCTTGGGTGCCAAACTGTTTTGACATTTAACTCATGGTTTTGACAAAATCAGAACAGTTAAACCCTGTGGCCATATTCAGGAATACTCTTCCCCCCAACCTCCCACTCAATCTCTACAAAATCAGGGTCCCTGGAGGGTCCCATCTTGGAAGAGTGGGAAAGGTGATGGTTTTGAGAAAATCCAAACAGTTAAACCCTGTGCTGGAGTTCAACAGCAAAAAGTGAAAACACTAGCTACTTTGAGGTTTGCTACGTTGACCCTGATTCCTTTGCTTGATTCCATGCTTGTGTATTCCTACACTAGCTTCATGGCTGATGACCTAGGAACACCTTTTAACGTTTGAAAAAAGAAACTTGAGTTTCCACTGCGAACTAATGACTGGGACGACTTGCATCGCGCAGCCATTGTTTTGTAGTGGAAACTCAAAACTATTTCGAAATAATTTGGGGTGGGTCCTCAAATACTCAATGTTGTCTAAAACAATTTTGTACAGTTGGGTGGTCATAGACTCAAAATTATTTAGAAGTAATATCTATCATATGAAGGTTGTTTTGCACAACCTAGACGGTTTTAGTGAAAACTATTTTGGTACCACCACCTACATGGCTTGACATCCTTCTGTCAACAGGAAGATGCTTAAACACCCATCTCTACAAATGGGTTCTAACCCTCTACAAAATTATGGTGGGTGAGTGCACATGCTCGAGTCAACGGAAAGATATGTCAAAAATGCCGTTTCCATAAAGGGACAGTGATTCTGTAGAAAACCACTGTTTACTCTACAAAATGGTCGTTTCCAACACATGGGTTGACCAAATTTGTAGCGGAAATTTCACAGGTGATCAAACAGTTAAGGCCAGGACCAAAGGTCTTGAAGAAAGCCTAAGATCTAATGCCTTCAAAACACAACTGTTGTAATTGAAGTGCTAAACCTTTCTAGCAACATTCACCTTGTTGTTCAGGCTACGACCTAAAGCCTTAGATAAAGATCACGCTTTCAAAGAAGAGGTCAATAGAGGTATGACTTTGAGTCTGACAAAACCCTTTTGAAGCATTCTTGTTGGTAACTGCAAGCAACAAGGTGCTGACAGAAAAGTGTGCTCTTGTACAAGGAATCGTTCGTGTCACTAGGGCCCTTCATGAAAGAATCCTTCATGAAAGTTGTCCAAATTTGCCGACCCCGTGCCGGTCTTGCTCTCCGGCCCTCTACTTGGACAACTCCAAAGAAAATTGGACCAAAGTGTGAGAGAAATTGAGATGCTACTAGTAACAAGTGCATCACTACTAGTAGCAAGAAGCTACTAGTAGCAATGCACTTGTTACTGAATCTAATTCTGGCTGTCGGGCACCCTTTTCTATGTAGAACATTATAGAACCGCGAGCATGCTACTAGTAGCAATGCACCAGTTCCTAATAGCGATGCACTTGTTGCTACTTTCGTCTTCTCGTTCTCGTTTCCGAAAGTGACTAGTCACTAGTCGTGGGGTGATGACCCTTAGCGATGCCCTTTGCTCCTAGTAGCATCCTTGCTCCTAGTAGCGATGCCCTTTGTTCCTAGTAGCGATGTCCTTTGCTACTAGTCGTGGGGTGATGACCCAGACTCGACCGGAAGCGTCGTACTTTCCCTCAAAATCTGCGAGCCGCTTCTAGGACGGGGAAGGAGAATGTCCCAGAACAGGAGCGCTTTCCAAAGTTCAACTGAATAAAGCGCCCTTTAAAAAGGAAAAGAAAGAAGGCAATGTTCTTCTACCTTCTGTTCTTCCTTTTTCTTTGCGCCTTCCAAGTTTAAAGTGAAGCTCGTGATTGCGTCCACCTCTTCCGGCCACCCATCTCGGTCCGTATGTCTTCTTTTTGCTTCATAGGTTTTCCTTTAGACCTTTCTTCTTTGCTCCTAGTAGCGATGCCAGGAGCCCCTAGTAGCGTCCTTGCTCCTAGTAGTAAGGCCAGGAGCCCCTAGTAGCGTTTTTCTTTGTGTTTTCTTGCCTTTCTTGTTTCCATGCCTTGTTGACATTGGCCTTGGCCACTCGGGCGAAGCGCTCGAAGAGATTGTCTCCAGCAAAGCGAACCTGGCGGCCAGTGCACAGCTGGTCAGTATGCGGGCTTCCAACGAAAAAGCTCTACACTTTGGAAAGAACCAGAATAAGAAACGATCCGGCAACGCACTCTGCTGCGTAGAACTGCTTCCGCACACCCAACAACAAAACCCACAAAATTCTGTTGAGATGAAGGCATGGAATGCAAGCCCTCACGATGAAAAATAGACAACTCAAAAAGCACATTGATTCATCTGGCTCAGTCTCATGTGCTCAACATTATCGAAAGTCAATAAGGTTGATATGATTGTTGTGAACTGGTCATGTAAAAAAACGAGGAAAAGCACCCCTCCAAGCCGCAAAGTGCGCAAACATTGTCTAAGGCTAGAGGATCGAACAAGTCCCATGTGTCCACCCGCTTGTCTCCGTGTGTTTGCTAATGCTCGTCATACATTGGTTTGTCAACAAAAGTAGAATGCGTTTCTGAATGCACTCAAGCCAGTATTAAAAAATACCATTTACAGAGGTGTCGGATGTGTCCCAGAAAAAGCTGAAGTCTCTTTGATGCACTTAACCTGTTCATGATTTATGCTCATTTAGCAAACACTTCCGTCCATATAGATTCCCAAGTATGAGGCAGAAGTTTGTTTGGGAACAAGCTTTCCCTCTGGTCGATCTCTCTGTCGAATTGCATTGGTAGTTGAGATTGGTGCCCGAGGCACCCGAGTACTTGGATTGTCTTTCAAGAGCATGTAAACATGTATTACTAATTACACCCGGACACTACTAGTAACAAAGGGCATCGCTACTAGGAGCAAGGACGCTACTAGTAGCTCCTGGCATTACTACTAGTAGCAAGAAGCTACTAGTATCACCAAAGACCAATGTCATTGGCGACAGGACTTCACTGAAATAAGTTTCATCAATTAGTTGAAGCTAAAGCTGATGAGCTGCCTACTTAGCCCTGATAACAATGCTACTTGGGAGGGGAGGATCTTTCTAAAGAGGTGTGTGCCTTGAATGTCTAACAAGAACACTTCTTCAACAAAAAATGCTCTTAGGAAGGCCTCAACTCTAGAATGCGTTGCTTATTACTCTAAAAATGTCAAGTTTCCTTGTTCCTTTCTGTATGTGTTTCTTTGAACCTTCAGACCATATGTCCTCTAACAAGCATATTCTCTCCAAGGCCTGAAGTGTGAAATTGAGCTTCTAAGAACAGCAGCAAGCGCTGGAAGCATTCTATGAAAAGGGGGGCACAAAAAAGACAATTTAATGTGTTTCATATCTACAGTGTAAAGACATGATTCAACACATGTCTGTCTTCCATTTCAAACACTGAAATAGCCAGCAAAGGTACATAAATGCAGTATGTTCTAATCCCATTTGCGCACCGTCAACACCGGTCACCTAACTACAGAACTTGGGATTGACTACATACGCATGATACCAAAAAAGCGTCGACGGCAGTATGCTAGTAGTGTGAAAAAGAGACAAAGGCATTTAGAGCTTGGTGATGTCAAAATATGTGATTTCCAAGTGATGTCCCTTTCCTTCCACATCCCCTTGTCTGCAGCTCCGACATGTAAAGTGTCGGGCGCACTGTTGGCGGATTGGATACCCTCAAAGGTGGTCGCCTCGTCTTCATGAAAAAACTCTGGGAGTTGGCAAACACAGGGAAATGGAATTAACAAAACGAGGGATTGAACAGAAATTGAAACAATTAGAACAATTAGATGCAAGACCAATGCAACAGTTCCAAATGAAAGCTCGTCAAAGGAGTCTGACAACATACAAAAAAATATCGAGGCTCGCTCTGGCCAACAAATGCACTTGGTGCATGCAAGCACCTCAGTGAGGGAAAGAGCTGGACTGGCAGTCAACGCCGAACTGTGCCCTCAAGCGAATGTGTAACTTGCGCGCTCCAAGCACCTTTTCTCTTTCGAGGAGCAAACACGAGTGTTGTCACAACATGACACAACGATGCTCAAGAGCTCAAGATTCCTCAAGCGCCATGAGCCAAAAGGACTTCAAGGGACACAGCAGAAAATGTGGGAGGCCATCGCTATTAGGGTGTAGGCGGGTGGAGGCCATCGCTCTTGGGGTGGAGGCCATCGCTAGTAGGTTCCTTAAAGTCCTTTTTCTATTTCGGCAGAAGATTCTTCAAGCGCCATGAGCCATGTTCTTGTAATCAACATCCACATATTGCAAGAGCGCTTCCCTAAGCCATTTCTTCGCTCTCGGGTAGGAAGCTCGTCCATGCTGCTCCAGCAGGTCTTCATGCATCCGTTCGATGGTGTGTTTCCAGACTTCTTCTGCCGTCTCTTCATAGTTGGGATGAGCAAAGAGCGCCTCCTGAGATCTGGAAAAAGGTCGAACACGGGCATTCTCAATCAATGGCATTCTTGTTATTGGTGTCCACGCCGGGAGTAATCTGTATAATCCACAACACTCAAACAACTTTAAACAAAGTTGAATGCAAAGGATACATTGCATTTTTTCGAAAAAATGCCTTCAAACCCTGACAATTCCGAGCCTTCAGGTCGAACGTCTGCATCACCTTCCCTGGATTTCCTTCATCAGCTGCGGCTAGAAAAGGGCAACGAGCATGAGGATTGTGCGCGCGGTCACCAAGGGGATCGGCACCAAATTCCAAAAGCAATCTCATGCACCCGCCAGAACCAAAAACTGACGAATACAATAGCCCTGACATGTTGGCGTCCAGGCCCGCGTCCAGAAGGAGTTCAAGCTTCTCTTCACTGTCTGGACCATCAAAATAGACCAAGTCAAGGAGCCACTGACGATGCGTCCTCAGGCAGGGGCATGAACTGGCGCCATTGGCTTACAACCACAAAGCAACCCACCTTCCAATCTGCTGCAACAAGAAGTGGAAACAAACTAGTTTTAGCACAGCTCAGCACTTGAACATTCTTGAACTTCACAGGCCCTGCAAAGTCACAGGCTCCTTGAAAGTCGATTAACGTCTGCAACTTTGTCAACTGCTGCCTTGAAGGCTCTCATACTTTTTGCCTTCACAATGGCATCCAACATGTTCGCTGCAGGTCTTTTGTGAGTCACGGCCCCAGGTTTTTTCATGACCGTTTTGCCCGTCTTGTTGCTCGAAAGCTGCTTCATGGACTTCTTACCAGCGGGCTTCTTTTTGGCACCACGCTTGGCACCCTTCTGCGCAGATGTCTGTTTCGGTAGTGTCTTCATTGCCAGAGCCTTCTGAGGAGCCTTCTTCGATGCAGGCTTCTTCATGGCTCGATGGCACTATCCACATGTCGGGTGAGGCTGAAAATGTCCTAAAGCCTAAGGCAATATGAAACTACTCACGAGAGTGCTGGTCATCAGTCTTATTTTGCTCACCACGGAAACTCAAAACTGTGCTGTTCATGAAATCACACGATGCAATGCTGTTGTAATGGTCTATGAATAATCATGAATAATCTCTGGAAGATCTTCGGAGAAGATTGCAATGGTGTTGTTGAAATTGGCCCAACAAGTAGTGACGGAATGCGGCCGTACAGGTTTCCGTTGTGAGAAAGGGCATTATATGTATATGATGATCCATGTACGGGATATATTAATGAAATAGCTTCTGCAATTTTTTGGGGGGCGTTTGGCATGTGAAAACGTGTCATCTTGAATCATTTGTTTTGACTAGGACATTGGGCAAAGGAGGTTGGTTCAGTAAGTGAGGATTAGATCTTGTGATAAGGTGAATGAATCATATCGATTTTCATGATAAATATAGACTGATACAGAAGTGGTTCCTGGGGCAGATGTAACAGTAGGTTTAGTTTCAAGGCCTTCAGAGACCACAGCGTGTTACAAATAAATCCTCCTATTCAATCCAAGGCACGCAACGCAAGCTGCGCCAAGGACAGCAGCACTTGGAAGCCAAGCGTTGTTTCGACGGCCTCGCGCTTTTTGGATTCACAGGCCCCGACGCTACTAGGGGCTCCTGGCCTTACTACTAGGAGCAAGAAGCTACTAGTAACAATGGCATTACTACTAGTAGCAAATAGCCCCTAGTAGCGTCCTTGCTCCCAGTAGCGATGCCAGGAGCCGCTAGTAGCTTTTTGCTCCGAGTAGTAAGGCCAGGAGCCCCCTAGTAGCGTCCTTGCTCCTAGTAGCGATGCCCTTTCCAATCTAATTACAATCCAAAAGAACACCACAGTAGCTTCTGACACCTTGTAAAACTCTCAAGACAGCCTGCATGAAAGCTAGCCATTGTTTGAGCCATGAAAAATGCTCTGGTTTGAGCTATGGAAAATGCTCGGATTAAAATCCCAAAACAGCTTGAGCCGCACCGCCGGATTCAAAGTTGGATGTGGATGCCGTGCTCATTGAGTTGTGAGGTTTCTCTGCTTTGAAGCTGCGCACACACACAGAGACACACTGCAACTCTGCTGCGAAAACAACTCAATATTTTGCAGCTTCAAGAGCGATTCAGCGCATACGAAGGCTTATTCGTTCACCCATCCTGCGCATTCCATTGCAAAAGGATCAAGAAGGGCACGGTGCAGAGTCTGCAAATGCAGGCCATCGCTCTTAGGTTGCCAGGAGACGGTTCTTCCGCACCCGGCCTCTTGCGCCGTTTTTTTTGCATGAGGCCTGGCAAACAGCAAGGAGCAAGCATGAGGACGCTACTAGGAGCAAAGGGCATCGCTACGAACGGAGCAAGGACGCTACGTTCGGGGCTCCTGGCCTGACTACTAGGAGCAAGAATGCTACTAGCAACAAAGGGCATCGCTACTAGCAGCAAGGAGTAAGCTGTTGTCCTCAGGGCAAGAGCTCGGTCCAAGCCAGGCAGGCGGTTTTTCTTACTCATCGTTTCCAATGGGCAAGCCTCCGCGAGTGGGTCCTAACTTGAGCACAGAGACGCCCCCCCTCACACTTTGAATAGAGTTTACGTCTTCTGCACGGTATTCATTTACCATCATTTTACACAAGTTTCTTTAAAGCAAAAGGTCTTGAAAGGGTTTAGGTTGTGGAACTCGTCTGAACTCGCTATAGAAAAATCAAGGTCGCTCTTTCTTGCCATGAGGTTGCTATTAGGTAGGAGGCCATCGCTATCCAACAAGAGGAAGCCCTACGAACGTGGCTCCTCTCGGATGGATTCGTCTCTGGACCTGGGACGCTCACGGATGCTCTACCTACAAAACAAGCCAGCTTGAAATTCAAGGCCCGCGCGGGACTGAAGTCGTACCTTCCAAAAAAACATGTTAAACTCTAAGGTGTTGATTGTTCAACAAAAGATTTCTTCTTCAAAATCTTCATCTACAAATCACTTGGATCTATAGAAGTGTGGCCTTAAATAAAATGCTATCGTATTCCAACGTTTGCTTTCATTCCAGTGTGCTGCAAAAGGCTTCGGAAGACCAAATCTCGGTTCAGCTTCGTGCCTCTCAGGGAGGACTGTCCAACCTCCATCCTGACCTTGAGCAAGCGGCTTAACTGCGGCTCTCAAAAATACAACCCGTGCTGTTCAAGAAACACTGGAGTTGTTGTGTATCGCTACTAGGAACAAGTGCACTACTACCAGTAACAAGAAGCTACTAGTAGCAAGGTGCCTTACTAGTAGAAACAAGAACAAATAGCGAAGGATATTATGCACCTTACTTCTAGTAGCAACAAGCTACTAGTAGCTCCTGGCACTGCTACTAGTAGCAAGGAGCTACTAGCAACGAGGCACCTTACTACTAGTAACCAGAACTAATTGTTTCTTTTCAGCTCCGGCACCACGGGTGACTGGCACGGGACACTACAACGAGGCAAAAACTGCCTCTGCCTTTGGGTAAAGTATCATCTGTAGCAGCGAACGCTGGAACGTATTAGGGCAAGGACGCTACTAGGAGCAAAGGGCATCGCTACTAGGAACAAGAACGCTACTAGGAGCTTTTTTGCGTTCTTGACGGGCTTGCAGACTGTGAACTACACTGGTGGCTCACCACTCAAGCACACAAGCAACACTGCCCCGCATCAATATCAGAGCTCAAAGCCTGTTACAAGTTCAATTCCTCAAAAAAAAAGAAACCAACAAAATCTAACAAACAAAAATCAGAAGGAGCTTCACAAGTTTTGGTGTGTTTGCTACCTGGGATCTATGCTGAAGTTCTTTAGGTCTATGGACTATGGGGGCGTGTAAGGGCACCTGGCCTGCTTTTGCGGGAGCGAGGCCAGGAAAGTCAGGTTCGTCAAAGAAGCTTTTGGCCCTATACAGTTTTCTTAAAGAACTCTTAAGCTAGACAGTTCCTAAGAGATCTGGAGAAAGAAGAATGAAGAGAAAAATGGACAGGTTTAAAAGCAGAAAAGAAGCGCACAAAAAAATAAGAAAGGAACAAAGCTCGCAAACACGAGGAAAGGCGGTTATCTCTAGGACAAATCGTGACGCTACTAGTAGCAAAGGGCATCGCTACTAGTAACAAAGGGCATTCATTACTACTAGTAGCATTCTTGCTACTAGTAACAAGAAGGTAATAGGCATAGGAACATGCCTTCAAAAAAAGTAAAACAGTTCTCCCGCTGGAGGAGATGTCTCTCTTCTCTGCTCTGCGGCCTGCTTGAACAAGTCATTCGAGTGGCTTCTCCACAAAGCCTCAAAAGAGGACAGACTTCAGTGAAACTCTGAATTCTCAGAAAAACTCAACCTTCCTACATGTTCCCTCCCCAGTAGCAACATGATGCAACAATATGTTAAGCGTGCATGATGCAACAATATGTGAAGCGTGTCTTTAACCTAATGAATGCATCACTTGTGAAGGATTCTTCAAGAGCCCCTCCTGTGGCATGTAGGCTGGTAATTGGTCAACCGCCAAACCTGAAGCGACCCGCTTGCATAGAGCCCAAGAAGACTTCAGTCTGGTTAGAATTAACAAGTGTTGCACATTTCATACCAAGTGCTCTCGCCCGAATGGCTGTCCCTTTCTTGGCATCAACTGCGAGGAAGCTGCTCACGTCGCGAGGATACTCGGATAGGTCACGGAAATACACGAAGCTGTGATGCTGCTCCGGTCTCATGCTGCTCACATCCTTCTGGATATCATGCAGTGAGTTGCCGGTGGTACAGGAAAGAGCTCTAGGAATACATTACTTCAATTCTATCTATTTCTTGTTACTACTAGCAAACCTTGTTCCTAGTAGGGATGCCAGGAGCCCCTAGTAGCGTTCTTGCTCCTGGTAGCGATGCCCTTTGTTACTAGTAGCGTCCTCTGATTTGACATTTAACAGGCACTTCACACACTCTTTCCAGCTGCAACAGCTAAAAGAATACTCAAAGGCTACAGCATTCTGAAAGATGTGGTTTTCAAGAAAGCAGGGTGTTTGTCTTCATTGAACTGTCAAGAATTCCTCACATTGAATGCCCCACTGAATTTGAGGCCCAAATGGGTTGGCCAAGTGGGTTCTTGGCAGCTATGTACAAAAGGCCCCCCAATTATGGGAAAATGGATGAAATAGCGTGCTTGTTGAGTGTCCAAAATATCTACTGTTGTTTCATCGTTTGGTGGGGCCTTGCTACGAGAAGGGCTCGGACTCATCATATCGCACATAGCCACTGTCGTTGAAGGTGTGAAACTGCACGTGTGGTGCGGGCATATACATCTCAGCTTCGAGTTGTTGCCGTTGCCGCTGTCGGTAGCCCCGGTAGCAATAAGTAAGTCCCTGAGAGACAGAACGGCCCAGAAAAACACACAAGCTTGGAAGTATATTGCCTTTTCGGAGAAGTGCAAAAAGGTGTCTCAAAGGCTGTAGGTCTGAAATGCCAAGCAAATCCCAGAACACCGTGAGATCTTGTGAGGCTGTAGGAATTAATTCGATGTGAGGCTACAAGGACTGGATGGGGCACAGCTGCTCCAAGGAACTGCCCCGATGGCACCAAAGAAGGCAACCAGCCGCAGCAAGATCAACAAGGGAGCTCCCTGACAAGCAGCACATGTACAAGACGTGCTAAGATGCAGCAACCGCACTGCTTCATCTTCACTGACAAGTGTCAAAAACAAAACGTCTTTGGTCTTTGGTTCATAATCGTTTCTCAAACAGTCACTCTGATTTCCAAAGTCCCTTCAAAATCTCCCAGTGAGGGCTCCTTGAATGTAAAAAGTACGAGTATATTAAAGAAAGAAAAATATGTATTACTATTTGAGAAAAGGACATTGGGTCTGAAGAAAAAAACAAAGAAAAGGAATAACAGTCGAGGAAAAATGGAAAGGAAGAAATGTCTCAAGGAAAAAAACAGATTCGGCCGTAAAGGTACAAGTATGTTCAGCTAGAAGCTACTAGTAACAAAGGCTTCTAGGTTGGAGGTTGGAGGCCCTTACTACTAGTAGCAAGAAGCTACTAGGGGCTCCTGGCCTTACTACTAGGAGCAAGGACGTTACTAGGGGCTCCTGGCCTTACTACTAGGAACAAGGCTCCTGGTATCGCTACTAGTAGCAAGAAGCTACTCAAATAAAGTTGTTCTGCCGTTCGCCTGCGACTTGGGCGCTTTCGTCGGAGCTGGTGGTGGCACACACCCACAGGCTTCGAGGTCATAACGAGTAGGGCCAGGTTGGGTGCCAGCTTCCAGCACACAAGGGTCAAGCGCTGGCCTTGATCCGAAAACACGCGTGTGCTTGGGCTACATTCGCCATGCACAGCCGAGCACAGCCTTTCGAAGCAAATGAAATCACCCTAAGAGCTGTATGATGCTGGTGATGGCTTGTGTCAGCTTAATCTCCGGCCCTATGAGCAAAATTGTGCAAACCTGCAATCACAGTCCATCTACAGTAAATGGAAAAGCCTCTGCGCGTCTGCCCAGCTCTGCAATCGCTTGCAGGGAAAGCAATGGCGTTGGCTGGTACGATCACCCTCAGCCCAGCCACATCCAGCCTGCACACAGGGTGTTTAGGAATAACGGTTCTTGCAAGAGTGCTGCCAAAAGAGCTTGGGTTTTTCAACATACCACTATCAGAAATGCAATGCCATGCACTACAAACCAACAGACCGCTATATATTTCACCCCGAAAATCCGTCACTTGAGGAAGCTTCATGGAGCCAGTTTTCCAAGTTCTTGCATGTTCCCCTTGCCCGCATTCTCTGGGGCACATGTCTTCTTACATGGGATGGATCCGTGAGTCTCAGTGGAAACGGATAACCCTTGAATCCTGTACCTGCCTTCACGCAGGTTTCCCGCGAGATTTCAGCACATGTGTCATCCTGGGTGACCTTAGCTCTTCAGCGCAAGGACAAAATCATGTCGGACAAGGGCCTGACTTATTTTGCCATATGTGAAAAACAGTCCGTCTTGTAAACTACGAGGCTCTTGGGGTCCAGCTTGAATCACTTGCTGTCCCGTCAGCAGCAAAGCTGTCTGCCCAGCTGTGCCTTCAGATTCAGTAGCCACACCTCCCGAGGACAAAAGGAAAATGAATGAGCCTGTTTTCAGGAACAAGAAGCTACTAGGGGCTCCTGGCATCGCTACTAGGAGCAAGGACGCTACTAGGGGCTCCTGGCCTTACTACTACGAGCAAGAAGCTACGTACTAGTAACAATAATAAATATCTAAAGGAGTGAAAGTCTTCGGACTCTTCCAGCAAGTGGAAAGTCAACGTACGAACAAAGTAAGCGTCTTAGTCTCTAACAAGTTTGCGGGGGGGGAGTCAGCCCGGTAAAAGGAGGTACCTGAAGAACTGGCTACTAGCTAAAACAAGTAGGGAGTAGCTACTAGTAGGCTAGGCGCTACTAGGCTAGGATGCAGAAGGGCTTAGGCTTAATGATTTGGTTCATAATTATATAGATGACCTGTCTTCCTCATTTTTTTTGACGTGTTTCTCATAGCCATGGCCTCATAACATATTCTGTGATGACACAGAACGAAACTAATCCCCACCCTTCACTCCCGAATCCCCCATTTCGGAGCCTGTGGCTGATATGTGAAAACACATTGAAGAATTCCACTATTTTGGGGGTTCGCCTTATGAGCAACCACCCACTTTGCTGCACGAGCGATGAACATTCACCTTTCAAGCAGACCACCACCCTACTAGCGATGGCCTGCAACCTACTAGAGCTTTTGGGGAAACTGAACTTAACGTAACAATGCGTTTTTCGCTAGAATATAGGCAACGGAAAAGTATGACGAGGCTACATGCTGGTGCGCATCAAACTGAAGCATGTGGCGCACATTCCGTTGGTTTGAGCAATTTGGCTTGGCAACGCATGTCGTGTTTGACTCTTTCACGCAACAGGAACTGGTCTGTAAGTAAGGCAGCGACTAAGTTGGTTTTCCGTTCCTTTCCTTTCTGTTCTGCTCTTTTTTCTTTAGACCTGTAAGGCTGGGTCGTCAAATTAAACCCTCTTGTCACGTGTCAAGACTTGACGCTGCGCCACTTGCGCCTCTTGCGGCTGAAATCTTGGATGCCCATGGCGCAGGGGCCAGCGTCTCGTTCACTGAACACTCCAAATCGCTTCGGCCCAGCAAAGTCTTCACGACCATCGGTTCTCCAGAGACCTGACCGAAAGGGGCATCGGACAAATCCATCAGATCTCCAGCGCCATGGGCGTTCTGGATGCTACCAGTAGTTTTGCCCTTTGTTGTTAGTAGCGATGCCCTTTGTTCCTAGTAAGGCCAGGAGCACCTAATAGCTTCCTTGCTCCTAGTAGCGATGCCCTTGTTAGTAGTCACGATGCCCTTGTTACTAGCAATTGGTAAGGCCAGGAGCTACTAGTAGCGTCCGATCGCTCCTAGTAGCGTTTAAATTTGTTGTGTTGTGTGGCCAAGGAAGCTTCTCTCGCCTTCCCGTGCAACATGTAATTCTTCCCCCGAATGTAATCTTCCAATCTGAGGATTGTTGAAGACCATCGCTACTGAGGCCATTGCTATTAGGGTGGAGGCTATCGCTAGAAGGTTAAGCCCCTTTGTTGATGCCACTGCTTTATGATGCCGAATGCCATTCCCAGAACGCCCCGCTGTTCTCCCAACCTGTCGCAAAGAACACTTGTCTACCACCAAGAGCTTTCCATGAAGCCATGCTACCTCACTTGAACTGAGGCATGGTGAAACTCATGGCGTGGTGAAACTCATAGTTCGTTCGCTGCGGGGTCAAAGTGGCTCATGACACGCGTGCAAATGCTCCAGATTGTTCCACAAAGGGCTAACATCAAGCTTAGGAACAAGAAGCTACTACGTAGGAGCAAAGGGCATCGCTACTAGGAACAGGAACGCTACTAGGGGCTCCTGGCCATACTACTACAGGAACGCTACGAAGTCTGAATTTCTTCATCTCTGGCGAAGTGCATGAAGTGGCTCCAGAACAGATGCGTGCTCTATGGGGCCATCGGTCCCATCACCTGGCGAAACGTGCCGTTCTAATAGCAACGGCCTCCAACCTAGTAGCGATGGCCTCCAGCATAAGAGCGATGGCCTGTCTCTAAATAAAAATCTTGTGCTAGTGCCTAGGGCCTAGTGCTTGCCTGTTTGGCCTATTTGGCCTGTCTCCGAAAACATGTTGTTGCCGTGTTTGGCCGGTTGGCCTGCCGTCAGCAGTTCCTCAACTTCACTGAGGCGGAGGTTGACACTGTCCTGATTCAACCTCAACTTCACCACTGAGCGGTTCCTCAGGGAAGGCGATCAAGGACAATCCATAAGGTTCTCGAACAATATCAAATGGCGCATCACATCAGACGCGTCGCCGCCGACAAGATTCGTGATCATTATTGGAATCATGTCACTACGTCATGAAACACGACAAACATATAGTCTTGTACTCGTTTAGATGTCTGCCTCCTGGCTCTGCCGAACTTTACTTGGTCCGGAAGCCATCGCTCTTAGGTTGGAGGCCATTGCTATTAGTTTGCTAGGTTATATTGTATTTCACAACTGATGTCCTTGGCACCACACCAAAGATTTCGGCGTGTTGAACAGAGTCGGCCGGGAAAGCCACTGCCAACGAAGCCAAATACTCATCCTCCTCTACACAATCAGGCTGTCCCCAACACAGAAATCAGTCCCACGTCTGAGGGTCGGAAGGCTGCTGCTTGTTAATGTAAAGCTATTATATAAAGAGCTGTGTGTACCTTTTGGTTTGGAGAGCAGTCCTTGAATTTTTGCAGCATGCTCCTCGGTGCCTGGGCTGTCTTCGATTCTTTCTGTGCCATGCCATGCCGAAAGCTGGTGTGACATGTGACATGGCTGGAGCTTTGCCGCAAAAGATACGCCGTGCGTTGCGAGGCTAATGGCCACCAGATTTGCTCGCGATGATCGCAAGAGAAGATGGTCTATACACGCCAAAGCTTTGGCAGGCACAGTTTCTTGGAAGCTGGTCACCTGAGCGGAAGCCCAGCCACAAAGCCAAAAAAAAGAAAGTCTGAACACATTCGGCGTGTGGATGTGCTTTATGTCTGACTTTGTTAGTAGCTTCACGATGCATTCATTGCAGTCTATCAAGTTCTGCAGGAAGTCTTTCTGTTCATGCACACATTTGTGGGAGTTTCATCCCTGCCTTAACGGACTCCTTAAGAGCCAAGTTGTATTCATAGATGGTCAGCACACCACCATCCCTCGAGAGCGTCTCGTAGAAAATGCTGCTTCGATGATGGCAAAGATGGAAGGAAGTCAGTTCCTGGACATTCGATGCTTTTAAAAGTGAAGACTAGGAAAGCCTGGGCCCAAGGCCCGTCGAAAGCATGCTTCAAAGCACGTGCTCCTTAATTCCTTTCACTCGAGGGATAGGCCGCTACAAGCAAAAAACATGTAGACTAGAAGCTAAAAGTAGAGAAGCTAGTAGACAAGTTAGTAGACATGTTCTTACATCCTGGAACGCAGAAGGGGTCTTCAAGGAAGCGGTCTGCGGAGGGCAGGGCTGAGTTTCCGTAAAGAACCTTTCTCGTTATTGATGTGGCTCCGCGAAACGTTAATTGTAGACGAGTCGTCTAACTTGTTCTTATCTATAAAGAAACTTACTATTTGTGTGCCAATTTCTGTATTCTTTTGATTCTGGTTAGAATATGTTAGAATGGTCAGAAGCTGCTATTTCTGGGGCATAGCGTAGCTCGATCAAGTTCCGATCCATACCCTTTGAATTGAGTATTGGACATTGGACAAGCGTGATTGAAGCACTTAGGTGATTCCAAACCAAATCAAGTCACAGCATCACGAAGCTCCACTACTGGAGTCAAGAGCCCATCGTGGAGTGTTGAGATACCGGAGTCTGTGGCAAAGAAGACAGTCTCAACCTCAGTTGAGAACCACAGCTGCCACTCAATCAACGTAGCTTGGTTGGGCTATTGGAAGCGGACTTTTAAAGTGACCCTTTCGAGGGATCCCCCAAGCGATTGGTAAATGTCCGGATCATTCCAACACAAAGAAAAGGATTTAAAGTATATATATAGCATATATGATGGATGGTAAGGTCTCGTTAAGCGGGCCACCTTCTTCTGTTTCTATTTGCCTTCTTTGACCAAGCGAAGAAGCATTCACCAAGCCGACGCTCTTGACTTCCACCTCATGGAGTCCATGGGGTCGATAAAAGTTCGCGCTCCAGCTTGGCAGGTACTCTCGATGAGCCAGAACCTCAGAATGTTATTCCTTCATTCCTTCATATTCCTTCCTTTTGGTCATCTCTTCCATTTGTAAAGAAAAGACATCCTAGGATCCTGATGAGAAGGTCATGAAGCATGGAGAGACCTGTAGAAATCGGTGGACAAAAGGAGGTATCTGGAGATGCAATCCGTGGAACGAGAGGCAAGAAGAGCGCGTACGTGCTGCAGCCTGAGACTCGATACTATGAGAAGCTTGATTGGATGGCTCTCGGAAATATGCGGCGCAACAAAAGCTAGCAGCGAACGTACAAATATGCTAAAATGTCATCTGGCCGCGCCTCCAACAGGGAAAAGTCTCATGGCTTGGGATAAGAAGGGTCACTTTAAAGAGTGTAAACAAACAAAGTAAACGTGTCCACTGAGCCAGAAGTAAGGACAGGCTTTGTCTGCAGGGTGAAGACCAAGCTGTGTTGGTTGCCGTCAGCTTGACTGCTTTGGGACCTGTTCACATGATCTCAGAAATACAACGCAATTGCTGTGCATGTGAGGGCTGGTTCATACAACAAAAATGAGCCCGGGCAATTCAAGGTGAATTCAGAGCTGCTCTGTGGCAGTCCTCTTTTGTGCCAAAAGAAGTCCGAGCAGAAAGAGCACAAAACGCGACGAAACGAATAAACGAACACGGCCCGTTGCAACTCCGCAATCTCGAAACAAGAATGTTCATCTCGTGGTCAGTTCTTTTTCTTGCTATTTCTATATTGTTGTTGCTTATTTGTGTGTCCTAGGCCTTGTCTAAAAAGCAAATTACAGTAGATAAGATAGATAAACATGATAAATACAACAATGTAAATGGTAAATCACTATAGAGCTAAGAGGTAAGTGAGTAATTCAGTAAGTAAGGAAGGAAGGAAGTAAAGGGGTATGTAAGAGTCTTGGTATAGCTCTTTTCCGTAGGTAATGCTACTAAGCACCAAGACGCACTCCCTTCAGAACTTGAATTGGAAGATCCCTTCCTTAACACGTCTCAAGTTTCCCTTTCTCACTCTGAAACCGTTCTTTCTTTCCTTTTGTGTTCCTTCCTGTCTTTTCCTGTCCGTTCCTTTCCTTTGAACGTTCCTTTGTAAACATTGTTTATATAAATCTTTCTATTACAGGTGTTTTTGATATATAATGCAGCAGGTCTAGCAGGTCTTTGCTCCAGTTAGCTGCACTTTGCTGGAATGTGGCGAAAGCTGAGAAAACTTGCACCTTGGAACGCACGAAATGGCAAAGCCCATTGGGTGCACCCGGTCACCTAGGTTCAACAAATTCAGATCCTGAGGCACGGCTGTCATAGATTCTACCGAAGAACCGGCGATGCTGAACTTTCATGCACCCTGCAACCCCCTCTTGCCACAATCCTTGTACAAAAAAATACTTTAAGGGACCTATATAATAGCAATGGCCTCAAACCCACTAGCGATGGCTTCCAACCTAACAGCAATGGCCTCCATCCTAATAGCAATGGCCTCCACCTGCAACTGACCTCTCTTGCCATCCCTTGAACAACTCGAGCTCAGCTCAGTACTCGCAAAGGTATGTGGCGGCAGAGAGACCGCGCCATGATGAGAGCCAAGCTTGGCTGCAAGAAAAAGCTTCATTGCTTCCCACACGTTGAGAAATCATTCTGCAATCGTTCAGATCCGTTGGTCGATCATGGCGACCGCTGGTTTCCCAATATGGAGAACATGGAACATGAAAACCGTTCTTTGCACGGAAGGCGCTGCACGTTCTCACTCCAAAAGGGTCACCACCTGGTCCACAGATGTTGTTAGTCACACTCTAGGAGCAAGGACGCTACTAGCTCCCGGCCTTACTACTAGTAACAAAGGGCATCGCTACTAGGAGCAAGGACGCTACTAGTAGCTAGGGCATCGCTACTAGTAACAGTGGCTTCTTGTTACTAGTAGTAATGCACTTGTTACTAGTAGAGATGCACTTGCCATTGTGTATATTATGGTAGTCTGTGGCCTGACTGCTTTGTCTCTGGCCTGGTCGAATCCACGATTTCGGGCTAAATCCAAAGCGGTCTTTCCCAAGTAGTCCTAGCAAGCAATCCGATCGATGCGTGCACTTGTTCTGCTCAAGCAAACACTTTCTCTAATTATCCTGTGGCTACAAATCAGTTCGGCCTCTCTCCAAGAATCCCTTAACTGCTTGCACTTGACAGTCCTTCGCATCTATATCTGCACCCATGGAACACAGCTCCTTGACCTGGCATACAGTTTCATAGGAGGCTTGTAAACTAACTCTGCCCACTATCATCGCTATTAGGTTGGAGGCCGTTGGAGGCCATCGCTATTAGGTTATTGGCTGGAGACGAAAAGCTTGACGAGCACAAGCTTCAACCTTCCAGCAAGTTGACCGATTCAACTATGCGGAGCCACTGTTTGCAGGAACCCATTGTGAGCTGCAGCATGCAAGGGGGTTCTTTGGGTAATGGAAGATGGTTCCTTAGGGCGCATATCCAAATCAGAGTATGAATAGACAAAGGAACACAGGTGCTTTACTCAAGCCGCTAAGCCTGTGTCAATGACACCAAAAAGGCTTCAAGAAAGACTGAGGCTTCTGCATTGACATATTGCTCAAGCACTCCAGCCTTCAGGCATCATGAGACGACTTGCTGCCCACCTCCGTTCCATGCGAAATGGCCTTCTTCAAGTAGCGGGCAAGTGCTTTCAATGGGCGATGTTGGCCCTGCACCGCTTGAAGAATCTTCCAGTAAGTATCTGTGTTTTTCTTCCTGTATATACCCGGCAGAAGACTTCTGGCAAGAACGCTCTCCACTACGAACGCTTTTCTAAAGGCGACTGGTCTCGGAATGCCTTTCAGAACACTATATACTTTGTTCCCTTCTGGTTTCTTCAGTCTCTTTGGGGCTGGAATTCGCCTGACTAGCAAATTTGTAGAAAGCCGAGCAATTGCAAAGCCTGGGCTGAGCATGGCTGAGCACAAAGTGGGCAAAGGCAAAAAGTCGTGCTCTTCGCAGAAGAATGCTTATTCTTAGTGCTTTGAACCTTGAAGTCTTGCTAGTAGGTTGGAGGCCATAGCTCTTAGGTTGGAGGCCATTGCAGTGAGCTTTGCTCATAGTGCTCATTCTTAGTGCTTTGAACCTTCGATGTGACCAAGGAATCAGTTGAGAGTTTGGCGAGTTCCGGTGCTCAATATCTGCACCCTCACGCACCAAATAGTCAACTGCCTCCAACTCAGCTTGAATATAACCACTCTCAATGCAAGCTCAGACCCATGTAACAAGCACATAAATGCAAATAGATAGCTCTTCGGCAGGTGTTGTTAGTTCTTTCTTTCGACACAATGAACATGTGCCTCTCCAGACACTGCCCAAAACAAGGGCGTTTCACCTCAGAACATATCAAGACATATCGAGACTGTAGAACTGTGACAAGCCCAGGAGAGTTGTCTTCACCAAACTGCTTCTTTTGGTCTTCAACGTGCTCCCCAAGACCCTGACCCATGCAATCTAAGACATTCACATCACTTCCTGCAAGGAAAGTCCAGAAGATTCGGGTGCATCACGTTGAAGTTCCAAACGTCTAACTTACAGTACAAGCCGTACAAGCCGTACAAGCCCATGTCGAGCTGTGTGACACCTTTGTCGAGCTGTTTGGCAACTTTGTCCATTCGATCGATACCAACCTGATCGTTCCCAAATGCACGGCAAATGCACGCAATGTGTTTGGATAGGCCAAAGCCAGCTGTCTTCCTGAGAAAAGCACCAATTCATGCAGCAGAGACTGCTTCGGCATTGTGCCAGCTAGCGATGGAACCTCATCTGATAAAGCAACCTGGTCCTTTGTGAGCTCAAGTGAGGAATGTAGAATTCTCTGCTAGCTCGACGGCCTGCAAAAACCATCTCTTCCACCAACTAAGAAAGTGGCTGAGCTTCCTGAAGCCCCTCCAGACCTGGCAAAAGCTGCGAGCTGCAAAGAACCAACCGAAAGGATGGAAATAAGCACGAGCAAGGCTTGTGCAAAAATCATGGCCGGATTTCCCGTAGATTGAACCAGAGGTAATGACAGGGACGTCTGTTTGCAAGCTGCAAGAGCAAGGCCAAGGCCCAACGCTGAAGTAACGGCACTACCATCGCTACTAGGTTGGAGGCCATCGCTACTAGTGGTAAACAGTAGCAAAAGTAGTAGTGGTAGTTGCCGTCGTCCACGTGCGAATAGTCCTAATGGTCGGGAAGTAGGTAGTAATACGCGTGTTGCAGCAGTATAGGTAAGGAAGGGGACTTTGGTATCCCAGGACTGAGGATTTGTAGAGAGGTGCTGAAAGCAGAAGGTTTTGTAAGTTTAGTTTAGTCCATCAGGTGTTTATCGAAAAACAAATCGACCTTGCAAAGAGTATGTCAAGCTTCTCTCGACCTCGGACAAGAAAAAACCTAATAGTCTAATTGAACCCGAGCTATGGCAGTTTTCTGCGGCCGGATGCTACGACAGTAGCTTCCTGTCGCTTACTGACACCAAGCTACCTGTCCTACTTCACAGCCTATCCCACAAGAACAAAGAGAAAAGAATTACTTAAAAGAATAGTAACAATAATGAATGATAATATTAACTTCAATAACATATTCAAACAGCGTCCAATGTTATCAAAGTCGTAGCGTTCTGGAAGACATTCCAGACCTCTTGATGCAGACCACCTTGTGCATCAAAAAGACCAAGTCAACAAGATTCAACAAGTCTATATAGTAAACAATTGGTCCCTTTGTTTAAATAGTTCATATTAATGTTTGTCTTCTATTTTACTCAGGTCTCTTCCTCGGCTTGTGTGACTTCATACTTCATAAACAAGCCAGCATGACGGCACGTATCCGGAAGGACCCTCAAATTGCAAGCCTCCATCCTACGAGCACCAAAACACGATGCCTTAAATTCTCGGATGCAGGAAAGAACCTTAAAATCATGACACCAAGTCACGGCACCAAGGTGAATACAAATACCTAACCTTTTCTTTGATTCTAATTGCGATGGCCTCCAACCTACTAGAATGCAAATGATTTGAAAAACATCTTGTGTCTCACCTGCCTCACTGCTGCAGGAGTCCAACTTGTTCATGCGATACCTATGGTGCTTCGCGGCACACGGAAAATATTGCACTGCAGGGATCTGCAGGGAAGAACATGTTCTTGATGTTGCATCTGCCAGGCGCACTTCCACTCAGGAAACTTGAAGTCAGGACCCAAGTCTTGCATCAAGGCTTTCATCTCAGGCCTGAGAAGGGCAGAAAGAAGCTTCGCGACACATCCGGACTTGCCTTTTCAGATTGAACAATTTTGGTGTCCCTAGACAAAGAGTGATTACAATATGTCTGCAAAGTTCAAGAAAAGCTGAGGTAAAAGCTTTAGATTGCCCCCAAGCATTTTCTTTACCCTCTCCTCCATGACGGTGCCCATGCCTTCGGCCACGCCAAAGACACGGCGGTAAGGGGTGTCAAGTAAATGTTGTCGACAACATGTTTCAGCGGAGGAAACTTCCAGAAAGATCTGTAGCAAAAAATCTTGAGATAGTGTGCAATCTGACGATGTGAAATGATGTGGATTCAGCTGTGGTGATGTGCAGTTTGGTAATTTCGTGTGATGTGTGATGAGGTGCCATGTCGTCAGGTAGTGATCTGCGATGTCCTGCTGATGTGGGAAGTGTCATGTGGTTACTTGTCATTGGTTGTTGTGGCTTCATGTGTTAATGTGGCACCATGAACCACGTCCATCCGGCAGGTCAGCATCTCTAGTCCGATTGCGCACCTGTTGCGAGAAATCTCTCCCACGAGACGCATTTATAATCAGCTTTGAACCCCTGAAGTGCAAATACGGCTCAATCCCTGCAAACCCAAGCACTTACAAATTCTAGTCACTAGCCATATGCATCCTAATCACACACACATTAAGTTTCTGTGTATTCTATATTGTTGCTGTTCTGCAGATTGGACGCTTTCCATCTGAACTTCCTTCAACTAGCAGCATACTCAATGAATGGCCACAGCGAAAGAAGATATGAGTTGCTTCAAATTATTCATCTTTAAACGGCACGTAGATTCTTAGAGATGACAGCAAATACAGCAAGTGCTCAAGAAAAGTGGTGGTAAAACACACCTGCCTGCCAGCCACCCGTGACTGCTCTGTGAATTTTTTCTTTGAGCCACGAATCTCAACAAATTGAATGGGCTCTTCTCAAGAGAAACACAAGAGTCACAAGAGACCAGAAAATTCAAGAAATCTTGTGCCAGCTCAATTGAGTTTGAAGACATATTGGTCTGTTCCTTGCCAATAACCTGCCAAAAGACCGTGCTTCTGCACACGTCGGCATCCAGTGGACAAAAGCATCTCGCAACAGCTGCCCGGTGAGATCAGTCAATGATGATTGAGATCAGTTTTTCTGGAATCATGCAGCGCCAAAAAATTTCAATGCGGCTGTACAGGAATCTCGCGAAAGAGCAGAACTTCTCTTCCGTCCAATGCATGCGCACTCCACGCGCAACGCAAGTCTCACAGCCAACAAAAGCAAGTCTCTACAGTCGGAAAACGGAGAGTTCGCTCAACTGAGCGCAACCCCATCTACACGGGATACGGCTTTACGTATGACTGTACGTATCTGTATGTACAAGTACAAATAGTACAACAAAACATCAAATTCTAAACAAGTTGGTGCACCTCACAATCACTAAGGCCATCAAACTCACAATCGATGCAACCGATCAGCCAGGCTGGTGGAGCTTCATCGGGACGACTGCGACGGGAGCGTCCGCTTCGACGGCGAATCGTCCCTCCGACTCCGAGCTTCGCGTCGGACCTCCAGCCCGAAGCGGACACCGTCGGAGTGCTCACGGCGGCTTGGAACCACCTCGGCCAAGGAGAGAGGCCAGTAGCGTCCTTGCTACTAGTAGTAAGGCCAGGAGCCCCTAGTAGCGTCCTTGCTCCTAGTAGCGATGCCCTTTGTTACTAGTAGCGTCCTTGCTCCTGGGAATAGCAATGGCCTCCTAGTAGCGTCCTTGCTCCTAGTAGCGATAGTGGCTATGCGGCTATGCCTTCTGTTTTGTGATGTCTTTCGTTTTTGGTGTTGTTTCTTTTTTGTGGACTTTGTTTGTCAAGGTCATGCATTATGACGTCCGTTGACATGGTGGCGGCACAAACCGATGCGCAACAAACCGGAACTGTCCAAACTCGGAAGAGGTTGAACCGCACTGTTTGCAAACCCACCGCCATTGTCTGTGAACAAAGCACGCGGGAACAAAGAAGTATCATTCACGATTGCATCACTGTTCAGCTACTGTACAGGAAGGTTGAACAGCCAAAGCTGGGATTTGATCGTTTCTCAATGGAGCATTGTTGAGGCAGGGGGTATCCTGTTGCATCACACATCTCCCGGATTCTTGGATACAGTACATGATAGAGCACAGTATTCCTCTTTTGTACTCGCAAACCTCCAATCAGCAGTCTTGCATGCAACGCGTTATACGTGTATTTAGCTTTAGTGAGAATTTAATCAAATCCCCGATGCGTTTCTTGGGAGTTGCTTTGAGGAATCAAACAGTGGGGTCGAAGTCAGATCAGGGGCTGGAAACTGAGCATCATGGCGACCTTGCAAATCCCAAATATGCAGTAGTAGCTGCTAACAGCGGCCCATGCAAGGAGAAAGCCGAGCATTGTGACCAATGCTAAGGATTGCCAGGGCACTGTGCAAGCCTCTGGCGCCAGGGCAATGTTTGCATTCCTCCAAAGCCACAGGCAGCGGCATGGCCACATAAAGGACCACTGCAACTAGCATGCAGCCTGCTGCAAGTGTGCAGAAAACAAAGTCCAGCAAGCGGTCTCTCACCAGAATGCTGGACATGCCTGCTGCCAGAAAGGCGATGTCCACCAGAAGCAAATAAATCTTCAGGCACCTACGGCATAGTGCAGCCTCCTCAAAAATGTCATGTTCAAAGAAAAGGATCTGAGTAGCTTCTACACGCACCAATGCTAAGCTACCCTTAGTAAACCATGCATCAATAAAAAAGCTATTTGTTGCCGGCCGGAAATTTGCAATACTATACTGTACTTTTAACTGCTCCAACATTCAGACCCCAAAATTGATTTAAAACAAAAAAACATATATCAATCGTAAGCAAACGCAAGCAGAATGAAAGCAAATGCAAGCAGAATGCAAGCAGAATGAAAGAACTAGTACTATCCCCTCTGCCAGATGGCCTGGAGGAGTTTATTATTGAGGTTGGGATTTTGACTACCCCGAAAAAAGAAAAAATCATCGGGGGTGGGGGGGTTATTAATGCGAGGTTAACATTACACGCGCTACCTGTCAATAGACAGCTGCATCTAGATCCTGAAAACCGGCTGTCCTGACTTGCTGACTCCAATAGACGAAAGGTCTGCCCCACTCGCCGGTGCTCCAACAGCATCAACACCAAAGCAGATATTGTGAGCCCCGGGATGAACGAATGCCACCGTAGCATGGCAAGGTCCAAAAGGCAAACCATTGTCGTTAAGATCCGCACATTTCGCAACGCTTGCTCCTTCATCGCTCCCTTTTTCTCTTAGACTGGCGTCTGAAATGGCTACGCAGGTCGGATCGGCAGCTTCTTGGTCGTTCCGGATCCTTCCAAACAATGGTCTCAAACTGCCATGTCTCGAATGCAAAAACTGGTGTTCCGATAGGTCCATTCTTTTCGCAAGGCCTGCGGCTAGCTTTCTCTGGGTTTCTAAGTGCACTCTGCAGGCAAGTCAGCATCTGCATTTGGTGTTGCAATACACCAGGCATCAATTTGAATTTGCAGGTCTCTTCGGACATGCTTGCAACACCAAAAGGAGATGCTGCTCAGGCCAAAGGGCAAAGTCGCAGATTTTCCGTCTTGATCCTGAGTCAAAAGCGCTGGAGAGGGAGGTCGGCCGTAACATCGTATAGGATCCACACTGGATACGCGTGTCTGACATCTGTACAGTGTACCTGATTCAGGAAGGACAAGGTACACTGTTTCATGATGCTGACATGAGGCATTGAGGGGACGTGCAAGGCAAACGAAAAGAAGGCTTTTCGCTGTCACCACACGGTTGAAACGTTGATGCACGTTCGCCCACTACTTGTGTAGACTTATACGTCTTTCAAACAACGGCAAGTGTACCTCTGCTTGGCCTCATCAAAATCGAGCACCTTCACACTACGCCGAAGAAAGCAAAACAAAATGGAGGGCTGAGCAAAAGTACACGACTAGTACTAGTAGGAGCAAGAAGCTACTAGGAGCAAAGGGCATCGCTACTAGGAGCAAGGACGCTACTAGGGGCTCCTGGCCTTACTACTAGGACTAGGAATCCCTCACCTTTCCATTCCGCTCGTTCAGGTCCTTCTTTGCTTGCAAACCTTGCACCTGACTTCGCGGCATGGCATGTCGGGATGCGTTGGCCCCAAACAGATTCTCTTTTGAAGCAAATCCCAAAAAAGGTACGGTATTTGGGCATTTGAAAGAGGCCCGGTCACCCTTCTTTAGATCTTTCTTTTAACCAACGGAAGTTGAACAACTCAGTCTGGAAAGTCGTTGAAGTTTGTCGCAAAACCGTCGCAAAGTCGCAAAGTCGCTGAAGTTTGTCCCAGAAGCTAGTAGAAACAAGTGCATCGCTACTAGTAACAAGTGCCACGCTACTAGTAACAAGTGCCTTACTAGTAGTAACAAGAAACTACTAATAAGGAAGAAAGAGAGCCATGGCCTCCAACCTACTAGCGATGGCCTCCAATCTAAGAGCCCTAGTCAAGAGTTTAAGACGGAAGACAAACGGTCTATGCATAGATTGGCTGTTGAAAGTAACCCCCTTTGCTGAGTATCAAGCCGCGACAACTGCTCCCTCTTTGAGGCGCACTTGGTCAGGTTCCAAACGGCACTTCACCTGGCATGTTTTAGGTGAAGCTTTTGGGCCAAACCATTTCTCATACAAGACCCTAGCCCTGTAAGCAATGCTCTTGTTGGTAGTGGGGGTTCTGGCAAAGACCGGCGGGATACCAGCGCCGATGCAAAAAAGAAGGGCGTCCTGTTCCTAGTCACCCAGTGGTAATGAAGGCCAGGACCAGAGTTCAAGCAGCAAAGCATTATATAGAATATTATTAGAAAAGAAAAGAATGCAAAAAGAGATGGAAAAAGAACGGAGCCTAAGCAAAGGGAAGGGCATTACCTTCCTTTTCTCGGATGATTTTTTTTTGATGGCCCGTGTCAAATGAAAGGTCCTTCTTCAAAAGCAGCGTCTGTTCCTCACATCTTTATGGGTCGCTTATAACCTGCAACTCACCGGCCCCTGGTTGCATTCAGTGCTATACCGGGTTTGAGGTACTTGGCAACCTACTCTGGAGCATGTCCTGGGAGAATGTGTAACGACACTTCTGGGCATCGTCTGAAGTGCCACCTGGTTAGGCTGCCAGAGATCTTTACTTGCAAAGCCAGTATATAAACAAACTGCTGGCTTTGCAATCTTGGGTTCTTCTCTAGATCTTGTCAAAGACCTTCCCTACACGTCGCAAAAACCCATGTATCCTCTGCATGGTCCTGGACAATCTCATCCTCAGCTTGTTTCGCTCTTCATGAATCTAGCAAAAGCCTGACATCCAAGTTTTAAAGACATGCGCCAATAAAATGGATAAGATTGCCCAGGAACGTGCGGAAGATACATGGTGCGACGGATGGTCTTCGAGAAAATCCAAAGAAGCAACAGATTCATGGAATTGACAGCCTGTCAGATGTCACCATTTTGTTGGGAACCGGGTGTCAAAACCACTTCTTTTCACCATCCCATAACTGTTTGCAAAAGGGATCTCCATTGGGCTCACCGAAAGTCAAAAAGCATGGGCACCCTTTGGTGGTATTGTGTGTACTTCTCAAGCGCAACAATCCATGCTAGCTGAACTAGACTAACTCTTTGAGTCACCCATACTGGCCACGTAGGTGGCCGTGGTCACGACGGTCGCGAAACACGGGAAATCACACAAAATCACCACAGATTCCGAACATCGTCACACATCTTCTTAAAGACAATGTTCTTTCTTTTAGCCTGCTCTGCCCCTCTACTACTCAATTAAGTAGGCGCCTACTTAGTTACGGGCTAAGTAAGCTACTAGCTACTGGACGCAGGATAGCTCACGCTCTTCATTTGGTTGTTCCTCGATGCTTTTTTTTGCCAAAAAGAACCTGCTGGTTTGCCTTCTCGGGAAGGTCAGGTAGAGCGCATAGCAAATCACCTGTTGCCTTGCCAAGCAGAACAGGAAGGCACTCTGTGACGCACACAGCTGTGGTGAAAGCAGGAATGAGACACAACCATGACAGCAACCATAACACAACATAAAGGGACTGCCTCATCAAAATCAACCAGATCAGCTTCTTCCCACCTTTTGGCCAATAGCAGTTGAAGTGATTGAAGTCATGTACACTCTTTTGAATTCAGGTCTTAGTCTTAGTCTGTCACTTCGAAGTAGTTTCCTCAGCGTCAACACTTCTGCGGACCTCGCTGAGCAGCGGATTCCATCTAAGACCTTGAAGGATTTTCTCACGCGCCTGGAGCTTGAGGAGCTGCAACCTCAAGCGCTTCAAATCAAGAGCTATACAGTATTAGACTTTTTTTCCTTTTGTTTTTCCTCTGTTTCTAATAGCGACGGCCTCCAACCTAGTAGTGATGGCCTCAAACCTAATAGCGATGGCCTCCACCCTGATAGCAATGCCTCCAACCTATATAATAGCGATGGCCTCCAACCTAAAGCGATGGCCTTCAACCTAATAGCTATCTTTCAGTTCAAACTCAACTCCGTTGCATTCTTGGACAAAAAGTGCCTTCTTGCTACGTACATTCGAAACCGCAAACCTAAGCGCCTTTGGCCTTCGGTCCAATTTTCTCTCCTGTTAACTTTGGAATGGCTTGACGTACTTCGAACCACCTGGGAACCGCGCAGATTCGCAGCCTTCAGTGACAATGACCTGCTCTCTTCTGCATTGAACCCAGAGACTTAAAAGGAAACAAACACCAACCATAATGTGGTCTTAGTCTTATGGACAAAGTGTCTTGTATTCATGCGTGCTCAATAAGGCTCAATGTGTCATTTCGCACAAGAAACATATGCCCTGCAAGGCCAATATTTCTAATTTGTAATTTAATTCAATTCTAATTTGTTTCAATTCTAATTTGTTACTACTAGTAAGGCACTTGTTTCTAATAGCTTCTTGTTACTACTAGTAAGGTATTTGTTACTAGTAGCATTGCACTTGTTTCTACTAGCTTCTTGCTACATGAAATGAGGTTTCCTCGCTCATTTCAGCGTTCTCTGTCAAAGCAAGGCCTTTCACCAACATTGACCACATAGCGGTCGGATTCTTGCCTCTTTTCAAGCAAAGCTTGGCAAACAAACAGTCGTTCGCCCGGCACAAATCTGCTTTCTATCTGTGTGCCAAGGTCAAAGCCGCTGAACAACACCTTCCAAACCATTGTTCTCTGGCCTGGGTTTGTGCCAAAGGAAAGGAACATAGAGGATTGAATCTGCATTGTGCAGGCCCAACAATGATCTTTTGAGATGTGTCTGTCAAACGACTCCACCGAGACGACCGAGATTCGCTCTTGCTCTGCAGTCCACGGATTCGTACTGGTGTGCCGGACCTCAAGGCGCAGGCAGAGCAGAAATGCAGCACCATGCGAGGAGCCAACATGGCCATGCGGCATATGTTTTCTCATATGTTTATCAAAGAAAAGGGAGGGAGTGTTGCGGCACAATGAGAGACTAGCAGAAGGCAAGATAGTTACGTACTGGGACGCAGATGGGCGAAGGGTCTTTGAGGGGAAGCTTCCTTGAAGAGCCCTTCGCATGATTGATTTTGCTCCTAGTAGCGATGCCCTTTGTTCCTAGTAGCTTCTTGCTCCTAGTCTCCTAGTAGTAAGGCCAGCAGCCCCTAGTAGCGTCTTTGTTCCTAGATTATCCTAGACTTCTAGGGGAAAACTTAACAAATGTGCTTTGAAGAAGCTTAGCACCTCACACAAAGTCCTCTTTCTGCTAGAAGAGATGTGTCCAGGAGTCAGCCAGACCGCTTCCAAAACGTATGTGTTTGGTGCTTCAGCACTTGATTTTCCAGCCAAAGTCAAAAGACTGCCCAGTGTGCCTGCCTACTAGCCAGGATAGCAGTGAATGGCTTGCTGAAGTTTTCGCTACACGACTTGAACGGTGTCCGTTTTGAAGCTGAGAAGAACATGCTAAGTTTCCCAAGAAATCTAGGAACCAAATCATTAGTGCGACCGCTTCTTCAAGGAAGCTCTTCCCTTGAAGAAGCGTGACCAATCCTGCGTCCAGGTACATTTCTGTGACTAGTCGCCCTTACTTAATTAAGTAGGCGCTTACTTAATTAAGGAGGCAGGGCTGCACGGCTAATTTTTTAAAAAATGCTTTGTGCAATGGAATAGTAACGAATCACAAAGTTGGTCATGGTCCACAAGCTTTCGATGTATGCGTCTATCTACTTGGCTGTGCTGCAGATTTCACAGAAGTTCAAGCTTTGTTGCAGAACTTCCCAGGACCCCCCCAAACCTCAACTGGCCCAAGAGAGTTACAATTGGGATGATCTAAATGAGCACGTCTCTTTCTTGCTTTTTCGTTCTTTAGACCTTTTCTTCTTTCCTTCCTTTCATCTTTTCTTTTCTTCTTTTTCTTCTTTCTTGTTGTTTTCTTCAAGCAGCTGCTGCCATGAAAGCAAGCTCGGTACTTGGGTGGGGCTTGGCTCCCCACACAAGCTGCGGGGGTTCGGCCTAAAGACTTTCGGATCACAGCTTCTTCATTCACTCTGTCCCTTAGAAACCCGCTCCAGCCTGAGGTGCGGAAGCTCCAGCAGAGGTCTTCCAATTCAAGTAGGTTGTCAATACCTCCATGTTCTAGGACGTATGAAAAAAAAAAGAAAAAACATCAAGCAATATATAATATATACAACTAATATAAAGCTATCAGGCATTCAGCCTTTGCTTTTTTACCAAAAGTTCGGTATCGATCTGAAAAGTAACCAGATTTCTTCAGGCAACACTGCAAGGCAAAAGAAAGGACCCAAACATCCAAATGCAAAAAGAATGTCATTGAGTAGCAAGCTTAAGAAAAAGGCGTGCAAGAAGCTTGCTTTCTTATTTGGAGAAGGAGGCCGCGAAAACAACGGGGTAGGAGGTAGGAGATTTGAAAGGTATGGAAGGTAGGAGGTAGCTTAGTTATCTACTAGTTGCAAGGATGCAGAAGGACTTCACTCGTGCATCCATCTCACGCTTTAAAGCTGGGAAGCCTTTAGATTAAACCCTTCTTCTGGATCTGTTTACAGCAATGGCCTCCCTAAGAGCTTCAATCTGGCACCTGCGTGGAGGACGCAGCTGCCATCACGTCTTGCCGAGCATCTCGCACTGCCTGTGACGGGCTGTGTCAAAGAGATGAGACGTGCCCCTTGGGCCCAGTGCAGACTAAGACCTTCAGTTCAAATCCACAGACTTGGCGCGCGGGCAACCGCAAAGTCTTGGCATGAACAGGATGCAGAAGATGCGACAATGCGATTTGCATGCGATCACTTGTCCAGTCCTGGGGTTCATTGGTTTCATGATTAACAATAAAACATGTTTTCTCTTTTGCATGTCTGTCACCCTGTGTTCAATTCCCTCAGATTCATTTGCCTTTCGTTTTCACATCTGACCTCAAGCCCTCTTCAGGCACCTGGCGTCCAACGCTATCGATGACGATCAGTTGGGGAATGCCTTGGACCTGTGAGCCAAGCAAGCCAGCCCAATAAACGATATCAAACCGTGTTCGATTGAGCATGCACGCAAAGTAATACAAATAGACAAGCATCGCTATTGGGTTGGAGGCCATTGCTATTAGCTTATGTTTGATCTCATACATCCTGCAACTGCGTCACCTGAAATTGCTTTGATAGGCGGTCTCTCAATTCAGCTGCGCCAAATTTCAGGGCGAGCCAATCACCTCAAGCTTTAGATCATGAAAGGCAAGAGCGAAAGCATCAGGCGCCATTTGGAGTCACTGAGATGCTCACCATGTGATTCGTACCTAGGCTTAGTACAAACTTGATCTGAAATGGTCTCTTGAAAGGGTCGTCCAAAAACAGCAAGAAGTACATCGCAAGAACTGCATCCTCTGTTACATTGTTACATATTCTATGATTCTATGACTCTGACAGCCAATTTGTTGTGCGATTTGTATCGAGACTAGCAACATGTACTTCCACATCTCCGGCTCTGATTGGTCCTCAGCGGTTGAACCACACCGAAAACAACACGAATTCTTGTCTTGTCTTGTCCTTGCCTCATTGTTCGGGGGAGGGGAGATTGAGATAGTACTTAGTAGGTCAGGTACTGTAGCTACTCACAAATATGGGCTGCTGCATGCAAGCACGCAGAAGGGCTCGGGTTCAAGGAATCTCAACCCTGAAAATCTCAGGAGAAGCTTCCTTCTAGAATCCTCCAACCTAGAAGCGATGGCCTCCAACCTACTTGTGACGATTGAAATAATCGAAGATATCTTTGCAACAGATCTCAGCAGTGAACGCTGGAGACAAAAATGATCTTCAAAGAGCGCTCGCCTCAGCGGCGTGAGTCACAACGGAGAGCGCTCACATCTTTAAGACCCTCTTTTCAATAGGGGAGTAGGCTGCAAGAGGTAGCTCGTAGCTATTGAGTAGGACGCTACTGGATAGGACACAGGATAGCTCACGCACTGTTCATTTGGCCTAGATATTGATGGAACAAAACATCTCAGCACTGCACCATGTGAGTGAAGAGTGTCCTTAGAACTCCAAAATATCTGGCTGCTGAATAGACACAAATGTAATTACTACTGATTGGTATGGAACAGCAAGTATGTTGTTTGCATATTCAGCTTAGATACATAAAACTTCTTCAGGATGGGAGTAAAATGCCTCAGACAATGACAAGCTGCACTGCAACATCTGCGTGGCATCAAAATGCATCCCAGAATGAAACTGTTAGTCAAACTGAAATGAATAACTTGGCCCCACGCTTGCAGGGTGGACACCAGTGAGCAGAGAAATAGAACGCAATGACATCTGCGCTGGTTAGCTGTTGCCTGAAAAGACCCATTTGCAGTCTTCTTTCTCTCATGTTGATTAGAATACCAAAAGTAATCTTGAACTTGAACAGCCAAATGTTCACTTTTCGTGAAGGCTAAAGACTGAACGAATGATTTTACACTCCCATAGAGAGCGATAGAGAGAGAGAGAGAGAGCTAATTGACAGGTTGCTGCCTTGCCTTCGACTAGCCCCTTTCAATGAAGTTCAAAACGCTCTGTTTCAGAAGTGCAAAAGCAATCAACTATTTGGAGGCCATTGCTCTTAGGTTGGAGGCCATCGCTAGTAGGATAGGTTCCCGCTCTCCGCATGTTCATCGTTGCAAATCTGGGCTCAGCAACGTATCAAACTCTTTGCCGCTGCGATCCAACAATTGCAAGCCATAGCTCTGCACAAAAGCCGCCATGAAAAAGCTTCAGCAGGCTGTTGGTTGTGGATCTGAGAGGCTCAAGAGTCATACAAAATGACTTGGTCCAAAGGTGTTGGAAGAAAAGAATTGGTTTTGAATTCAGAGAGCCCTTAATAAGGCCCCCTTTCGAAGCACCGTGTTAAAGAGGCCCTTACCTTCTATTCCCCTTCGGGTCAGCCATTTCATCGTAAGAAACCCTTTGTGCCGTCTGTGACATGATGGCCACCGCAAACACAAACCAAACAGCAATCATCCCAGGGGTGCGATTGCTCTGTGTCTCGGGTGCTCTGCTATGCTTCTATCTGGTGCTATACCAGGCCAGGGGTAGCGATGCCAGGAGCCCCTAATAGCTTCTTTGCTCCTAGCAGCGATGCCCTTTGCTCCTAGTAGCGTCCGTCCTTGCTCCTAGTAGTACGGCCAGGAGCCCCTAGTAGCGTTCTTGTTCCTAGTAGCGATGCCCTTTGCTCCTAGTAGCTTCTTGTAATTATCTATCTTTTCATGGTTTCATCTTTCACTGGTCTCTGGTTTCGACTCTACGCCCAAGAGCAGCTTGGGAATCAAAATCCATGAAGACTTGAGTGCTCAAATGAAATCTGCTGAAAGCTACAAGATGCTACAAGTATGAGAGCCATGAAAGGAGCCTGGACCCTTTTGCATAAGCCCACCTTGTGTCTCTGGAACTGGCTTTGCCGCCCCAGTCTTACTCAACGTGGGCCAAAGCTTCTTGGCTCTTATGGCGCATCAAACTCACTGAGGGCTTCATTCAATTTCTGCGTAATGAGCCTAAAATCTGGATCTGTATCAAGGAGATCGCTCCAGCAAGCGACCGCGCGGTCAAGATCAACCTTTCTCATGTGAAACCGATCTTCGATTTTGACAAGAACTGCAATTCCTGTTACCACTCTTGCAGTAGCAAAGTCATAGAAAACTCCTGGTGCTGCTTTAAACTGTTCGACAAATTTCTCCACTTCCTCAAGCATGAAGCGATGAACTGCGATGACCTTGTCACAGTCCATTTCGGCATCATCGGCATCAGGTGCTTCGTCATCACTATCGTGATGGTGATATTTGTGCGAAGGAGCTAGCTTCGAAACCAGTTCTTTCACTTCAGGATCATTACCAAATTTAGCAATGATGCTTTCAAGCTCATCCTCAGAAAGTGAGCTTCTGCATGTGAAATCTGCAGAATCCAGCATGTGAATCATCTTGTAAGCCTGATGGAAATCCAAATCGGTGGCCGGTAGATTCTGACCACCTACGTTCTCTCGAACATGTGTGTAAAGCTTCTCGTAGTTGTCCTGCTCCTTGACAGACTCTGATAGGATTTGCTGCGCCTTTAAAAGCTCCTGCTTGCTTGAAAGCTCACAAACCCTACTCTCTTCCATTAGCTCACAATGCTCACAGCACAAGGTCTCCATGAGGGTCCCTCTTTGAACCGAGCCAGCTTCTGATTGAGGGCCGGATCCGCAAGAGTTAAGGGGGTTGGGGGCAGATCAATGCCTTCAAGCACTCCAGAATCAGAAGTTGTTAATCGAGCAGGGAAAACTAGTGATGACGCTAAGAATCTCATGTCTTTTCTTGGCTCGCTGCCACAGCTGTAGCGTGGGTTAGGGGCTGCATCACCCCTCGAATACTCAGGAACAGCTTGGCGACATCTGCCTTCGCAGTGATCAAATCAAATGAACTATTGCTGAATAGCGTCCTTGTTAGTAGCTTCTTGTTCCTAGTAGTGGCCTCCACCCAATAGCGATGGCCTCAACCTACTAGCGTCCTTGTTACTAGTAGTAAATCAAATCAATATACAAACACCTGCTAGCATAAAACCCACAGCACCTAAGCACCATCCTCAAACCATAGACGTGGAGGATCTCTTTGATGCCTGGGAAGGTCGGCAAACAAGTGGATGATCGTCGCGCATGGCCATGGTTGGTCCTGCCTGATAGCAAAAGCGAAGCAACATCTCCCGGATCCTTGGCCGGTTTTTGTGATGGCAAGATGAGTGCAAAGTGGTTTGAATGTCACATTTTACACATTTGCGAATTTGAGATTGTAGCGGGCAATATGACAATGCAGCGCGTGAAACAAGCAAAGGCGATTCCCTGCCTCTGCGATTGGCCGATACGGTGCCCCATCAAGAAGCAGTACAGCTTTGATTCAAAATTACAAATCAAACAAAAGACCAGAAAAGAAAAAGCAATAAATTACATTTTTAGGTTGTCGGCAAGGTATGTATTTAAGGAAGTAGTAAAGTAAAGAGAACCCGTTGTCCGCAGTTCCTACATCTTCTTAATCGTGTTTTCTTGGCCTAGCGTCCCTACCAACACACACAGTTCGGTTTAGAGGCCATCACTAGGTTGAGACCGAGACCGAGGCCCTTGCCACATGAGAGACTCTGAAGCTTCGTGCAAACTCCGAAGCGCCACTGCAGCTCTGAGAAGCATGAAGCTTCCAAGCAACCAAGGAGACTCGTCTGGAGACTCACCTAAGAGGGCACAGGGTCTGAACAAAAGAAACACATAAACAAACTCACCAGAAAAACTAAACGTCAGTCCTCTTTCTATAGCTGGTGTTTTTCCTCTTATGTTTAAAGACTCTCAACATTTTGAGACTCGACTTCTTCAAAAAGTCGCTCACGTGAGACCGACCAAAAGCCAGAAAAGAAGAACTTCTGGCTTTGCAAAAAGAACTCAGCGAAAGCGCCAATGCAGCCAAGGCAACTTGCATGGCCAGCTTTAGTTTGAAGAACTCGAGCCTGATGAAATTCTGCCTCACAGCTGTGAGTAGACCATGTGCTTCTAGTAAACCAAATGGTGATGGATGTTCATCCTCAAAAAGATTGGCCAATAAAAACCTCTGTACATGGCTCCGACTTGCTGGCAAGTCCTCCAAAACCACTATGTCTTTGCCCAGTAACCTTTCGCACCACTAGCTTATGCGTATTTGTGCGTTGAGCTACATACTGTGGCCAAACAGTCTTCGTCGTATAGTTCATCTCTAACGCGAAGGTTCCTTGCTTTGAAGCCCATTGCTACAAGCGAGTGACATATAATTTGCTCCTAAGGAGCGGTCACATGAAAACAAACTGTTAACAACTCTGGTTGATGTGCAAGCAACAAGTGCATCGCTACTAGAAACAAAGGCATCCGATTGAGCAGGTGTACTAGACTAGTATCAAATTCAGCAGGTGTTGACATGTTTTGACCATACTATGACAACCATGAAATAGTACAAACAAAGCGGCCTCTGGATCGCAAGCTTCTGAAACTTCTATAGCTTTGGCACCTCAACTGCTAGGATAAAAACAATGAGGAGGAAAACACATGCTGGTGAATCATGAGTCGAGCGTAACACCAGAAGTTGTCTGGTTTCACAGAATGTCATTGCGGCTGAGCACTCTACAATGTGTCGCAGTCAGCCTTGATGCACAATACAAAGGAGTATTCTAGGTTGGAGGCCATCACTAGTAGGTTGGTCAATTTCTCGCCACAATCGTGGGTGGCCAACGCAATAAAGAGGACGGCAGCAAGATGATGAGAACTAAGGATCATGTGTCCTGGAGCGTTTTGTATTTGGGCTTGATACTTAGGTTACTCTTAGACGAAGTTCTGTTAAATCCACATGAGCTGTTCTATCATTTTGCATCCACATTGGTCAGCTTGCATCAAGTCCTGTGAGATTTCAGGCATCCATGAATGCGGCGATCCAACGCCTAGGCCAACACTCTCAAGACCTCAAAAGCCAAGACCTTCAAAGAAGTGCAAGGCATTCAAAATTCCAAACCAGTTCTTGAGGAATGTCTTTCTAGCAAGTGTCCTTTGGTGGGGGGTAGCCTGAAGGGTAGGACGCTAGGGTAGGAGAGGTAGGTAGGTAGCTAATTACTAGTAGGAAACCTCTCCAACCTTCTTCCGCTTCCTTAAGCTTCTTTGAAGAACTCTTCGTCTTCGCATAGTCAAGACACTTGCTAGAAGTAGATTAGATGTTACAGAAACTATATAATCCTAATAGAGAAGTACGTTCAAACCGATAAACTCTTCAAGTAGCGTTATATGCTCTGTTCCAAGAATACGTGTTCTATGCACATTTCGTTGTTTCATGCCTTTGCCAAGAGGCCTTTCGTGTCTTTCTTGTGACCACGGATCTCAACTTCCCGTGGACTTCCCACGGTCTTTGAGCCGAAAAGGCACAAGTGCGAGAAAGGATACGGCAAACAGCGTTGGTTCTCTCCTAGTAGTAACAAGTGCCACGCTAGTAGTAACAAGTGCATCGCTTCTAGTAACAAGTGCCTTACTAGTAGTAACAAGACGCTATTAGAAACAATACGACATTAAACTGGAACAGGTAGAAATCATAGGACATGGTACGAGTCGGTTGAGCGCCCCAAAAAAAAGTATATCTTGGAGTTCGAGCCACTGTTTAACTATTTCGCAGCCTTAAGCTGTGCAACTTGCTTGTTGCGACTAAGTGGTCTCTGAGGTGAAACTTAATTGGAAGCTGTAAGATCTTTACTTAATGAACTGTCCTACGCGTTGCTCCAGAAACTTTCAATCAAGCGATGGAGGTGAGCAACCTGTTCCTATCCTCTTTCCCATATTGGGCTGGCCGGATGATTGCATCCGATTCTCCAGCGGCCTTGCACTAGTTACTAGTGACATCAGGCTCAGGGAATTGTGCCGAAGGCACATTGCAGACAAGGAACGACGGCAAAATCCTTTTAAGCGACCTTTAAAACAGGGCAAGCAAGGCAAATAGTTCCCAGCATGTCCCAACCGTCACAGCCTGACCACCTGTTGGCATGGATCTCATGTCATCACCTGACAACTCGAGATGAACTCAACATGTTCATGGTCAAAAGTCCAAAGAGTGCTGTGTCCACTGCATCTTTTGAACAGCAAAACGTGGCAGCATGACACTGTGTCCATCTTCTCTTCGCTGCACGACTGAAACCGACGTGAACTTGTTGGGGTCGAGCTGCGGGCTGTGCTCTCTGGCAGCTACACAAGTGAGCCTTCAACCTAAGAGCGATGGCCTGCAACCTACTGTGGACAGTGCATGGCATCTTCCCACCACACTTGGATGCACTTGTTACTAGTAGCGTCCTTGCTCGTAGTAGTAAGGCCAGGAGCCCCTAGTAGCGTCCTTGCTCCTCGTAGCGATGCCCTTGTTACTAGTAGCTCCTCTGGCTGCCAAACATTTTGGAAGGCAACATATGTCCACAGGCCGGACTGTGCCTTTTTGCTCTTGGCCTTGTGCTCCTTATAATTGGATTCAGCACAACCTCAAGGAGGTACGGGGTGATCGAGCTCCTTTGGTTTCCTAGTTTTGTCCAGTAGTAGAAAGCAAAATACCCTGTGATCTCATCTAAGTTGGCCATGTGTGCTGCACAGCTACAGTTTGTGAGGCTGTTTCATCTGAGCTCTTGGCTTCGCTCTGCAGCAGCCTCAAACTCTTTCATGCGCTCCTCCGCACCAGCTTCATTGTCAGAGTGACTCGCTGACACTGATTCTGCGACTATAAAATATATTTAGTAACAATGTTCGCTACTAGGGGCTCCTGGCATCGCTACTAGGAGCAAGGACGCTACTAGGGGCTCCTGGCCTTACTACTACGAGCAAGGACGCTACTACGTAGTAACAAGAAGCTTTACGCCAATTACGTTACTACATGCTTAGAAGGCTTCAGAGACCTCCGTTGAAGCCGCAACAACAACTAGCTTCTGACATGCGCTTCCACTCCGAACCTCTACACAGACCAAGACTCTCCAAAGTCTGGAGAATGGACAAGAACCCAACATCGGCTTCAACGAATTCCTTTCGGTGAATTTGAGGTCCTTCTTTCACAAAAGCAGTAACATGCAAACTCCTGTGCGAGCACTACGTCCGGCTTAAGTCTCCTCATCGATGGTGTCGAAAATGTCGAACTTGGAAAATTTATCTGCCAGTTCAGTTGGTACCTTCAACATGCACTGCAAATGCAAATGCCACTCTTGTCTGGCATGTGGATTGAGTTCCAGCTCACGCCCGGCCTGGTCATCCAAGTTAAAACCTGCAAATGCTTCTGATGTTTCTTCGTTGAAAGTCGTCAAATGTGCGCAAGTTCCTTGACGGCTTTGGAGACCTGCCTGCTGTGCCAGGAAGTGTTATTGATGATGTCGGAATCTCGGTTGAAATCTCGTCTTCGAGGTCCACCTGGACGCGGGTGAATTCAGAATGGCAGCAGAAATCAAAAGAAATATAATAAACAAATGCATCATCGTGACATGAATCATTCTTCGCAAAACAAACAGTTTCTCCTGAATGGATAAAACGAATGTGTTCAGGAGTTTCATGGAGTTTCTAAGCGAAGTCCCCTTGAAGAGTTCATGCGTGGGCCAAGATTCAAAGAGTGCAGCCATGTGGCAGGGGTTAGAACCACTGGCGTAGGCATGCTCATGAATTTTCCTCTGTCAGGATTCCTCATGGCAGCATCAATGTGTACAAACAGAACGGGGGGGGTCGTTTCATCGCGCCTTTTTCCTCTGGATCTTCGTACAAGAACTGTCTAAGACAGTGACCTGTTCTTTCTCACGAACTTCTTGAGCGCCTCGTACAAGTAAAGTTGGTTAGCATGCTTTGGACAACGATAAGTTGGTTCGCATTCTCATGTGGACGCACCACCTCTGCAGCCTCCTTCTCTGAGAGAATATTCGACTCCGGAATGGAAGGAATCATGGCCTCAATTCACAAGAGTTTCCAACAAAAGCCGAATCTTGCACCTGCAGTCGGAGCAAGTCTGATGAAACGTATCATCCACAACTCACTACGTTTCCGCAGAACGTTTCCGCTCACCTCTTTCGTGCCACTCACCAAACCATAGAGCGGGTCGTTGCCGGGCAGGCAATGATGCACGCAAACTGTTTGGATCTGACTAGTGGTGTTCGATCCTGTGTTCAAACCTTATGCTGTGAAACTGTCTGAGCCTTCAATGCAGAGGTCATAAATGCAATAAACAAGCTGCGAAGTCGTTGACTAGCAAAAGAAGGTTTGTGAAATCTCCATTGTCTCCTCATGTGGCATGGGTTCAAAAGGTATTGAACCTTTTGCCATTGATTTGAACTATCAGCAGTCAGCAGCTGATAATCCACTGTTCAATCCTCAAGGAGCATGTTTTGACCGTCCGGCAGCGTTCAGAGTCGCTCTACGTTTGGAGCCTGCATGATGTCTGCAATGCATGAAGAAAGCTGATAGGAGGTTTGGGAAAGCAAATTGAAACTAATCGCTCTTAGGTTCCTTTTGCTATGAGGGTGGAGGCCATCGCTAGTAAGTTGGAGGCCGTCGCTTCTAGGGCAAGTTGTATCGAAGAACTGTCAGAAATTGGCCTTACACTGTGTTCCCATGTCTGCCTTATCAGCCTTCACTTCTTCATCTCTACGGCATTGACGCGGGCTCCAAAAGTCAATGAACACATCGACTCCTCATGGGGGAAACGTCCTTCTTCTACTCACGTTGCAAGCACGTCCCGACCAGTTGCTTGCTGTGACTGGGACCACGTATTTTACGAGTTCAACTCCCGTCCTCCACGTGACTTGCACAAGGATTGATTTGTAGCAGCATCAAAGTCTTCGAGTCGCCACCCAAAGAGTCCTCACATCTAGCAAAGGGCATCGCTACTAGGGGTGCTCCCTGCCTTACTACTAGGAACAAGAAGCTACTATAGTAACAAATCTAGAAGAGAAACGAAAGAATCTCGTTCCCAGTTGGCAGGCAATTAAGTCGAAGACATTCGAGTCTAGAAGCGAAAGCTGTCCATTCTTTAGGCACACCATGTGTTACACAGAAGATATGATATATTAGAAACAAAGGTGCTAAATGTATAGGGGGTTAGGCCGTGGCCGTGAAGAGGAAAGGTAGGTACAAGTAGAATCAAGTAGGTAAAAGGTTCCTAGAGTAGCTATTAAGTAGGCTGCCGCCACGAGTATCTGGGACGCAGAACAGCTCAGGCTTCTTGAAGGAAGCTAAGCCCTCGCGTGATTGATGTGGTTCCTAGGTTTGGGGGAAACTTAACTTTTGAAACAGTTGGTCTAACTTGAGGGTAAAGGAAACAAAATGCCAAAAAAACGCCTCCTGTCTCATGATCTAGCCCAGGAGAATTTAGAAAGAATGGAATTGTCAGTGCTGTCCTGTTCCAGAAAGAATTATCTCGACCGCATGTTCAAACCAATTGATGCAGCCAGCGAACCATCCGAATGGAAATCAGCTGCATTCATCGAATGGAGATTGCCATCTGGAGTGGATGGTCTCTAAAACCCTGTGCATGCGCAAAGGACCACCTTTAGAAAGGTGACATCTCTTCTTAGTATAATTTGTTCATGGCGGTCCACGCGAAAGCTATCATGGCTTATGGGCCATGCCCTCTTCTTAGTTTAAAAAAATAACATGTGTATATCATATATGTTTGCCAACTCCGGAGGGGCCCAGTCCTGAAGGAAATGCGTCAGAACCGAGTTCCTGTATGGCGTATGTGCATTCTTCTGGGCCTCACATGGGGACGGTGCTGTCACGCTGCCAAGACTTTCCTTTTGCCTTTAGACCTATCTTCCTTTTTTCCTTTTCTTTAGACCTCTCAGGTATTTCCAATCTCCAAGACTGTCAAGTCTCAGCTCACCCGCGCTGCAATGACATCCCCCAGTGCGCTCAAAGATTGGTTGATCTTTATAGCCTCGCCATGACAATTGGGTGCCATGTTTGATCCATTTGAATCCAGTACTCAGTTCAATGCTGAAAACAAAAACAGCCAACCCCTCCTGCCTCTTTTTGGCGGTCACCAGAGACTCCTGACTTGGCTAAGCGCTCTGATCCAGCCAAATCCACCTGGAGTGGAAATGTGCATTGTGGAGCAGTGGCAAAGCAAGTTTGAAAAACCCTACGCTAGTAGGTTGGAGGCCATCGCTCTTAGGTTGGAGGCCTGGGTTGGACGCCATCACTAGTAGGTTGGAGGCCATCGCTATTGGGTTGGAGGCCATCGCTAGTAGGTTGGAGGCCATCGCTATTTGAGGCTGGATTGCCTTCCAGAACCCTAGATGCAAGGATACCTCTTCTGGGAGTCTTCACTACTCCTTGCTACCAAAAATATGCTTGGAAAGAGAAGCAACAGGGAATCACAGTTTCTTACACGCTCCCATGCAAAACGAAAGCAGGCCAAAGTCCCTCGCCAGCGTGATGGCTGAGGAGAACTGCTTGCCCTCAGGGTTTGTCATGGTTCCCAAAATCTGTACCTGAAGTCGAGACTTCCAGACTTGGTCCCAAGAAGCTAGTAGAAACAAGTGCATCGCTACTAGGTACAAGTGCATCGCTACTAGTAACAAGTGCCTTACTAGTAGTAACAAGAACGCTACGTTCGGGGCTCCTGGCATCACTACGAACGGAGCGATCGGACGCTACTATAGATACAGTGGTTTTCAGTTCGAATGCTAAGCACCTCACCGCCAAATGAGACCTGGAGGAGTGCAAGTTCATGTCGGTCGAGGCAACGGTTCGGTTCCTCGGAGCGACGCGCCAGGTGTGCTCCGAAAGCGACCAGCGGCCTCCAACCTAATAGCGTCCATGCTCCGTTCGTAGCGATGCCAGGAGCCCCGAACGTAGCGTTCTTGTTACTAGTATGTAAGGCACTTGTTACTAGTAGCGATGCACTTGTTCCTAGTAGCGATGGCCTCCAACCTAATAGCTCCGAAAGATTCATTCCTGATCTTCCTCACTGAGACGTGGATTTGTGATCAAAATCCACATACATAGTGTTTCTTTCCCAAACGAAATATGTTGTGTGATCACACCGCAACACAACTACGTAGTCGCACTATTGCCCAGGAGGCCACAACATATATCGAACCGCTGACACCCTCCCCATCCCTCCCCCAAAAGCTGTCTCTATTTCGACCAATACTATTGCATAGTATTGCGGCTTCTAACGATCGATCAACGCGGCGATCAATGATTCCACCCCGCCAGCCCCGCTCTAGGGCAAGCTTGATGGGTAGCTCTTCGGATGCCACATTTCGTAATATTTCTGGTACCGTGGTTGCAAGGAAACTCGGACAAAAAACAGTCTGAGCCTCACACGCTTGTGCTGTGTTGAGCAATGACTCTACCTCCTGCACGTTATTCACGGGCCTTAGATGAACAAGAAACATGTGGCTTGGCAAATGCAAACTTCTCATGAACTGCAAACGAAGCAACTAAGGACCTAAGTAGGGGGAGGCCATCGCTAGTAGGTTGGAGGCCATTACTACTAGTAACAAGAAGCTACTAGTAAGCATTAGACCTGAGTAGGACCTAAGGAGCTGAGACGCCTGGCAGCATTGTGAGGCCCGGAACATAATTGCCCTCTTTCCCTTGCCTTACCTCAGGCGGTAGGCACAATCCTCAAGAAATCCGTAACATCTTGACAGCTCTAAAACGGTCATTACGAAACAAAAGGTCAGACCCTGTACTTCCACAAATCAACTTGAACAATTCCTGAGAAGCCTGCCTGAAGCTTCTGTTTCTTGTCGTTTGGTCCCAGCAAGAGATCGCGAACTTCCTGACGGTAGGGCATGGCGGTAACAAGTTTGGGAAATGATCCGCAAATATGTTGTTGAGCCTCTTCCTAGTGTTGCTGATTGCATCGTTCTTTGCATTTAAAAACTGCGGCCTCATTGTAGATCTCCACACATGCCTCGAGTATGCTTTTATGAACCTCTCAACCACTACTCAAGAATTTCCGTTGTAACTTGTAACTGAGGAGCAAACACCCTTGAGTTCTATCTTCCACGCAGTGCGTTCTCTGGCAACCTGGTCGAGAAACTGTTGATGGGTTTTTTTTGGTTTCGCTTGTGTCTGCTGTCCAAGACCTGCGCAGGGTTCCCTAATGTCTTTTGCTCTTGTCAGGTGGCCTGGAATCTTTTACAAGTGATTGAAACCTTGGAAAGCAAATGTGGTGAGTTCTTCACATGTCTTCGCTGCACCTTGCACTTGGAAGAGAAACGTTACTTCGAAACCGAGTCAGGAAACCAGAGTCAGGAGATCAAGTTCGAGCCCGGAAACCGAGTAAGGAGATTTGAACGGCAGAGTCAGGCAGCCTATGAGAGAGTCCAAAGGGATGGAACTCACTAACTTGGAAGTACAAACCAAAGCCATGAGTCAGGAAAACCATGTGGGACACATTTTGGGCCGGAGGGACGTGGGGTCTAGAAAGCTGGACAGTTTGAAACTATGAGTCGGAGGAGACGGGTGGTGAGTCAAAAATCCTGGACGGCAAACGAGTCCGCAAACTTAGACTTTTCGGGAATTCCAACCCAAGAGCGATGGCCTCCACCCTAGTGGCGTTGGCCTCCAACCTACTAGCGATGGCAGCTTGAAAGCCAGTTATTCTTTCTGGCCTGTGCCCAGATTGGACCGGTCTATTCCAAGACACCTAGGGTAATTGTTTCCTGACTCCATCTTCTCCCCATGCGGAATACAAAGCGCTCCCTTCCGAACCTTGAAGAGCTCGTTGAATGTCCGAGAGTAGACACCCGGGTTGTCCCTCAAATCATGTCATAGCTTCTAGATTGGAAGCGATCACTAGCCGGTTGGAGGCCAGTGCTAGTAGGTTGGAGGCCATCGCTAGTAGGTTGGAGGCCATCGCTAGCAGGTTGGAGGCCAACGCTAGCAGGTTGGCGGCCAAAGCTAGTAGGTTGGAGGCCATCGCTTGTAGGAACTATAGCTTCTCTATGCTTCTCTTCTTTCTGCACTTGAATGTGGAACCAAAGCTTGCTTAGGTCCGATCGATGAACCTTGCATGGAGAACGTCTTTCCAGATCCTGTCTGGCCATATGCGAACATGCAGACGTTGTAGCCTGGCAAAGTCTTAAAAACAGCATGACAGAATAGATCGGACAGCTCCATGAATCCAGTCTGGCAAATGACTACCACACAGCCCGTGTTGCCAACACTTTCGTCAAGTTTGTTCTCTCACACCTCTCAATTTCCTTCTTGCTTGGGACTCCAGCCATCCAGCATCGACACAACAAGGTCGCGAATTCCACTGAAAAGGTCTTCCTGGAATCGGAGCTGCTCGGCTGGCAGGTGACATGAACAAGAAGTCTGAATACTTAATGGCCTCCAACCTACTAGCGATGGCCTCCCACCTAAGAGCAGGTGTTTAAAGAAAAAGAAAGAAACACGCCTGTTTGGATTCTTGGCGGTAAATTTCATTGAACTGCCAAGACCTTGCACAATCACCACAAGCAAAGACATCGGGTGGGCGAGTCATTGAGAGGTCGACTTTGTAACTCCGAGTTCAGGATTGCTGATCTTGATCTGACAAAGACGGGAAGAGAGGAGAAACAGAACAAAATGGCTTGGCGTTCACTGTCCGGCCTCATCTGGAGCCGGGTAGGAGATGCAGCAGCCATTCGCTGCCCTTTGTTTGTACTGAGCTCCGTTGGCAAGTTAGCAGACTACAAATTTGTTGATTTCACCCGCATAAGTATAAGCTTTGGACTCTGCATCTGTCATTGGCCGAACACGGCAATAGACCCGAATGTTGCCTGCGGCAAGCGGAGATTCCTGTCTTGGAAGGACAATCACACGCAAATGCTGGAATCGCAAAAGTTACTACTAGCGTGGCACTTGTTACTAATAGCTTTTTGTTACTACTAGTAAGGCACCTGTTACTACTAGCGTGGCACTTGTTACGGCGAACAAGAACACTTGCAAAAAGGCTCCAGGTTTGGCCTGAACGGGCCCATAGTGACCCTTACCCCAACGATCCTAGGACTCCTAGTTGTTCGCCAGGAATTTGGAGCAAGCTCTTTGAACTTTGACTTCACACACTTCACGCCTTTCAATTCCTGCACCAAATTGTGCAACCTGATCTACAGCTCAAAGAAAGAATCTCACAAGCTGGTGTTCTCTCTTCAAGGCGATACACTTGATAGACTTGCTTGCAGAATCTTCAGCTTCTGATGTGAGTCAAGTGGCTTCCGTCTTCGATCGCATTCGATACTATACTTCTCCTTCCACTCCTGCCCCATGGATGGCTGACGTGCATGTTGACTTCTTCACTTCCATCAACTGTAGATGACCGTCACTTCAAGCAATCTGGATGCATTCAAAAAAATCGGCCAACAACCACTGATAGCAATACACTGCAGCGGGGCCTGCGCAGATGAGTCCAGAAGTTTTTTCAACTCTGAGGCCTTGCCTTGCATCACTTCTTGCAAGACCTACAAGATAGTGTCTATGTCTGCAGAACCAAATGCCAAAAACAATCATTGAACATGATCAATCTATCTTACCTATCTATTTGAAAAATATTCCACGTAATTCTAATATCTCTCAAGTATTGAGCTCAGGCTTGGCCTGAGGTAGCTGCTGCTGGATCTCAGCTGTTACCTGGCATAGCCGCTCTGGCCCATATCACCAGACTGTATATATCAAGGTCGCCGTTTGGCACGCTGGCACGGAGGTCTGCAACCTGCTTTTTGCCTGCAAACACTAGATCCAAGCACTGGGTGAGAAAATAAATGGACAAACGTTCAGAACAACACCAGAAGCACAGTGATGCACAGTAGTAGCGTCCTTGCTCCTAGTAGTAAGGCCAGGAGCCCCTAATCCTGAATAAAAAGGCAATCTCAATACAGTAGGATTTGCCGCTACTTATTTGATTTCTTTTTATCACTTCTCTTTGGCGGGACTTCAAAGCACTAGCAAATTGCCTTGATCTACACAATGTGACGGGCACACCGTCATATCGAAACATGGTGAAACTGTAAGCAATGTGAGCAATTCGAAATAGCTGTGCTATTTCAGCTTGTGAATGCCCTTCGCCAAAAGCATTTTATGTCCAATCGATTTCACTCCGCAAATCGACCATAGACTCGGCTCAATTGCGTGTAGCAAACTCCCCTCGATTTCGTCTGTGATGATGGCACTCTTCAGAAGCCGAAAGTCACATTCGAACTCTCTCTTCAACCTCAATCTCAGGAATCTGAGGCTGATTAAGGAAGCATGAAAAAGAAGCATGACTGCAACCATTCCACTTGTTGCGATCAAAGCGGCGCATCAAAGTACTGGAGCAAGTTGCCTCTTCCTGATAGATCTTCAAAACACCGGAAGTCTTGCGTTGAACTAAATCGTGTCTTTTGCTGACCAAATGATCAAAATGCAAGCAAAGCACTGTTGTCCAAGCTCAGAAGCCATTCACGAAAGTTCCTCTCCATTGAAGCTTCCACGGCGTCCTTAATGTCACATCCATTGGGGATTCAGCTGTGACAACGAAGGCCCAAAAGAACCTCTTTTGGCTAAACATTGATTTAATAAAGGACGACGCTACTAGGGTGGACGCCATCGCAAGTAGGGTGGCGGCCATCGCTACTAGGGTGGAGGCCATCGCTACTAGGGTGGGGGCCATCGCTTTAATAAAGGACAATGGGGTGGTAAGCTCCACAAGGATCCCTGCCGTTGAAGAAAGCACTCATGTGCTTCATGGCCAGCATCTTCCAAAATTATCCTAAATCCTTCAACCATGTTGCACTTTCGAGCTGAAGACACCTGGTCTTCAGCCATGGCTTTGCTGACAAGTTGCTGGCTCTACCATCGTTTCTGATGAACCCTTGGAAGTTGTCTAGATTTGAACAATTGCACACACAAGCGTCAATGTCATGAGGCAGCATCTACTACTCCAATCTAGTCTGGTAGTGTTCCTGCGTGAAACATGGTAATCCGGTAGTCCCAAGAATCACTCATATACAGCACAACATGTAAGAGAGACTAGTGCAAATAAGGTTCCGGAGTTGAAGCTGCCTTGCAAAAGGAAGCTCAACGGCAAGTGCTTGATTCACCAAAACTCTTTGGAAGAAAGGTCCGAAGAAACGCTGAAGAATAAAAGACACCTCCCACCCCAGACAATCGCTAGCAGGGTGGAGGCCATCGCTAGTAGGCCAACCCACAGGACGGTGGCAACGACACCGCAAAAGAAAAGCAAAGCTCAATTGGATGGCAACTGTCTTTCGGCAAGCAAAAATCTTACTAGAGGATCCCAATGATTGCATGTTGAGTCATGCGGACCAGGCGCAGGTTCTTCCAAGGTCGTCGCCCCTGTCAAAGGCTTAGCTGGAGATGGGCGTTGACAGCTCGCCGCTGAGTCCTTGGCGGGAGGGGCAGTGCTTGCAAATGAATCATGAGGACAACATCACAACCAATCTTGCCCATTGCCCCTTGTCTATGTCTATAAATATAATATATATATATATATTTGTCTAGATGGAGCAATGCCCAAGAAAACTTGAGGCCTTCATAGCATGTGTCTGAACCACAAACATATTGAATCTAACAGCCCAAGCAAGCACCAGAGTGCACACTGCTGACAAGCATCCACCTCTGAAGCAGCCTTGCGTGCAACACAGCTGATAAACGATCACCAACCAAAATATGTTTTTAATGCCGATCCTTTATTGCTTTGCGCAGTGCATCGAATCAAAAACGGCACGGCACGCCTCTATTCGAGGTTCTTTCGTTGAAGTTGGCGGCACAACTTCACTCTTCGGTTGAGCGGCAGGCTTTGGAGGTGGTGCACTCTCCTCTGGTGCCTAGTAGAAATGTTCAGAGATCAGAGGAGACCCCGCCAGACATCAGTTGAAGTGCAGAAGAACCGTTGAAGGCAACAAGCAATGTGCTCAGCCGTGGTCAAGATACACTACCTGCTCAACCCGTTTGTCGGACAGTGGAGCCTTCAGGCTCGGTCGTGGTTTGCTCGATTCCTGACCCGTCGCACATGCGGGTGTGTGTGCCCACAAGGAAACAGGAGAATTCCAATCAGCTCAACTGACAGTCTGACAGTCTGATGCAAGACATGTCTTAGAACGAGACAAGAAAGGTCTGATAATGAAGGAAAGAAAAGCGAACAGAGAGAACAGGTCTAAAGGTCTAAAGACAGAAAAGCAGAAAATAGACTTTAAACGCTTTTTTTAAGAACACAAAAGGCACCTGCATTCCGCTTGGCTGCTGTGGGGACTTGGCCATAGTTTCCTCCACCTGAACACCATGAGCCGAAGGGCCGGAAGGGCAAATCTGCCTTGAGGGCAACTGATTGATTCGGCTCTAGCTTCCTTGTTACTACTACTAGTAAGGCACTTGTTCCTAGTAGCGATGCACTTGTTACTAGTAGCTTCTTGTTTCTACTAGCTGCCTTGTTACTACTAGTAAGGCCCTTGTTACTAGAAGCGATGCACTTGTTCCTAGTAGCTTCCTTGTTACTACACACATGGTTGACTCAAATTTCATGAAAATATTGTCAAAAATCCTAGTCGTTATAAGATACTTTTAAAGAATAAGAGCAGCTGTCATAGTACTCCTCGTTGTCCTGGTCTAGGCATGACATTGGTGTAAGTATTGGAAAGCGATTGGGCATTCCACACGTTCAGGGGAGTTCTTGTTTCTTCCAAATCTACCCGGCAAATCGCAGAACTTGCAACGTTTGATCGAATGGTTAATTTCAAGAACGGGCTCAGGGGCAAATATCTGTTGCATCACTGGGTCTTGCACGCAAAGACTGGACTCAACCAAAATAACATGGCTTTGCCTGCCCACGTCGGAAAATGATGGGGCCTATGCAAGGGGCCCTGCAAGCTCTGTATGTAAGAACATAAACACATCCCAGCAACTTTAATGGCTGCTCCTGCCTTCAGTGTTGGCTTTCGCAGCGGAAGTCTTTTTCTCGAAGACATCGGCCCTGGCACTGATTGCGCCAGATTGACGCCTTTAGCCGCCTCCTGGACAGTCCAAACTTGTGGAAGAAAGCGTGCTTTTTGGAAAGCTCATACCTAGTCTTTGAGAAAGCGTTCTAACAAAACAGCCTTGGTTTTGTAGTGAGCCCAGGGTCTAGCAGGAGGGTGTCAAGCCAGGGTGGCTAGCCAAATCAAGATTGATCCACAAACAACGACACATTCATATCCAGGTAGATTGAGCTAGATCGAGTTCGTTTGGAAGGTATTGATGCTATTTGTTTAATTTGAAAGCAATCATATGCGCTTTGGAAACAACGCAACAACCTTATATTAGGTTGGAGGCCATCACTCTTAGGTTGGAGGCCATCGCTTTTAGGTTCCTTTCGCTAATTGAAGATCCCAAAGGCCCGATCAGCAAAAACGGATTATGTCTTGCCATTGTCTTTTGAATTATTTACTGAGGCTCAAAATCATTGTCCAGCAATCAGCGCATCAAATAAGATTCACCTATTCCATTTTGCCCCCCTTGCCCCCGTCCTTTATGGACCTGAAGTGAGCTGTTACAAGAAGCCCCATGGACATATTGAAATGTCCAGATCTGAACAAGCGACTGTCTTGGGGTTCTCTTTCCAACTACACGTTCTTTCATGAAAAGCCCGATCAAATAGAGGCCAGCCCCTTACAGTATGTCTTCCCACTACAAAAGATCAGGAGGTCCCAGCAAAGGCTCATGAACGTTCGATTAGGTTGGAGGCCATCGCTATTAGGTTCCTTTCGCTGCTCAACGTTCAAGATTGCGCAGTCTTCACGGCAAAACATGCACTGGCTCCTTGGCGCTAGGCTTCGGAACTTTCGGCGCTGGTCCCACTCTTCCTATTGAGCACGTGGGCTTCGGTTGCTTGCCATCTGCAGGTTCCGCTTCCTCCGCACAAATCGGCAAAGGCTAAGTTCTCTCCACAAGTCAACATCTTGCTGGAGGATCTGATATGATCCCAGCGGTTGCAACAAAAACCAATTCACTTCATGCCTTGTCACCTTGTCACGATCGCATGTTGAGTCATGCGGACCAGGCGCAGGTTCTTCCAAGGTCGTCGCCCCTGTCAAAGGCTTAGCTGGAGATGGGCGTTGACAGCTCGCCGCTGGGTCCTTGGCATGTGGGGCAGTGCTTGCAAATAAATCGTGAGGACAACATCACAACCTATCTTGCCCATTGCCCCTTGTCTATGTCTATAAATATAATATATATATATATATGTCTAGATGTAGCAATGTCCAAGAAAACTTGAGGCCTTCATAGGATTTGTCTGAACCACAAACATGTTGAATCTAACAGCCCAATTAAGCACCAGAGTGCACACTGCTGACAAGCATCCACCTCTGAAGCAGCCTTGCGTGCAACACAGCTGATAAACGATCACCAACCAAAATATGTTTTTAATTCCCCAAATAGTGCTCCGCACTAAGGGGTTCTTACGGTAAGAGTTAAGCGGGCTCAGATCAGGGTTCGCGCGTGTGGCTGCGGCAGTTTGCGTGGGCCGGCTCGCACAAAAGTTACTTTTTGAATTCCTCATGTCCATTTCGACTGCGCAGGCTCGCATAAAGTGGTGGCCGCGTCTTTCGCGCTTCCGGGACAAAGCTCTTGTGCAGGTGCCGTGCTCGTTTTCGGACATGAAGTGCATTTTGCGTGGCAGGCGCAAGGAATTCGACACATTGGAGCCTCGAAAAGGTCATTTTACGTGGCAGGTGCAAGGAATCGGAGACTTTGCAAATTTCGTGGCAGGCGCAGTGTTTTGTGGACGTTGCAAACGTTGGCAGGCGTGTGTCATTCGCAGGATTGCGTTTCGCGTGGCAGGCGCAGCGAATCCGCACCATGGATGCGATATTTTGAGGTGAAACGGGTGAATTCGTGAGAGGGGTCGCATTTTTGGAATTTGAAGTTGAGGATGCTTTTGCGTGGCCAGTGCAGCATTTCGTATGACCTGCAGGCATGATGTCGTGGCAGGCACAGCATTTCTGAAACGCATTTCAAAATTTGCGAAAGCCTCGTGTAATTTGCTCATGTTGGATCTCCGATGTGCAGATTTCGTGGCAGGCGCAGCACTTTGTGAATCTCGATGTGCAGAGTTCGTGGCAGGCGCAGCACTTTGTGAATCTCGATGTGCAGCTTGCGTGGCAGGCGCAGCACTTTGTGAATCTCGATGTGCAGATTTCGTGGCAGGCGCAGCACTTTGTGAATCTCGATGTGCAGATTTTGTGGTAGGCGCAGCACTTTGTGAATCTCGACGCGCAGGGTTCGTGGCAGGCGCAGCACTCTGTGAATCTCGATGCGCAGCTTGCGTGGCAGGCGCAGCACTTTGTGAATCTCGATGCGCAGATTTCGTAGCAGGCGCAGCACTTTGTGAATCTCGATGTGCAGATTTCGTGGCAGGCGCAGCACTTTGTGAATCTCGATGTGCAGATCTCGTGGCAGGCGCAGCACTTTGTGAAGCTGGATGTGCAGATTTCGTGGCAGGCGCAATACTTTGTGAACCTCGATGTGCAGAGTTCGTGGCAGGCGCAGTACTTTGTGAACCTCGATGCGCAGATTTCGTGGCAGGCGCGGTACATTGTGAACTGCGAAATGCTCCTATGTACTCGCCTGTGTGCTCTCAGATTTGTGCTTGTATGTGCTCTCACATTTGTGCTCTCAGATGTGTGCTCCCATATGCTCTCATATGTGTGCTCTCATTTGTGCTCGTGAATCTCGATGCGCATCCTTCACCTCGTCCCATGCGGTTGCGCTGGGGCGGCCCCTCGCATTGGCGTCGCACGCACTCGCTGCTTACCACCGCGGAAAACATGCGCGTCTGCAGTCGTAGCTTTTTGTTTTACAACGACCTTCCAGCCATATTACTCCCTGGCATTTTTGGCACTACGTTGGTCGCACTCTCCTCCTTATAACCTCACGCCTGGTCCCTCTGGTCTTTCACATGCTTCCGCATCTGCTGCTCTCATCTGTGCGCTCGCACATTTGTGCCCTTGTCCGTCTCCTCTCATATTTGTGCTTTCATCTGTGTGCTCCTTCTTTCCTTCCACGTGATGCCATGTTCCATCTGTTCCTCTTTACACTATTTGGGGTCCCTTGCCGGTGTAATGTCGATCCTTTATTGCTTTGCGCAGTGCATCGAATCAAAAACGGCACGGCACGCCTCTGTTCGAGGTTCTTTCGTTGAAGTTGGCGGCACAACTTCACTCTTCGGTTGAGCGGCAGGCTTTGGAGGTGGCGCACTCTCCTCTGGTGCCTAGTAGAAATGTTCAATGCAAGTCATCAATCTGTCAGGTCTTGACCCTGGCGAAAAGTTGCAAATGACCACTCGAACCTGCAAGGTGACCGGCAGCTCTTGCGATGCCTAACATTGAGATGCAAATCCCTCCCACAGGCATCCGCAAGAAGAGTGCTGGGTACCTTGAAAGCACTTACCATGCTACTCACTAATACTATGCACCTGCGCTCCACTTGGCCGCGGTGATTGCTTGAGCGCGGATTTCACCACCTGACAGCCGGGGGGCATTTCATGTCTATTCGGCACACCTTTCACATATGGTGAGGTACACACTGTACTACACGGCGGGGGGTGTCACTTGCGCATCGACAATTAGCGTCACTTGCGCATCGATGGCCATATCATCACCTCTTACATCCGTACGCAACGGACACACACAGTTCTCTATGATTCATCTAAGGATGACCATTTCTATGTGATCTACAGCTCGACATTGATGACAGGTCTGATAAGTTGAGAGTGTAGGATCTGATATGATCCCAGCGGTTGCAGCAAAAGCCAATTCACTTCATGCCTTGTCACCTTGTCACGATCGCATGTTGAGTCATGCGGACCAGGCGCAGGTTCTTCCAAGGTCGTCGCCCCTGTCAAAGGCTTAGCTGGAGATGGGCGTTGACAGCTCGCCGCTGGGTCCTTGGCGTGTGGGGCAGTGCTTGCAAATAAATCGTGAGGACAACATCACAACCTATCTTGCCCATTGCCCCTGTCTATGTCTATAAATATAATATATATATATATGTCTAGATGTAGCAATGTCCAAGAAAACTTGAGGCCTTCATAGGATTTGTCTGAACCACAAACATGTTGAATCTAACAGCCCAATTAAGCACCAGAGTGCACACTGCTGACAAGCATCCACCTCTGAAGCAGCCTTGCGTGCAACACAGCTGATAAACGATCACCAACCAAAATATGTTTTTAATGCCGATCCTTTATTGCTTTGCGCAGTGCATCGAATCAAAAACGGCACGGCACGCCTCTATTCGAGGTTCTTTCGTTGAAGTTGGCGGCACAACTTCACTCTTCGGTTGAGCGGCAGGCTTTGGAGGTAGCGCACTCTCCTCTGGTGCCTAGTAGAAATGTTCAATGCAAGTCATCAATCTGTCAGGTCTTGACCCTGGCGAAAAGTTGCAAATGACCACTCGAACCTGCAAGGTGACCGGCAGCTCTTGCGATGCCTAACATTGAGATGCAAATCCCTCCCACAGGCATTCGCAAGAAGAGTGCTGGGTACCTTGAAAGCACTTACCATGCTACTCGCTAATACTATGCACCTGCGCTCCACTTGGCCGCGGTGATTGCTTGAGCGCGGATTCCACAACCTGACAGCCGGGGGGCATTTCATGTCTATTCGGCACACCTTTCACATATGGTGAGGTACACGCTGTACTACACACTGTTTGTAGAACAAGAAAGTCTTGCTCCTGCAAAAACAATACCTTTAGTGAAACGGTCTGCGTTAAGGGTTCCCCAGTATAGACATTCAAAAACAGGGGTGTGTGTATATTTTATAGTATATATACATATACCTGAGAAGGGAGGGGACGAAAGCCAGCCTCTGGGTTAGGGGGTGCCCTCAGGGCAAGCCTGGCCAAAGACTTGGCGTGCAAGATGAAGTGATTGGCTAACATCAGGCAAAGAGTACTTTCATGGGGTGAAGTTGACATGGCGGCCACACTGATAAGGAGCAGAAACAGAAAGTAGAATACATAGGGGTGGGGGGGGGGGAGTGCCCCTTTTCGTCCCGGTTCAGGGGCGCTTTGGAGGTGAAAAAGGGCACCCCTAAGGAAGTGAGGGGCGCTTGCCTGCGGCGTGTTGCAAATCAGTGAGCAAACACGGCTGTGGGGGGGCCATTCGTTGCGTTTCCGGCTGCCTCTTTGCGCGGAGGCGGCGGCGGCAGCTTTCTGGCTTTGCTTGACTTGCTCTTTGGGGGTCGGAAGAGCTGAGCCTCCTCAGGTGGTTCACTCAAAGTAGTCGTAGCTGGTGTGGGGGTAGGATGTGGAGGTGTTGGAGCCGACAGCTCACTGCTTATCTGGGACTCGCAGGCTGGCTCTGTTGGCGTCATCTCCGGGGCTGGCTGCGAATTGCTCTTGTCGTGGTGCTGCGTCAATGCCGGTGGCCTGTGCCAAAAGAATAAAATGCTTCATTGGAGACATCAGAACTTGCATCACTTGTGACATCCGTGGATGGGCTTTATCTAAACTAGCAGCAAGAATGCTACTAGTAGTAAGGCCAGGAGCTACTAGTAGCGTCCTTGCTCCTAGAAGCCCTTTGTTACTAGTAGCAAGAATGCTACTAAAGCCCTCCAGCCTCCAGTATGAGGCTCGCCTGCAGAAATGGTCTTGACTAAATATACTCTTCTCCACTCGAACAGGAACGGCTTGTTGAAACAAGAGCACTGCTACAGTAGAGACGAGACCGCTATTGGACGCCTCGGCATCTCTTCCAGTGAAGTCTCGTGCTCACATCTTTCGAATCCTTCAGCTTTCCGTTTCGGTTTTGGAGCTTCGATTCGCCTCGTCACTTTCATCGGGATGCAGTTCGTGTCGCTCGTTTACAGTTAAGTTCACTCTTGTTCAAAAGAGCCGTGTCTTGCTTGAAAAGCATTCTTGTGGCCAGCTGTAAAGGGTAGTTGAGTTTATGAGTTCATGAGCACGTCAACATGCCAACCCCATATACAGCAGAGCAGACTGAGCCTTCTTTTCCTCTTCCTTTCAGTCCGATTCACTGTCGGTCTTTCCATGTCAATCGGACACTGCTCACCTCAGTTCTGCTCTTTGAAAGAAAGAAAAGAAAGGAAAACAGAAAGAGGAGCGAAGAACGGAAAAAGGAATGTTTTTGCATCGCTACCAGTAACATGGGCATCGCTACTAACAAGTTATTGTTTCTTTTACGTAACAAGAAGCTAGAAGGTTGGAGGCCATGGCTATTAGGTTGGAGGCCATTACTACTAGTAACTAGGACGTTACTAGTAGCTGATGGCATTACTACTTATAACAAGTACCTAGTTGCTGGTGTTCGTCGCTCCCGCAGCTGGGCTCCCAAGCTCTTCAGCTCTTCCGGATCAAAGCCTTGGCCTTGGAAGCAGCGGAGGAGACCGCTTCAGTCTCTTTAGATCTTATTGTTTCAGGAGAGTTGAACCATGTTTAGGTGAATCACACCAAGAATTGAGGAAAGATATGTGCGCAGAGGCACTTGATCCACGTTTGACTTAAGACCTATGGGACTTCTTGGTGGATAGCAGCTTCTTCTTTGGCGATCCCAAGTGCCCAGCGATGCTCCCCAATACTAGCTGCACCTTTCTGCGTGAGTCTCCTGTGATTCACACATCTTTGTAATTGTTCCGGATGGAGACATTGAACAGTTTGCTTTTGTCTCAAACGATTCACGACGTGTGAATTCCAGACTTTGTTTCTTGCTCCAACGGGTGCTGCTCGTAAGTTCGAAGCAACCCTGATACCATTGACTTGCACTGCGGCTCCACCATTCCTCAAGATCCTCTTCGCTGGCAAGTCCCCGCCTTTAGATCCTGCAAGGCGCGAGGTGCGAAAAGAGTGAATCTCATCCAGGAGACTTTCGTTGACCGAAGAGTTGGGGGTAGGCCTTGGGGGGCTGATTCTGCGAGGACTGGTGTGAGACCTTAGGATTGGCATTGCACCTTGTTTCTGTGGAGGCACAACTGAGGCTGGTAGATCCTTCAAACGAAACAAACTGAAAGAAAGAAACGTGATAAATCTGCCATCAGCCAGCGTCAACTTGGAAAAGGATGCATTGCAAGCTGTAGATCTTTCAACCCCTGCTCCTGATGCAGCTTTTGGCCTGCCGAATCTGCTGCAGGGAAATGAATGGAGCGACATACAGCTTTTGGTGCACTTGCTGATTTAAACAAACGGAAGAATCTGCAAAATCTCTTCAACAAGTTGCCAAGGCACGCTGCAGACAATGGCCGCGCTCTCGTTTTGGGTCTTGCCCTGGTGAATTTGAGCAATACTGTGAGATACTGAGATACTGTGAGAATGTCAAAGCATCAGCGCCAAGAAAAAACTAGGTTCGTGTCTCAGTCTTTGCAGGAGACAGGGAAGCGGATCGTCCTGCGGTCCACTGGATTGATTTGGCAGCAAAGAAGTTTGTCAGACCCAAGGCACAATCACTGAACCAATTATTTGCTTGTGTTGATAGTAACACAACGTTCATCTGAGGGCCACATCACATCTGGACTGGCTCTGTGGGTGTATCTCTAGGCTTTCGCAAGACCTTATGGGGACGAAGCATGCTCACGCGTACCTTCCATCATCTTAACCAGGACAGCACTCTTTCAGAACTAAAGCTGGATTGCGGACTAGGCTGGGTAGATTTATCCGACATTGAGAGTTCAAAGAATGAGAGGAGTCACTTGAGTCACTTGTCAGCTTCGTAAGATCTTTGATGGGCGTTGTAAACATCCATTTAATGGGTACAAATTGAATCAAATTGATTTTGTGTCACACACAGTTGCCATCTTGTAGCTGTCCCTGACATGGTTGTAGTTACGGTTGTAGTAATAGCTGTAGTAGCAGTGCCAGTACCAGTAGGAGTAATAGAAGTCGTTATCGTATATTGTGTTTCTTCGTTGTCGAAATCAGGATCTTAAGCTTGGCGTCTTGGGGTAGGCCTTGGGGGGCTGATTCTGCGAGGACTGGTGTGACACCTTAGGATTGGCATTGCACCTTGTTTCTGTGGAGGCACAACTGAGGCTGGTAGATCCTTCAAACGAAACAAACTGAAAGAAAGAAACGTGATAAATCTGCCATCAGCCAGCGTCAACTTGGAAAAGGATGCATTGCAAGCTGTAGATCTTTCAACCCCTGCTCCTGATGCAGCTTTTGGCCTGCCGAATCTGCTGCAGGGAAATGAATGGAGCGACATACAGCTTTTGGTGCACTTGCTGATTTAAACAAACGGGAGAATCTGCAAAATCTCTTCAACAAGTTGCCAAGGCACGCTGCAGACAATGGCCGCGCTCTCGTTTTGGGTCTTGCCCTGGTGAATTTGAGCAATACTCTGAGATACTGAGATACTGTGAGAATGTCAAAGCATCAGCGCCAAGAAAAAACTAGGTTCGTGTCTCAGTCTTTGCAGGAGACAGGGAAGCGGATCGTGCTTGACGGCGTCCTTCGCGACAGCCAGAACAGCATTGGGAATTCAAGGCAAAAAGAGCGCGCGGGTCCAGGCAGGACCTGTAGGTTGAAGACCTGTTCTCTTGATGCAACACCAATGTAGTGTGACAGTGTGAAGCTAGAAGCCCTTTGGTTGCAACCATGCAGTGCGTCCTTCTCCTGCATGCTTTGGCCGAGGAGGCCTCCAGAATTTGGAACGGGAAGCTGATGGTTCTCTCTTTAGATCACTTCTAGGCAAATGATGGCAAATGGCCACAGCAACCTGATTAAACCTCACTGTATCCTTGAATTCGTGTTCACATGATGTCAGAAAGACCCGTCTAGCTGAAGAAAGTTCACACTTGGAAACACATCGCAATTTCTGGCATGGCACGGTGATCGGCTGTCAATTCGTCGTCCATCCGCTCGTGCTTTGGTCCTTGCTTTTGGCCACTCCGTAATCTCCGTAGTGGTAACAACTCGGGAGATGCAAGAATCATGTCATGCTCTTGACGGCTTGGTGTCATTGATAAACCTTGCCATCACTTTGTTTGTCTTCCCACATCGACCCACATCTCTGTCCTCCTCGGGGTTGATGAGGAAGAGGCCACCCGCTCACGGCGCCTTTGACTTGTTCCTCCACATCAAGTGACAGAGTTGGAAAGTATTGAGAACAATCTTAATATAGCGGGGGGGTAGAGGACGCCTAGGAGCAAGGACGCTACTAGGGGCTCCTGGCCGTACTACTAGGAGCAAGGACGCTACTAGGGGCTCCTGGCCTTACTACTAGTAACAAGAAGCTATTAGAAACAAGAACACTAGTGACAGGCAGGCCCCGCGGCCCCACCATCCAAACACAATATAGGCGTATAGGTCTTTCATCCAACACACCTCTCAGGAAACCCAAATCCCGTGAGAGAAACGTATATTGCAGGCACCTCAAAATGCCGCACATGAATCGGAGACATCGCCCACATCTTGCTATCCCATTCCCTCATGGCGGATTTACGACACAGCGCCAGTTGCGAACCGTTACATGACGGTTGCAGTACATACAACTTGTCTCAGGTGTACACGGCTCCACCCTCACGCAACTCTACACAAAAACCTGAAAGAGAACGGCTGCAAGACCGATCTGTGTTGTGAAAAACCCTTGTCCTTCTTCTGCATTCTTTGGGCGAGGACGCCTCCAGAATCAGGATATGGGAAGCTGATAGTTCTCTCTTTAGATCCCTTCTAGGCAAATGGCCTCAGTAACCTAATTGATTAAACCTCATCTGTAAGTAACCGTCTTCACACTCAGAAAAGATCAAAATGTCTGACATGGCACGGTGATCGGCTGTCACTGCGATCTCGTCGTTCATTCGATCTTGCTTTGGCCCTTGCTTTTGGCCGCGTCCTCGGTGTACCATCTTGGCAAATGCAAGAATCTTGTCATGCTCTTGACGGCTTGCCATCGTGCATCTTCCTACTTTGCACCTTTCTTTTTTGCTTGGTTCCTTCTTTCTTTGGACATGTATGTTAAGTCTATTGGTTCTTTTTGGACATTTCTTTCTTTTTTTGTTTTCCTTCCAGAAGTTGTTGTAACTCAGTTGGATTTGCATTCTCCCCTCCATGCCGACGAGCATCCCTTGTCTCACCCTTTCTCGAGGCGTCCGTGATCGAGATCGTCCTTGGAATCAATCCAGTCTGATGACAATTTGTACTCGTTAAATCTGAGATGTAGCGTCCTTGCTCCTAGTAGTAAGGCCAGGAGCCCCTAGTCCAGACCCAATCTAGTGACGTACTAACCTAGCAAGCAGTATTGGTTCTTGAGGCCCCTGTTTCTGCTATATCAGGGCATTGAAACTTTAAATCATGATACTCAAAAATGTCATCAATTGCTCCAGCTTGGGGTTCCAGCTAGAAGCCGCCGAAGCCCGAACATCTCGGATATCAGGGATCTTTCGAAAGTCGCGGAGGCGCCTTCAAAGATGGCTGAGAATACAGGGGGGTTGGCAAGTGAGATGTTCTTTCAAATGGAAAGGGGTTCAACGTTCTTGTTCGGCTTCTTTCGATTGGTTTCTGTCAAGAAACCGTCGCAATCTTCAAGAAGCCCCGACGTCCGCCTTTGTACGTCTGCCTGGCTGACCGTTCTCGTCGACCCGCTCTTACGTGGAAGACTGCAAGAAGCATGCCTTTCTCGTCGACCTGAAGTAGTTCGGGCATTGGATGGAATTTAGTTCCAATTCCAAAGGCAATGTGTTTCCAAAGCTACTCAATACTCAAAGGACTGCCTTAGGGGCTTAAAGCAAATCGATGCATTTTTGCTCCAGGTATCAGACCTTCTCTCCTCCTGCGAAAAAGGCATTCACTCACCGCACCTCTCCCTTGTGCACCTCCATCTAGCTTGTGCAAAAAGCACTACATCCTTGTGCGCAAGCCTTTCCTCCCGACATCACCCTTGAGAGGAATATGACCAAGCCCTCAGTCCTTGCAAGAGACCGCGACCGACTGCGGCAACCTCAGCTGAAGCGAGATTAGTTGGGCGTTGGAGGCCATCAGGAAGAAAAGCAGGTAGGGGTTCCTATCTCCTCCGGGTACCAGTCTACCTGGTTGTCTCCACCGACAAAGGGAAAGCTTGAGGGAAGCTTGTTTGCTTCGGCCACAACTAACAAAGCTTGCTGTTCAACGATGACTGAGTCTCGAGCTGCCTCGATCTCGCTCTTGTAAGTACCCTCTCCTAGGCTTTGAGCATGGCTCAAAGACGCTCACTACAGTAAACAAAAGAATTCAACTCCAGTCCTGCCAAATTGACTGGATTGTTGGCGTGCTGCATTCCCTGCAGAATGAAAGTCTAAGCAAGGCAACTGCGTGGTTTGGCCAGAAGTACCTTCTTTTGCACGATTGGAGTCATCTTCTTTGTCCTGTCAGGTCAAAAAATCTAGAGCCTCTTTCTCAGAGAACCCCAAATTGGTGGGATTCGTTGTTTCTTCATCTTGCATCAAGCTTGGCATTCCAAAAATGGCTTGACAGACTGGCGCGTTCAGCCTGCTCCAACCTCTCTCGAGCTAAGCTGCAGAATTTCTTTGCTATGTCCGGATCCTCACATGATTAAAATTCTTAGCACGGACAGCAAAGTACTAAACCAGTTGACTGAGATAGTGTCGTTCCTGTCAATCCAGTTCAAGCAAGGTCCTTCTGCACACCCTGGCCCGAGGTGTAAGCAGTGGCCAGTGCAACATAAGCTCGTGCGGGTACCTCCGAAGGCCTCACAGACCAGAATTGTTCTCAAAGAGGCCTTAAGAGGCCTAACATCTTTGTTCATATTTCTTACATCGCTAGTAGGTTGGAGGCCTTAAGAGGCCTTAAGAGAAGCTACGTTCACCCTTTGTTCCATATGTTTCTACATCACCTTAGCTTGACGAGCTCCGCTTCGTCCGAGGAGCTGTTTCGATTTGACGAGCTCCAAGAGCAACTTCACTGACCGAGACTAGGCGAAAACAAGAAATCGCAGGCCGCTCAAAGAGATACAGTAACAGGTGCCACGTTAACAAGTGCCTTACTAGTAGTAACAAGAAGCTATTAATTTAGTTTAATTCTAATAGCTTTTTGTTACTACTAGTAAGGCACTTGTTACTAGTAGTAACAAAAAGCTACTAGTACTAGTAGTCTCATAGGCCCGTGCATGTCTGTGATTTCTTCGGGGTAGGCCGCTCAAAGAGGTAGCTAGTAGCTTATTAAGTAGAACGCTACTAGCTAGGACCCAGGATACTATTCATTTGGTTTCTAGATTCTTAGGAAAACTTAAGCATGCAGCATGCGACGGCATGTGTGTGTGTGTACGCAGCCTATCTGAAACTGGAAATCATGCATTTCTCCAAGCAGCAGGTTGGCCACGTATTGAGGCAATGCCTGATTCCTCAGCTACACATTTTGTAAATGAAGGCCCTAGGCCTGGAACGCAACTTGCACATAGATAACATGTCCTTGAAGATCTAAAAAGGGTTTTGCTATTTAGCTCCTGGATATTCAACACATTTGTAAATAAACAAGCCGCTCGAAGCTCCAATTCTGTGCTTGAGGCCCGACCTGGAAGCTTTGGGATCTCCAAAGATTGACTCGAAACATACGGAGCCCACAAGTTCCCTTTTTGGGAGCCCCTAGTAGCGTCCTTGCTCCTAGTAGCATGGCCAGGAGCCCCTAGTAGCGTCCTTGGCTCCCCGTAGGAAAGTGACAAATTGTGGAAACTATCTTGTTTCTAGTAGCTTCTTGTTACTACTAGTAAGGCACTTGTTACTACAAGCGATGCACTTGTTCCTAGTAGCTTAATTTCCTAGCAAGGCCTTTGATCTGGGATTGGTCTGCTGACACCCCTGCAACCCGCCATGGGCTAATCCTTGCAAGACTTAGAATGTTACGCCTGTGCAAACAGAACACTCAGCAATGCCGGCATCAAGCTCTCAGCACCCGGCGACAGCCACAGGGGTTGTCATCACCGAGGAAATGGTGCATCTCCTTATTATTACTAGGTAGGAGGCCATCGCTCTTAGGTTGGAGGCCCTCGCCATTCGGTTCCTTTTGCTATCAGGTTCAGATTTGAAATTGGATCTACAAGGTCGATCAGGTCTAATGGACTGCTCATCGGGGATTCTGCCTCTTCGCTGGTCAAAGGTGATCAAAATTTGAGCTTAGGCAGCTTAGGGTTTGAGCATTGCGCTGCCAATCGTTAAACCGCATCCCTTTGAGGCGAGCGACTTCAGCACAAGTCTTGTGGCAAACGTGCTTGCATGGGAGATAGTGCTCATCTCCGCCTCAGCATGGAGCAATAAAGGCTAGAACTCGACTTAATCACACCTTCTCAGACAATCTGAAGTAACACGGACTTGAAAAGGCACTAACTCTCTACGAGCAGAATCCTATTCACCCAGCGCGCTAGCGACTCGAACGCCCACCTTGAAATGGAGCCCCGCACAGTTCACACCGATTGCTGGACATTGGGCGTAACCATGACGTAAGAAAGCACGTGTGTGGACAGCGTGGAACTGCTTCAGTGTGTGCTGCATTTGGTCCGTGGTCTTCTTCAATATTTTGTCATGGCTTGAAGGAATATGCGGTTTTGAGTTGCTGGTTCCAGAAAGCATTGAGAAGTGCCGGCTTCGCTCACATCCATGATGAGTCTTACATGGTCTGTATTCAGCCAAAAAACAGGCTTCAAGAACACAAACATCACTTTCGTATTCCCTTGTTTCAACTAGTTTCAAATAACGATTAAAGGAAGAGCGTTGCAGAATGCAAAGAACAAAGTGGCCATGAGAGTCAGGTCACAGCTGCACCTGCTGCCAAGGCCATCTGCACTTTGCCAATGACCTCGTGAGGCACTTTGCCAGCCTGACCAACGATACCAACGGCCCAAGACTGCTCTCCAGGCAGCTCGGTGCCATGTCGAACTAAATCAAGATCGAACTGCATCGATGGCCAGTTGGGGCAAACAATTCTCCAAAATTGCGCAATCTGAGGAAGTGTGGTGTTGGTGTTGGTGATGTCTTGCGTGGTGATGACCTGCAGGGTGCGTTGTGATGCTGTGAAGTGCAAGAGGTGACAGGTGATGTTGCAAATGTTGAGACCAGCGGGGGTAAACGGAAGCTTGCCCGTAACTGCCAGCTTACCGTTTAACATACCCTTCCTCGATGCCCTACTCACGAAGGTGACTTGTCACCGCTACCTTTCGTGAGGTCAGGTGAAGTCCGCCAGTCCGCCATCTGAAAGTGCAATGTGGTAACCTGCGCGCATCCTTGCTCCTAGTAGCGATGCCAGGAGCCCCTAGTAGCGTCCTTGCTCTGAAAGTGCAATGTGGTAACCTGTAGTGTGAAGATCTGTGAAGTGTCAGTGGTGAAGTGTGAGGCTGTGAAGCGCCTTGGTACGCTGAGTGATGTGGTGATGGGTGACGCCGTGAAGTGCAATCAGCCTACATGGGCCTTCACCGCTGATCTGTTGGAGGCCATCGCTAGTAGGTTCGAGGCCATCGATACTTAGGAGGGAGGCCATTGCTTTGGGTTCGAGGCCTTTCACATGACGGACTGGCCAAGGTTCAATGACCTTTGGTGCCATATCATTTATCTGCACAAGTTTGCTGTCGTCGGGCCCAGGAGCTTTCCAGCTTGCTTTACCGCCAACCCCTTCGCAAATCGGGGCCTTCGCGGGAATCTATGAGGAAAACTAACTCCTTTGGCAATATCTACTTGTCCCGTTTTTCTGCCAGAAGCCACATGAAGCCACTACATTCGATACGTTTCCCGACAAATCTAGACGAATCGGGATGTTTCTGTGCTGTACTTCTTTCTAGAGTCTCGAAGCCTGTTCTTTGCATTTCTCTGCACGCATCTCTACTTTCGCCCGAATTTTTTCCTAGGTCTCGCATCTCTGCTATTGCGATCTTCCCTCTAGAAATCTCTGCTCCAACAACATATGTCTTGAAATCTACACGTTTGGATACTTGTTCCTGGAAACCGCTACTTCTTCGATAAGAAATCTACTCTTAATACTTGTCTCGTCTAGATATGTCTAGGTCATGTGTCTCTAAAGCTATTTCAACATGCGTCTTTCAATTCTCGACTTTAATGTTAAAATGCAAAAAGGAAAGCTCTACTTGTCTGTCGTGCTCTCTACAAACATCCTTACTTTTCTTTAAGCTTCTCTCGAAATCTCTGCTGTCTAGATCGTTTCCTGTACTTTCTAAACATCTGTTCATAGTGCATAACGTTACTCGCTGTTCGACATCTTCACTTGCAGTTTCCCAATGCTTCCCATGTGGACAGCATCAAGAAATGCAGCGCCAGCCCTCACACGTTCTAAAGCATTTTCCTCGAGACAACGCGTTTCAAAGTACTGCAAAGGTCCAAAACTGCAACACAGCGAGGTTCATCAGAACTGGACACGCCGTTTTTAGACCTAGTTCTTTGGACCTTTGAACCGGATGGTTTATGACTTTGTTCTGACATGGCGCTTCTTGCTCCGTTTGTATTCTTAACATGACACCATACGCAACATTGTGGATCCCTCAGCACAGACGCACGCAAAGAGGAACCCCAACTAACTCGCCATGGCAGGAAGGTGCGCAACACAAACCAACTCGCCAAGACGTCTCTCCTGAACACCATCCCGTTCCCTTCATCACCCGTCGCACACGCACATGCGCAAACACTCTCTGCAGAAACTGTTCATTGAGCCGGAACCTCCAGATTAGCACTTTTTTTGATAAATTGACGCGATGTCAACAACAAGGTTGTAATGTTACCTTGCTTAGAAAAGGTGCGCCAACAAGCTCGTCAGTTCAGAAGAACAAATGCACTTGCATTCTTGACCAAAGCAACGACAAAAAGGTCTTGTTTAATGAATACTAAACCTGTGCCTTGGGAGAGCCATGTGCTGATTTCAGCTTGGCCTTGAAAACAAAAAGTGGGACTCAATCAACCTCGATACCTGTTTAGAAAACTGCCTTTCAAAACTGGCTTTCAGCTTTCTCTATGCACCTCCAATTCATTCTTCTCGGATTCCAATTTCTTGTATGCCTCAGGACACAGTCACAGGATCCTTCCCACCCCCCAACCGACCTGTACTACAGTGTCAGCATCACCGAAGACCACAGAAAAAGTATTTGTAGACAATGTGTGTAGCTCATAACCCAATGGAACACAGTCTCATGTGGATTCACTCGATTTTCCTGCGCTTCTGTGGTCGTGCCCATCGCGCCCGAAGCAGCGCAAAGCCTGTGGCAGCTCTTAGGGTTGACAAGCCAGTACCTTTGTTAACTTCTGCATTTTGTACTCCGTATTCGTCCTTGATCACGTCGAAGCTTCTTTGGCAGGAACTCAGCTACGCCAAGGTTCTGCTGCAACGCTGCGAGCCAGAACTTTCCTTGCATAGTGTGTGTGTGTGTGCAGATTGGAGATGCACCGATTCCTAGTGCTTCAGAACTCACAATCCAAGCAACGCTTTTTCTTGAGTTCCTGAGATGTGCAATGAAGAGCAATATTCAGCTGGAGAATCAGCAGAAGCAGACCCTGTTTTCGAGAATCCCACCAAGCGATGCCAAGAGCTAGTAGTAGCTTCTTGTTCCTAGTAGCGATGGCCTCTGCGTGCGATGGCCTCCACCAAATAGCGTCCTTGCTACTAATAGCGTCCTTGGAACAAACCCTATTGCGTCCATTCTGAGTTCGATACATCTGAGACAAACCTCGGAGTGGCGGTTCGACGAAGTGGGATCTATCTCTTGCGGATCGGCAAACATGTTCTGCACGAGCTGACAAAGAGCTTACTGCTTCAAAAAAGGCATCGTAGAACAAGACAGCAAAAATACAGAATTGCTATATGTAATGGCTCAAGTAGCTAGGAGCTTACTCCCTTACTTAATTATGTGGGCACCTACTTAATTAACTAACGAGGCAGGGCCACGGGCTTTAATCAAGAAACGCTTTGAAAAGGCCTTAGGTCTTGGACAAGAACACTCAGAATATATCCTTGCATTCTTGTATTCCTTGTCGGCCTGAAGAGAACTGTTGGTGGGGAAGCCACGGCGCCCGCCTGCGCCTGACCAAAAGGGGCCTATCTTCCTTTGGGGCGAGAACTTTTGGCCTTTGGACATTCAGACTATTCAGACCTTTAAATTAGGCTACTGAGAACAAGAACGCTACTAGGGGCTCCTGGCATCGCTACTAGGAGCAAGGACGCTACTAGGGGCTCCTGGCCTTGCTACTAGGAGCAAGAAGCTACTAGTTGGATTAGGTTGGAGGCCATCACTACTAGTAACAAGAAGCTACTAGGTTGGAGGCCATCACAATTAGGTTGGAGGTCATCGCAATTAGGTCGGAGGCCATCGACCTTTAAATCAAGGATGCTCAAGGATTCCCATGCCGTGTAAGCAAGAAGCTTTGTGGCCGCTGGATTGCTAGCCACTGCTGCCAATGCCACCTGTAGATCTTCCTTTAATTGTGGCGGTGCCCACCTGAGACATAAGCAAGTTTGTTGAAAGTGTTTTTGTGTGTGTGTGTTGCTTTCAATTGCTTTAAAGAGGACATTGACATGCCAAGGGCATGCAAGGTGGACTGCAAACCACTGGTTGGACATGCCAGGCGACTGCAATACAGATCCGCTATTGCGGACAGCTTCCAGCATCACCTACAAACCCAGCATGGAGGATTCGTTAAATGATGTTAAATGCCATTCCGACTCGTGACAATCTGCCATCTATGCCTCTCGGCAGGATCGAAGCTTGCCATCTGCATAAATGATTGCAAAGCCTCGGCTTCACAAATTGGAAAAAATGCGCCTTCATTCCCAAGATGCCCAGGCACTGCTGGATGATCTGATCTCAAAACACTTTTGGATCACCAAGAGGCCATTGTTGTTGACAGCAGTCAGAACAACCTCTGAGTCTGACTTCAAGTGACCTGCTGGCAAAGCTCACTGCAGCCATTCGTCACATCCCTCCACCGCTCTTCCAGCCTGAGCTGTACTGCAACATGGTGCCTTCATGGCGGACGGCCGCCAAAACGACGTCTTTGTCTTTCTGCATCTCTTCTGATGTGTAGGCCAACCTCGCAGTGAAAAAGCTTGAGAACGTGGGCCTATCATGGTTGGATATGGTTGGCTACATGTGTCAAGTCTTGCGGCCAAGGTACACTGCACTGTTGCTCACTGCAGCCAATACAATTTCACCTTACTAACAGCTGCCGAGGACTTGTGACCCCGGTGCTCCACAAAACTGCTCTGTGACTCTTGCATGCGCTCACGTGCACTGAACTCACGTGCACTTTCACACACACAACTCTTGAATAGGCAAGTCTTACCACAGCACTGATGTGGAAAGTGCCAACTCCTGCAATTTCTTCAGAACTGAGACCCAGACGATCATGCTGCAATTCCTGGGTGATCAGTGTAAACAAGAAGCCGTCGTTGCTGACAGCTGCCAAAGCGACCTGTCGTTCTGCAAACTAGTAGCTTCTTGTTACTAGTAGTAAGGCCAGGAGCTACTAGTAGCTTCTTGCTCCTAGTAGCGATGCCCTTTGCTCCTAGTAGCGTCCTTGTTACTAGTAGAAAATGAAAAGAAATGAAAGGCGCTGTATGGCGCCTCTCTGTCAGCCTTGACTTCTTCCGGCAGGCTCTTGAAAATGCCGGGGCTCTGCTTTACAGCAGCCAAAGCAACGACCCGATTCTTCTTGAGTACAGGAGGTAAATGTTGAAAAGCGGTAAAGTCAGAAGCAACAGCCGCCAAGGCCACTTCTAGGTCACACTTCCTTGGTTGAAGAACAGCAATAGAATTTTGCAAGCAGGGAGGCCATTGCTCTTGGGGTGGAGGCCATCGCTACTAGGTTTGCCAATTAGCAACGGTATGTGCAGGACAGCGTCAAAACCTGGAGTAGCGTCTAAGGGATCTGCGTCGAAGCTCAGATCAGCTTCTTGTTACTACTAGTAAGGCACCTGTTACTAGAAGCGATGCACTTGTTACTACTAGTAAGGCACGTGTACTAATAAGTCTCATGGATCTCCCTGTTTTTTCCGGTGATTAAGTTCTTAGGGCCGGAACTACAAGCCTTAACAAAGTGTCTGTGGCTCTGGAATTGCCTCTGGTGTGCCTACCCGGCTTTCTGCCCTTCTCTTGAGCTAAGTTCCTTTTGTGTTCTAATTGTCACCTTCACATGAAAGAAAGCCCATTGAAGGGTTAAGTTCTCACTATTTCACTAGTCTCTCGTGTTTACTGCTTGGCGAGGCACAATCTTTCGTCTTGGACGAACTTCAAAGCCTAGCCAGATCAGCGTGGATAACACCAATGAAGCAGTAGCAAGAAGTTTCGAAAGCGCTTTGGCAAACTTGGAAGTCAAATCCAAGACTTCAGGCGAGCCTAGTCATCCTAGTCCTAAGCATGCCGGCTCAAAACTCTCCGTCCAACGACCAGTGATGCTGAGGGACCTTCTTGGTTTGTTTGCAACAGGATACACCTTTAGTGGTTAGCGGTGGCCTAACAGTGCATTCTCCTGTGCTGTCCATAGTTTGTACTTGTTAGCCTGGCACTTGAGCATGTTTCCCTTGAGTTCTTTTTCCCAGCCATGCCCATCGGCAGTTGATTGCTTTGGCCCTCGAATGCCTTTTCAATGCTTTGCCAGTCAGCAAGTTGCATACGAGTGCTTCTTCAAGCTTGGTACTGGACCAGCTTTTTGCAGTACTTATTATGTTTGCTTGGGGTCGCTGACTTGTGAGCTTCACCTAACATAATGGGATCTGTGTTGTTGAGCATGGGCCCTAAGTGTCAATTCGTTCATTTGACGTTTTCTGCTGGGACTAATGTGCAAACGGCAGAGGAGCTTGACGCACCCATGTCCTGTTCTGAATCATTAAAGTTCGCCTGTGGAATGCGGGTCTGCTCGTTCCAAGATGTTCACAGCCAAGTATTGAGTCCTGCCTTCGGTCAATGCGGCTTGGTGCCCATTGTAATTCTCGGGTCTAGTAAGGCCAGGAGCTACTAGTAGCGTTCTTGTTCCTAGTAGCGATGCCCTTTGCTCCTAGTAGCATCCTTGCTGCATGGCCTAGTATGTAGTATGGCCTAGTGGATTCGGTGTCGTCCCAGGTTGAAGCCTTTGGGCGCACCACTAGGCGGACAGGTGGGCACGACTCCAACACTGCACCGGTCAGGCTCCGAGGTGAGCTACGGTGTGGTAGCCCCTTTCCCGCCACCTGTCCTAGGGGGTCTCTTCTGCACCGAAAGCGGGGAGCCTGGTACTAGGGGGTAGCAGTTAGAAGAGAATTGTTTTCTTTTGGTATTTCTTTTTACACATGCTGACCATTCCTTTCTTTATTTCTTAGTGACCGGCTAAGACCGAATCGACCTTTTGGATCTTTTTGGTAGCAAGGATTCGCAAGCTACTAGTATTGCTACTAGTAGCTAGAGGCTATTAGTAACACTAGTATTCAGACTCTGCTTCTCTTCTTTTTGAGGACTCAATCGACTTCGTGTCAAAGAAAACTTGCCGAAGCCTGACCACAGCTGCGGACAGCTGCCAGAACGACTTCACGATCTTTCCGGAACGTAGGCAAGACATACCTGGAAAAGGCACAAACGAAAACTACATCGAACTAGTTGAATCTCTGTGCAATTCAAAGTAATGAGAGATGCAGAATGGCTTCCGACAAATCAGTCTTCGATGTGGATACAGTATACGTATTGACATTGACCTATGTTTCGATGTTTCCGCCCTAGCTGCAAAAAGCGTGAGAAAGCTACTGCCTTTTGCAGTTCTAACCTTTATCCTTATCTTTGACCTTTCTTGAACCATCGGGTTCTTTGCTTTTCTTGTCTGATCTGATTCTCCTGGGTCTTACTTAGGGAACGGATTGCGAAGCTCGACGTGCCACTTCAACATGTTTGCGCCAGGAAGTCGGCCTCAAAGCTGCACCACTGCTGTGCACAGCAGCCAAAGCAATTTCACGGTCCTGAAAGGTTCCAAGCCGAAGCCCTAAACCAAAGCAATCGAAGTAAATACAAATAGGAAAGGATTTAATAGCAATGGCCTCCAACCTACAAGCGATGGCCTCCAGGAAGTTTTCTGGATGTCTAGTCATTTTCACGGTCGTGAATACAACTAGGCACAGAGACTGGACATGAGTGAGTACCCGCTTCAGCCCGCTTCTAACAAGAATGCTCGATGTCTTTCAAGGCGTTCTTTACATGGAATCATCGCTACGAGATTTTTGGCCATCGCCAGTAGGTTGGAGGCCATCGCTCTTAGGTTGGAGGCCATTCCTAGTAGGTTCCCTTTGAATCTTGAACTTCGTGTCGCTTCATGTCCTCTGCTAGGCAGCTTCCAACATATTGCACAGCCGAGCCATTGGTTTTCACGGCACACAGGGCCACCTGTCCGACGGAAGGAAGACGGAAAGCATATGAAAGCATCAGTGAAATCAAGCCACCAACCCAGAAGCTACTAGGACCTACTAGGAACAATGTTCGCTACTAGGGGCTCCTGGCATCGCTACTAGGAGCAAGGACGCTACTAGGAGCGTTCTAACGATCAAGGGTGCTTTCTCAAAGGCTTCAGGACTTCACCCCTATTGGTGCCCCTTGGATTTGTCAAGGAAATCCTAGTAGCTTCTTGTTACTACTAGTAAGGCACTTGTTACTAGAAGCGATGCACTTGTTTCTAGTAGCTTCTTGCTGCTAGTTGTATCATTTGTTTCTCAGCAAATCATGTTCCTGCTCATACATGGCTTTTGGAAAGAACCTCTCGGTCTGCCCGCAGGGAATCACAAGCATTTCGCAAGGCAAAGCCATCATTGCTGACAGCTGCCAACACCTCATGTTGTTGAAAAATTGTGTTCATCCTTGTGAGTTTGACTGCTCATACTGATAGTATCATACAATATGTCCATTGAGCTTTGAGCAAGCTCTTGAATGCGAGACATGGTTTGAATCATGTGCCAAGAGACTATGTCACGATCCGCCTGCCACTGGCGAAGGACCAAATCCAAGACTTATATACACTTTGCAAGATCTTTATCTTGCAATCACTAGACCTAACTTCTTGGAGCACTGAATAGAACTTTCACCCTATGACTCTATTAAGTCTCTCTATAATTCTGTTTTACTCTTCTGTTTTTTTGTGCTTAGTTACCTTGTCTCCGGGCCTTGAAGGAAGGTTCCAAGTACCGCAGCACGAAGCCGCGGTCACTGACTGACGCAAGGGCAATCTCCCGATCTTTGCGCAAATCTGGATGGGCATGGACCAGTGCAAAGCCATTGTGTTTCACCTTGAGTTTCAAAGGCATCCCGCTACCCTGTCCCAAGTTTGCGCCCAGAATTTGAACCCATACGACTTGCACACACAGGTATAGACCCCAGATAGCAACTAACTCTAAAAACAGAAGCACCTGAGAAAAAGGAATCACGTACTTGATTAAGTCACACCAAAAAAAAAAAGAGCTTCCCATGACTGCGAGTGTGCCCAACAAAACGCGGGGAGACTCACGTATCGAAACGCGCTGAATAAAAAATGTTGTTCCAACATATGTGTTGCCCCGATGAAAATATGATGTTGCATCAAACCGATTGCAAAGGTATACGAGTACAAAGAGTATACGCGCAAACAGTACAACAGGATGTTGCGCGTACACATCATATATATGCACACAAATATGTGCTCACACACTACGGTTTCTGGGTTTCGCAAGCATCACGCGCAAGCGTTCAAACATAGCAAAAGCGACGCAAAGCCCCAGACTCTCCGAAACACAACACGGTACCACTTTGGAGGTTCCCACGTTCTCAAGCAGCCTGTTCCTGAGACTCACCTTTCAAAATAAAGCTGCTGCTCCAGCATATGCAGTCCCGGATCAAAACAATATGTTGTTGCGCGCGCACAAAAAACAGTAGAACATGATGTTGCGTTTATACATTATACGAGTACAAAAATATAAGCTTGAACACAAACCATTCAAGCCAGACTATTGGAAAGACAACGGCGCCCACCACCAGCGGCCTCACCAGCACCGTGTCTCCACAACGTGCACAGCCAGATCACAGCTCTAGACCTTTAGATGATCCTCTATACCTCTGAATCTCTAGACCTCTAGAACTCTTGATCTGTCTGGACCTCCAGAGCTCATCAGAGCTCTAGATCTCCTAGACCTCAACCTCTACATCTCTAGAGACTTAGAGGCGTCATATCTCTGGATCTCAAGACCTCTGGACCTCTAGACACAGACACACTGTTTGGTGTCTCTTGCCGGGACAATGGTTGTGGGGTTTTGCCATGCTACTGCAGCCAGAACAATATCGCGATCTTTGCGGAGATCATCCGAGAGCATCTCCAGGCCTGCATCCGGAAATTGGCTGTTGCAAATAAACTAGATCTCGGGGCATCGAACAACCAATCTGTCATAAGGGTGGCACTCACAAGGAATCAATATACAATAAGGGATGCCGAGAGGCACAGTCCGTTGTTACGAACGTCATGCAAGGCTTGAGCACGTCTTGGATCCACACGAAAGAGTGAAAGCTCCAAGGAGTGAGGCGCAGCCCTCAGCTACGCTCTTTCACACTGCCTCCAAGCTCCTAGCGATGGTCTCCTTCAACGCTCTTTCACACTGATCTCAATTGATCTCAAAACTGTGTTGGTGCAAAAACTGCTAGAATCAGCGATTGGACTCGTCTTGAAGCTTAAAGACATATGTTCCATTTGGGGTCACAAGATGGTGCCAAGAGACCCATCGACATCCGCATCCAAACTACCTAGCTCCACCGTATCTTCTACTTCTTCACCACAATGCACCAACTTCTGTTCGATGCATGAGATGCCCAACAGGGACCAAATCTCCGCTTTCACATCCTAGGCAAGGACGCTACTAGGGGCTCCTGGCCTTACTACTAGGAGCAAGAACGCTACTGCCTAGGTTCCAGATTGTCTCGAGGAAACTTGAATTCTTTTCTGTGCCGAGAATCCCCAACACTGCATGTCTTGGAACAGCTCAAAGCGCAAACGAAGCCAGAAAGACCATTAATGATGAGCTCCATTCAGTACCTTTTCCTTCTGAAAATATCGTCACTTTCAGCACCTCATCCTGCAGCAGTCACTTGAACAGTGCCCTGTCCGCCAGGTCTTTTGAAGCCGACAAATCTCACCATGTTGCGCGAAGCTTGGCGGGGTTGTTCTGAAGGTCACGCATTGAATTGGTGGATACTGACAAACCTGCAAGAGGCCCTCAGGCTTTATTGCTAATATGATCCCACGTCTGGAGCCATTGCTGCAATTCTGGTTTCCGCTGTGGCTTCAGATTCATCATGTCTTTCTTTTAGTGAAAGGCCTCCAATATGTGACGAGCTTTGCTGAAGCTTTGCTGAGCTCAAAGCAGTGGCAAGTTGTTTTAGTTTCTTCACCTGTTCCTGAGTAGAACGGGGATTCAGTCTCAACTGAAACATAATCAAACGATATTTGCTACTACGTTCTTTAGACCTCTGTACCTTTCTGTTTGCCCTTCTTCTTGTCTTACTCAAGGATCCGATCGCCTTACTTAAGCCATCTTGTGCCTCACACACCTCACTAAATGACTGGTGTCCTTGGTCTTCTCCTCGGCCGCCTCAAGCTCCTTGCACCAGAAGCCGACTCTTGCTCAGAACTGCTCTGTAACCCCTAAAGACCAGTCTTGAAATGGCAAGGAAAAGCATTCTGCTTGACATTGCACATCTAAGTGAAAGAAAATGTTTTTGGAAGTGCAGTGCGGGGTTCAGTAGAGAGGGCAACCCACAACCATTAGAAGGCTCTGTTTGATTCTAACCTATCGATGATGACACTGGCACCGTGTTGGTACCAGCTCCTAGAATGTAATCTATCTTTGTACAACTCTCCCCAACTTTGGGGAAGCAGCTTCCAGCTCCAGAAATCAAGCCCTAGAAATCAGGGGCTGAGTCAGGGTCATCTTCGTCCTCCAAAGCAAGGACAAGGTGTATATATACTCATCTGTACTCAAAAACATCTTTGTTTCTAATAGTGAAGGCCTCCAACCTAAGAGCGATGGCCTCCAACCTACTAGCGAGGGTCACACCTTCAGAAAGTATCTCAAAGTATGGCCTGACCATAAAGCCACATTCAATGCCCCCTCGAGTCCTGGGCCGGACCATCGATGAGTTCGTTCACGATCAGCGCCACAAAGTTGCGTAAGGGCAAAGTCACTTCATCTGCGTGCCTTGGGACCAGAATCACCACAGAACTCTACAAGAACAAAAACAAAGTAACATGTTTCAGTCAGCATAAAAGCAGAGCTATAAAAAGAAGACCTCTAATATCACGCACAAATGCCACTGAGTATGTACATCCTCTGGCAGCCAATGCTCCCTGGCAGGCTTGGAAGCCTTGGCTGTCTTTGCATACCAAACCAACATCTGACCAAGGCAGGCTTTTGAAGCTAGGACCGCTAGGAATAGAAAAGAAAAGCGAGCTGAGGAAGTGCCGCCAAGCGTCATTGGCCGGAAAATATGCAATATAGGGATGCAAAAAGTTTGATTTGTGCGCCCGATGTGCTTCCACAGCCCCAACGCGAGCACTTGACAGCACGACTGGACCATGAAAGTGCTCGTTGTATCCTGGGCACGGGACCCAATTGCACGACAGTAGGCAATCACAGTGCCCGGATCGCAAACGCTCCATTTGCTCTCAACTGTCATGTCAGTTTGTCTTCATTTGTCAAGCCAATGAGGCAAAGACGGAAGACCCAAGTGAGTCTGGCCGTGGCAGCATAGCGATGGTGGAAATCTTCAAGCGGAACCTACAACTTGCTTCTTAACTTGAAGACAGGAAAGGAAACCATTCTCAAAAAAAGATAGCAAGGAAAGGAAAAGAGAAGACAGATGTTATTGTTGCAAAAACGAAATGTGTGTAAAAGCGCAGATCAGCACCTCCAGAAGGTAGCGAGCGTTCCAGGCCTCAGAGCCAGCCACTTGCCTTTTATGTTTTGATCTCGTAAGTTATTAAGACCTACCTGCTTTCCTTTGTACTATCTAAAAAGCGATGGCCTCCACCTGAAGACGTGAACAACGCATTCAATCCGTTCAAAGATATATACTAAAGTGTGTCAAGCATGTGTGTTGAAATGTGTTGAACATCTCTGTCAAACCTTGAGATTAGTTGAAAGCTGGTGGGAGTTGCTTTTCGGAGCACTTTACTCACACAGAGCTCAGCCTTCCTGCCTCAGTAGAGCTATTCTTCTCGAAGAGGACCATGTCGCCCAGGAACTCAAACATTTGGTAAGGCCCAGAAGCCTGGTGTCAGATGAACCCGACACTGGTGTGACCCTGTTTTTTCAAGCAGCCGCTCGCCGAATCGCACCCTCTCTCCAAGTCTCTCCCACCTCATTAATCCGGTCCAAAAGTTCTTGTGCCAGGTGTGCCACTCCCGAGCCAGGCTCGGACGGAGTCTTCTCGCAAAGCCAAGGCACCGACTCATGGACCTGAGCAAGTCGAAGCGGGCTGGTGTGGCACAGCAGGCTGCACGGCAGGCGTCAGCTCGGCTGAGGTGTGTGGGACTAAGGGACACACCGGTGAGGTCAACTCTTCAACTCGATCCAGCACGAAAGAGATCTGTGGCCATGCGGCACCAAAGTTTTTCTCTTCCAGCAAATGAAAAAGAGTCCGAGTGGTGTATCCTCAGTTGGAGTTTCCGGCAGAATGCCTTGATTGTTCTAAGTAAGGAAAGAAGATCAATTTCAAGTCTGCAAATTCCCAGTGATTTGGAAACTAGTAGGTTGGAGGCCATTTGCTATTAGGTTGGAGGCAATTCCTATTAAGTTCTTTCTTCAAAGTTATTGCAGTTTCAATGTGCACGCAAGATGCGGAAACCATGGATGAAGCCACCAGCGGACTTTCGAAAATCCAGGCTATGACTGATGGTTCCAGCTGCATAAAGTCCCGGAATTCCAGAGACTTGAAAGGTGGTGGAGATGTTCGGATATTTTCCATGTTCAAGCATCTCCTTGGAAATTCACAGAGCTACAGAGCTAATAGGTTGGAGGCCATCGCTATAGTTAAGTTTCCCAAAAGATCTAGGAACCAAATCATTAGTGCAAGCTCTTCTTCAAGGAAGCCCCCCCCGCCCTCAGGCGGGGGGAGCTTCCTTGAAGAAGCGTGAGCTATCCTGCGTCCATGCTAGTAGCGTACTAGTAAGGTACTAGCTACCTCTACCTTAATTAAGTAGGCGCCTGCTTAATTGCTAGTAGGTTGGAAAATTCACAGAGCTTGCCACTCTGTCGCTCAGCTTGTTGACTGCCGAGAAGCTGGCTTGGTGGAGAGGTCTAGGAAACTTGTATCCATCGTCCAGCCAAAGCAGCGGATGACGTGATCCACCGGAAAGCGGGTGTGTTTGGCAGCATACTTCATGCGGAAGTCTGCCATGGCATCCATCAGTTCAGGCTTTTCTCTCAGGAGTCTTGAATTGACCAGAACCCACGTGAAGGATCCTTCAAACACACTCGGATCGATCGTCTCCGGAACTGCAGATGTGGCAAAATAGCTTTCCACCTTTGGCTCAACATCCTCCGCAACGTCCAAGACCCTTAGCTGTTCCAACCCTGTATTCAGGCAAAATCAAGCAAGGCGACATGACACGAGGTGAAAGTATATAATAGAAAAACAAGTGAAGTGCGGCCGCAGCACCAACCATGGCCTTCCTCATCTGGAGCCAGGCGCTCCAAGGTTTCACGCACGCGTGGCTCGTGCTGAGATGCAATGCCTAGGGCATGGACCAACTCAAGATGCGTGGCATTGCAGGAGTGCATGCGAGATGCAAAGAGCATGCAAAGAGCCTGCGACATGCTTGCCCCTATTAAACTATTAATCATAATCAGTCTTGAGTCTTGAGGTCACAGAAGCCAATAAGAGTGTCCCATCCAAGCTACGTCCCATGTAGAGCATGAGACTCATGTTTTGTTCGTCCGAGTAAAAGTGCTTTCGACCTTGCAGCATGCGTAAATCTCTCTCTCTCTTTCTTTCTCTCAAGTCAGGCAGAAAAATTTGGTGACCCAAAAACACAACGATCACTACTATGCTTACAAGTTGTAAAATATGCTAAACGCCTTTGCATGTCAAACGAGTTCAAAAGCTGCTCTTGTCCCTCAGCTTGTGGCATCGTTCGTCGGCACACACATCGTCAGTCGCCACCCAAACGCATCTGCGGTTGCCCTTGCAAGGAAGGACAATCACTCTGTGGTCCTTGCAAAAGGCAACACGCTGCCTTTGACTTAATGTTCATGCGTGGTAAACGTCTAAATGTCTAAATGTCCTGAAGAGCATCAAAGTCAAAGACATCCAAGCTCTTCAATAAGTAGGTGTCGAGTATAGAAGTCCGACCAGCTCGAATGTCACCCACCTTGGTACAGCAAAGGCAAACGGACCGACTCCCGCAGAAATTCTCTTGAACCAAACAGGATAAAATGTGCATAAAATATGTTCCGATTTTTTCTTGGACTTACCAAGGCACATAGTGCGTCTGGTATGCAAAGCGTACCCCTTCACCACCTTCCGGCAAAGGCCGTGGACGTGCCAAGACATGCACCTGCACCACACGGATTCATACTAGTTACTACCTACTACCTACTATACCACCTCTGCCTTTCTACTACACTGGTACACTAGTCTAGTACACTAGCACTACTAATACTATTACTACTATTCTTTTCTACTACTACTACTACTACTACTACTACCACCTGTCACTACTACGCCTGTTGAATTCTATTACTACTACTCCTCCTGCCGCAGTTTTAGATTTGTCCCGTCTTTTGCCTTCCTTCCGTCTTTCTTGCTTTTCTGTTTCTTCAGACCTTTAAGACCTGTCTTTAGGAACAAGGACGCTACTAGGGGCTAGTAGAAACAATATTAACTATTTTAGAATTTAAATGGAATCAAATTAAAGTTAAGTGTAATTACTTCTAATAGCTTCTTGTTACTACTAGTAAGGCACTTGTTACTGGAAGCTTATTGTTACTAATTTTAATTTGATTCTAATTACACTTAATTCTACTAGTAACAAGTGCATCGCTTCGAGTAACAAGTGCCTTACTAGTAGTAACAAGAAGCTATTAGAATCAAATTAAGATTAGTAAAGAAGGTTTTCTTCAGACCTTTAAGACCTATCTTTCCTTTTTCCCTTTTCCTTCCTTCTTTTTTATGTTTGTCCCACAAGCCGGTCTGTGCACATGAATGGCACAGTCTTTGCCTCAGCGGTATACTTTTGGAGTTCCTGGGCCGCTTCCAAGGCCTTACATCTGAAAAAACTGCGCAGGTTCAAATTGAAATTACTAGCTTCTTGTCACTACTAGTAAGGCACTTGTTACTAGAAGCGATGCACTTGTTACTAGTAGCTTCCTGTTTCTAGTAGTAAGGCCAGGAGTCCCTAGTAGCTTCTTGTTACTACCAGTAAGGCCCTTGTTACTACTAGCGATGCACTTGTAATTACTAGCTTCTTCTCTTCCTCGTTTTCGGAAGAACATGTTGACACTATCTCAGCAAAGAGGCTGCATTCCCCATGCCCAGGATCATGACGGACTTCCCTTCAAATGATTCTCCAGTAGCCGGCATGTCCTCGTAGCCTCAACAAGGGACTTGAAAGCCTCTTGGCCCCAAGAAGTTGACCCAATCAACAAAACACCAAAGCACATGGGCATGAGTCCACTCCACGAGGGTTTTGTGAAGGTTTGCTGTCCACTCAAATATAGACATGGCACGGTCCACCAAATCGAGTCCATCCTTGAGAGCAAAGTCAAGTCATTGGGAAGTGGACCAAGTCCAAGAACCTACTAGCAGTGGCCTCCAACCTACTAAACTAGCGATGGCCTCCAACCTAATAGCAATCTCTCATGAGTTTAAAGGAAGCATCCAAAAAAGATGCACGTTTCTTGCTCGGCCGCTTGGCGAAGTGAAGACAAGAGTCAATCATCTGTTGGCCTTGCCTAGGCACAGTCAATCCGTGTGCCAAAATCACCTCACCGCACTGGGTCATGTCTCCACCCTCCAGCTTGATGGTGAACACCTCCCATGACATGACACCGAGAGAAAGAGCGAATGTCTAGAAAGTGGATCAGCAGATTGGAATCGAAGTACAGACAAAGGTAGAGCCTTCCATCTGTCGCATATACTATTTTCACCCTGGCCTGGCCAGGACTGAGTTCTTGACGGCTAACTTTGACCACCTGAAGATCCAAAAAATGCTCATTTACATTCATGGTTAGCACGCTCTCTCATAACTAAAAGCAGCAGGAGGACCTCCGAGTTGTAGCGGATGAAATCTCGCTGTTCTTCAGCAAACTCTCGCAAGTACCCCACAAGTACATCTGCATGTGGGAAGAGCTCTGAAGATCTCTGAGTCCTGAAGTGCTACCACGCTAGCACAATCTGGATAGAAAGAGCAAGACAAACCAAACAAACAGTGGGAATTTGAGCCTAAGAAGCGGAAAAAAGGTACCATTGATTCCACCACCCGTCAGCGGACCCCAAAACCTTCAGCCCTCAAGCTCACTTCCCAAATTCCCAGAGATCAGCCTGAAGCTTTCCTTTCGCCAGACTTCGAAGACAACATAGCGAACGTAAAAGGCAAACATTTTGCTCCTAACGCTACTACCTCTGCGAGTTTTAGAAAGTGTTCAGTCACCAGTAAAACCCTCTAGTGTTGACCCTTTTTGGGGAGTATTTAAGGGGTGTTGTGCCAATAAGCGTTTCATAGTCGAAGCGAACACTCGAATGACCTGATTGAGCAACATGTGTTTTTGCATTCACGTCATTGGCACAAATTCGCACAAATGCAGCTGATTGCCGGGCACAAGCCCTTGAGAACGTCGAATTTGCTGAGAACGTCGATGTTGTTAAGATTTTGTGACATATTCAATTCTTCCTGTGATTATATAAATTGAAGCGAGAATCACTGGCTGAGTACGATTCTCACGAAGATCAATCAAAGAGTTCCAATCATGACGGAAGGCAAAATCAGCAGCTCGCCCTTCTCTGACAAAGCGTTTGTTCAACGATATCAGCTTTCTGTGCCGCGGAAACTTCTCGAAGAAACTTCCCGCATTGCTGTTTCTCTCGAAGATTATGTAATCTCTGCCTGGAAGCAACACTGCCAGCACAAATGAAAACTGGTCTGCCTCAAGTCAAAATTCACCCAAAAAAAAAGCCTGCATGAAATAGGAAGTGCCCAAGCTGAATGCCAGCTGGGCCAGCACCAACGATGCAGTAGCCTCAGCATCACAAGCTCAGAAGCGCGAAGTGCGATGCTGTCGGGCATGAGGCTGCAAATCAACAAGGCTAGTTGAGCACAGAAAAGCGCTTGGGAAGGATTTGCAACTTCCAAAAACAGCGCTTCTCTGCAACAGGAGTCTTCAGGTGCTCACTATATGTCTTCTGTGGGTTTTTGCTCCCAGCACTCAACCATGTCAGCAGGAGCAAAAGCAAGGCTGCCATGGCAAAATTGAGCAGTCATCTGGCAATAGGAAAGTAGTGTTCATGAAAATGTGGCTGTCAACAATGTCTTGTGTTGATATGGACGCGTGCGCAATATCATGAGCAGTATCTAAGTGCTTGTCGGTGGTCACAGATTCCAACAGCATTTCTTGATGTGTACTCTGTGCACTCTTGAAACATGTCAAGTCTGTCAAGTGTTCTCTTGAAACATAAACAAATGAAGAAGAAGTAGAGAAGAAAGTTCCTGGTCCTAAGGAAAAGGAAGAAAACTTATATAATACTAAGAATCAACAAAGGTCAACGCGGCTTCAACGGGAGTCTCAACCAATGTTTTCTGTCCAATTCAGTCTTGGATGGCACCTTTGACATCCCTACACTACTCATTTCTCATGTCATTTCCCTCAACATTCAGGAAGCATGTCTTACACCGAAGATTCCATAGGCTTCCTGTATGTCTGTTGTCCTTTTGGAAGTGCACCTCTACCTGCAAAACAAAGAATCAGTGCTTGGCCCTTGCTTAGCCAGGCTGTTTGCACTGGCACCTCTTAGCCGTTCCCTCCCATCCCCAGACGTTCCGAACAAATCCCCCCACACTCCCCAGTCAAACCAAAAGGAAATCGAATCCATCATCCCCTGTCCTTCCGGAGCGATGCCTCCGAGCCCCTGAGCACAAGAAAAGGTTTTGAACGACATGTCTCAAACGTCCAACGTTCCGTTCGTAGCGATGCCAGGAGCTCCATTCGTAGCGTCCTTGTTACTAGTAGCGATGTTCCTACTAATTATTTGTTACGTGAAGTAATTACTTGCTACTAGTAGCTTCTAGCTACTAGTAGCGATGCCCTTGTTACTATATAGTAGCTTCTAGAAGAAGAAGACCCAAATTCGAATTAGGGTCAACTCCAAGACATGGCGTTTGTGTTCCTTTTGGAACTGAGCTAAGTCTTGTGTGACAGGCCTGGGTGAAGAGGGTGAAGAGGGTGAAGAGCCAGCCTGAAGACTCATTTGGGAAACTGAAACTACCCGTGCCAGAGTCCCTGAGCCTTAAGATTTGTGAGCTCAAAATCTAAGCATGTTTGAGGCCATCGCTATTAGTCAAGTTTCCCCAAAACTCTTGGAACCAAATGAATAGTACGAGCGCTTCTTCAAGGAAGCGTGAGCTATCCTGCGTCCTGTCGGTAGTAGCTTACTTGCAGCTACTAGCGACTCCCTAGCTCCTACTAGCTACCTACCTCTAGCTACTTACCTCTTCCCTCTCCACCTCCACACCCTCCCCTCCAAACGAAAATGGAAATATTATTTATACATATACATATATTCCTATTGGAACAGCAGAAATGCCTGGCCAGCTTTGAGGAGTTCCAGTTCCCTCCTCAGCACAGCATGTTACACGTTCAAAATTGTCAGATCATCCCTGGTCAAAACTAAAAGATGATAATATGTTTGGCTGGCTGGAAGAGAACAAAACAAGAGACCACTTCCATCTAATTGATATATATATATATACTGTGTATATATATATATATACGTAAGCGGGCCTACAAAGGAATACTGCGTCAAACAGGAACTATTGCACAGTAGTACCAACTCCATGGACAAGATTCGTTTGCTTCTTCACCCGCTGCTCCAATTCGAATCGGGTCTGGTCCTGAGAACGAAACAGAAACGCCTATGCTGCCTTTCTGCCTTTCCAAAAGACATGGTCTTTGTGTCATCAAGAAGGCCATGGTCGTTGTCCTCGTAACTGCCGGGTCTGCCAGAAAGCTCTGCAGCCAATTGTGCCACATCCTAGGCCAATTTGTAATCTCACAACTCTTCTGAGAGACAACTTGTTGGAAAGCGTCACACCTTATGTTTTGTGACTAGTTGTCCTGGCATGGTTAAGAGACATGGAAAAGACCTCAAACACAAAGAAAATTCCAGTAGTAAGTAGGCGGTGGTAGAAAAAGAAAAACGATATTAAAAGATACTAAAAGACACGTTTCAACGCGACTCTTTCGGTAGTGTTTGACTCTCCACGTCCCGATCCCAATGTTTCGCACCTTCTCCCAGCGTTCATGCAGCTGAACAAGCTCGGCGTGATCCTCCGCTGCATCCTCTTCTGTTGGCCTTGGATCAATGCCAAGACAGCATGAAAAAGCAAGATGCTGGCCCGTCAAAAAGAAGACTCAAAGCGGCTCTAAGACTAGCTGACAAGTACATTCGGCCGCTAAGCTCTAAGAAAATCCTTCAGGCAAACTGTAGCAAATACACGTCCTTTCCAACAGTTCCTTGAGTCAGCTGAGCTCGCAGCAGGCTCCGCAGTTCCTCCGGAAGAGATAGGTTTGGCGACTTGGACTGAAACCAGGCAGCTTGATCTCTGAGCCGTTGCGCCACAGATTGCATATGTGCCAATTTCTTCCGCGTCTTTTGAAGTTCGCCTTGATGAATCCAAATGAGGCAACGTAGGGGGAGCTAGTAGCTTAAGTAGCTACTACCTACAGGTAGCTACTAGTATGGACGCACGATAGCTCACGCTGGCACTAATGATTTGGTTCCTAGATTTTTAGGGAAATTTGACACTACTAATCATTACTAATGGTCTTCAGACTAGAAGACGGTAGGAGGAAAAAGGCTCTGCTTCCCGCCTCTGACGAGAGCAGTCTGTGACCTATTCACTTGTTGGAAGCTCTGCAGCTTCTGCGAGGTCTTTGCTTCATCCACTTTGGCCTTCTCCAAATTCTCTTCCAAGGTCTTCACCTTCAACTGCGCCGCATCCTGCCACATCTACACAAAGAAGAGCACAGAAAACAAGGAATCGCATCAATAGAAATTTGATGTTCTCTCCTTCGTCTTTGCTTTGTCTTTACATCTTCTACTCTACTATTTACATGACACTCTGACATATTTTCGCAGATGACACCACATATTGACTGTCCAGCTGTTCGGCAAGATGGCCGCATTTCTCTTCGAGCTCCGGGTAGAGCCCTGCATTGTTTTCAATCTCGTCAAAGCCCAAATCCATCATCTGCTGCTTCGAATTCACAGGCGGCACTCGTTCGGCCATCGTTGGGTCATAGACCTTCGGCTTCTGGAAAAGCTTCTCTGCCATGGGTGCTGAGTCGACTCGGTGGGTTTCCCAGCCAGTCAAAGCTCAGTTTGGGCAAGAGCAGGTCCTAGATGTAATTTATGTAAACATAATTAAACTATATTCTTTAAGCTGCACACTAGTGTCACTAGTTTGTTGTGGCACACGACATGCAGGTGTTTTCATCGATTAGTTTCGTTCGCCTCAGCTGACTTGGCATGGCGCTTTTCAGCGCCCAAAAGCGGCCTACGTGCCGAAATGCTGAAGGATGGAAGGTGCTCGCCTGCATGGCTCTGGTGCTTAATTAGAATTCAATTTAATTCTAATAGCTGTTTGTTACTACTAGTAAGGCACTTTTTACTACCAGAATTTAATTAGAATCAAATTACTCAAAAAACTGCTCTGCCTGTCGCACATCTTTGCTATGTGCAAAAGCTCCCAAATCATTGAAAACCCACGTGCAAGCTGCGCAGGCAATAAGCTTTTCTCAGAGAACTCCTTTGAGTCCTCGCGCTGTCGCTTGGGGCGCTTTGCTTCGAAGTTGCCCTGCACAGCATCTTGAAAGCAAAGTAATTCGCAGAGTTAGACTGAATTTTAGGCTAAGTTAGCGTCCTTTTATATCGTTCGATTGTTGTCCTTCTTGCTCTCGATAATATGGATGTTCTTGTCTGCACAAACCACCCGGCACCTCCACACACTTAATAGTGATGTATGTAGGCAGTTCAGCAGTACTCTGCCATGGGGCTCCGCCGAACCATGTCACCTGCAGACTTGTCTGGTGTCCTTTGACTCAGGAAGTTTTACAACCACTGTCAGGTGAGGTTGCACAATTTTGCAGAAACTACCAATGCTTCGTTGTGCTTGGTCATGCTTCGTGCAAGCCTGCAGAGGCATCTCCGCAGCAGGACGACTTTCTTTCGTCCATCGGTCCAAGCACAGCACCCGGAGCAGGTTAGCGCAACGGCGCTCCAAGCCACCCTGTCAAGATGGGGAGGAACAAGGACGCTACTAGGGGCTCCTGGCCTACTAGTAACAAGAAGCTAAATTATACCAGCGTAGACCCCAAACAGAGCAATGTTCAAAAATGAGATCTCCGAACAATATGGCCAGCAGTATTTCCTAGAGGAAGAAAACTGTAGTCCACTATGTAGACGCACATACAAGATTCAAAGGGAACGCATTAAAATTATGTTTTTCATTGACTTTACAATGGGACGCCCTACAAGGGCTAAAACATGAAATTTATGGATCCAGGTTGTGACTCAGAGCATCCAGAGCCTACTGGGAGACAAGTGGGAGACAAGTCTGAAATCATGCGGCCAGAGCACTCAGACCATCCAGAGCTTACTGGGAGACAAGTGGGAGACAAATGGGAGACAAGCGTGAAATCATGCGGCCAGAGCACTGAGAGCATCCAGAGCTTACTGGGAGACAACTGGGAGACAAGTATAAACACATGCGGCTAGAACACTGAGAGCATCCAGAGCCTACTGGAAGACAAGTGGGAGACAAATGGGAGACAAGTATAAAATCATGCGGCCAGCGCACTCAGAGCATCCAGAGCTTACTGGGAAACAAATACAAGTATAAAATCATGCGGCCAGAGCACTCAGAACATCCAGAGCTTACTGGGAGACAAGTGGGAGACAAGTGTGAAATCAT